TTCTCTTCCAGCGTACAAGTGCTTCACTCCAGAATTCCACTCCCCTGAACTCCATGTCCAATGGACGTGATTCTCTGGGGGCGGAAGCCAAGGACGCTGCCCCAGGCGCGGTGCCAAGTGTCATCGGTACTTCGCGCGCTTCAGATGAGAGTACTGCCTCGGGCGTTCAAACGTCTTATGGTAGCGCTTCATCTTCGTCGATGATGTCGCTTGGACAACGAGTTGGAGCTCTAGCGCTCGTGGCCTAGAGTGCCGGTGGCTTCGCAGCTGTCGGTGATCTTGGATTTCAGGTAACCCGGACAGTCATCCCGCCGCGTCTCGTGTCAGTCGACCAAGATGACGTTGAAATGGCATCGTCGGTGTACTCTGACCCAGCGATCGCACCCAGGAAGGCCGGTCTCCCCAGGATTTTTTTTATTTCAGCGACGACTGCCGAGCCGAAACTCAGGGTCTCTGCCCCGACTTCGGGATTTAGCGGCCCGAGGGATGTCAGCGCCGATGAGCGGAGTCAACACCAGAACTCTAAGCGCACACAGCATGGACCGCCTCGCCCGCAAGTCCCGTCGACACCATCCGCGCTGTCCACGCCGTCGCTGTCTTCTCTTCCAGCGTACAAGTCCTCGGCTAGTGCTTCACTCCAGAATTCCACTCCCCTGAACTCCATGTCCAATGGACGTGATTCTCTGGGGGCGGAAGCCAAGGACGCTGCCCCAGGCGCGGTGCCAAGTGTCATCGGTACTTCGCGCGCTTCAGATGAGAGTACTGCCTCGGGCGTTCAAACGTCTTATGGTAGCGCTTCATCTTCGTCGATGATGTCGCTTGGACAACGAGTTGGAGCTCTAGCGCTCGTGGCCTAGAGTGCCGGTGGCTTCGCAGCTGTCGGTGATCTTGGATTTCAGGTAACCCGGACAGTCATCCCGCCGCGTCTCGTGTCAGTCGACCAAGATGACGTTGAAATGGCATCGTCGGTGTACTCTGACCCAGCGATCGCACCCAGGAAGGCCGGTCTCCCCAGGATTTTTTTTATTTCAGCGACGACTGCCGAGCCGAAACTCAGGGTCTCTGCCCCGACTTCGGGATTTAGCGGCCCGAGGGATGTCAGCGCCGATGAGCGGAGTCAACACCAGAACTCTAAGCGCACACAGCATGGACCGCCTCGCCCGCAAGTCCCGTCGACACCATCCGCGCTGTCCACGCCGTCGCTGTCTTCTCTTCCAGCGTACAAGTCCTCGGCTAGTGCTTCACTCCAGAATTCCACTCCCCTGAACTCCATGTCCAATGGACGTGATTCTCTGGGGGCGGAAGCCAAGGACGCTGCCCCAGGCGCGGTGCCAAGTGTCATCGGTACTTCGCGCGCTTCAGATGAGAGTACTGCCTCGGGCGTTCAAACGTCTTATGGTAGCGCTTCATCTTCGTCGATGATGTCGCTTGGACAACGAGTTGGAGCTCTAGCGCTCGTGGCCTAGAGTGCCGGTGGCTTCGCAGCTGTCGGTGATCTTGGATTTCAGGTAACCCGGACAGTCATCCCGCCGCGTCTCGTGTCAGTCGACCAAGATGACGTTGAAATGGCATCGTCGGTGTACTCTGACCCAGCGATCGCACCCAGGAAGGCCGGTCTCCCCAGGATTTTTTTTATTTCAGCGACGACTGCCGAGCCGAAACTCAGGGTCTCTGCCCCGACTTCGGGATTTAGCGGCCCGAGGGATGTCAGCGCCGATGAGCGGAGTCAACACCAGAACTCTAAGCGCACACAGCATGGACCGCCTCGCCCGCAAGTCCCGTCGACACCATCCGCGCTGTCCACGCCGTCGCTGTCTTCTCTTCCAGCGTACAAGTGCTTCACTCCAGAATTCCACTCCCCTGAACTCCATGTCCAATGGACGTGATTCTCTGGGGGCGGAAGCCAAGGACGCTGCCCCAGGCGCGGTGCCAAGTGTCATCGGTACTTCGCGCGCTTCAGATGAGAGTACTGCCTCGGGCGTTCAAACGTCTTATGGTAGCGCTTCATCTTCGTCGATGATGTCGCTTGGACAACGAGTTGGAGCTCTAGCGCTCGTGGCCTAGAGTGCCGGTGGCTTCGCAGCTGTCGGTGATCTTGGATTTCAGGTAACCCGGACAGTCATCCCGCCGCGTCTCGTGTCAGTCGACCAAGATGACGTTGAAATGGCATCGTCGGTGTACTCTGACCCAGCGATCGCACCCAGGAAGGCCGGTCTCCCCAGGATTTTTTTTATTTCAGCGACGACTGCCGAGCCGAAACTCAGGGTCTCTGCCCCGACTTCGGGATTTAGCGGCCCGAGGGATGTCAGCGCCGATGAGCGGAGTCAACACCAGAACTCTAAGCGCACACAGCATGGACCGCCTCGCCCGCAAGTCCCGTCGACACCATCCGCGCTGTCCACGCCGTCGCTGTCTTCTCTTCCAGCGTACAAGTCCTCGGCTAGTGCTTCACTCCAGAATTCCACTCCCCTGAACTCCATGTCCAATGGACGTGATTCTCTGGGGGCGGAAGCCAAGGACGCTGCCCCAGGCGCGGTGCCAAGTGTCATCGGTACTTCGCGCGCTTCAGATAAGAGTACTGCCTCGGGCGTTCAAACGTCTTATGGTAGCGCTTCATCTTCGTCGATGATGTCGCTTGGACAACGAGTTGGAGCTCTAGCGCTCGTGGCCTAGAGTGCCGGTGGCTTCGCAGCTGTCGGTGATCTTGGATTTCAGGTAACCCGGACAGTCATCCCGCCGCGTCTCGTGTCAGTCGACCAAGATGACGTTGAAATGGCATCGTCGGTGTACTCTGACCCAGCGATCGCACCCAGGAAGGCCGGTCTCCCCAGGATTTTTTTTATTTCAGCGACGACTGCCGAGCCGAAACTCAGGGTCTCTGCCCCGACTTCGGGATTTAGCGGCCCGAGGGATGTCAGCGCCGATGAGCGGAGTCAACACCAGAACTCTAAGCGCACACAGCATGGACCGCCTCGCCCGCAAGTCCCGTCGACACCATCCGCGCTGTCCACGCCGTCGCTGTCTTCTCTTCCAGCGTACAAGTCCTCGGCTAGTGCTTCACTCCAGAATTCCACTCCCCTGAACTCCATGTCCAATGGACGTGATTCTCTGGGGGCGGAAGCCAAGGACGCTGCCCCAGGCGCGGTGCCAAGTGTCATCGGTACTTCGCGCGCTTCAGATGAGAGTACTGCCTCGGGCGTTCAAACGTCTTATGGTAGCGCTTCATCTTCGTCGATGATGTCGCTTGGACAACGAGTTGGAGCTCTAGCGCTCGTGGCCTAGAGTGCCGGTGGCTTCGCAGCTGTCGGTGATCTTGGATTTCAGGTAACCCGGACAGTCATCCCGCCGCGTCTCGTGTCAGTCGACCAAGATGACGTTGAAATGGCATCGTCGGTGTACTCTGACCCAGCGATCGCACCCAGGAAGGCCGGTCTCCCCAGGATTTTTTTTATTTCAGCGACGACTGCCGAGCCGAAACTCAGGGTCTCTGCCCCGACTTCGGGATTTAGCGGCCCGAGGGATGTCAGCGCCGATGAGCGGAGTCAACACCAGAACTCTAAGCGCACACAGCATGGACCGCCTCGCCCGCAAGTCCCGTCGACACCATCCGCGCTGTCCACGCCGTCGCTGTCTTCTCTTCCAGCGCACAAGTCCTCGGCTAGTGCTTCACTCCAGAATTCCACTCCCCTGAACTCCATGTCCAATGGACGTGATTCTCTGGGGGCGGAAGCCAAGGACGCTGCCCCAGGCGCGGTGCCAAGTGTCATCGGTACTTCGCGCGCTTCAGATGAGAGTACTGCCTCGGGCGTTCAAACGTCTTATGGTAGCGCTTCATCTTCGTCGATGATGTCGCTTGGACAACGAGTTGGAGCTCTAGCGCTCGTGGCCTAGAGTGCCGGTGGCTTCGCAGCTGTCGGTGATCTTGGATTTCAGGTAACCCGGACAGTCATCCCGCCGCGTCTCGTGTCAGTCGACCAAGATGACGTTGAAATGGCATCGTCGGTGTACTCTGACCCAGCGATCGCACCCAGGAAGGCCGGTCTCCCCAGGATTTTTTTATTTCAGCGACGACTGCCGAGCCGAAACTCAGGGTCTCTGCCCCGACTTCGGGATTTAGCGGCCCGAGGGATGTCAGCGCCGATGAGCAGAGTCAACACCAGAACTCTAAGGGCGTGGTGCGCTCTCGACGCTCGACGACGTCCAGGAGATCAGCTGCGTCGAGCCGCTCGAGTGGATCCAGGAATCTTGGGTCAGCTTCGTCAGTGTCCGCGAGGTCTGGGCCCGCCCAAATCGAGCTGAATGTCTTGCGACAACAGCAGGAGTGGCAGGCCCGCATGGAGCAGGAGCAACGCGAGTTTCCCGCCAGAGAACGCCTGGATGCCTTGGAGGGCGAGCTCCTCTGGGAACAACGTGACCTGGACGCACGTCGCCAGATCCAGGAACTCACGGATCGTTTGGTCCACGCTGAGATCGCCTGGGGAGAAGCGAAACGCCGTGCGCAGGACGTGGAAGCTCGCCAGACCCAGAGTTCCAATGAAACTCAGGGGATGACCCAGAGTATCACGGAAGCTGTACGTCTCGAGCGTGAGCGCCTGGATGCCGCCTACGCCGAGCGCTGGCAACAGCGCGAAGTCGAAGCCGACTCGGAGCGTGCGCGCTGGGTTTCCGAGACCTATGCGGGCTGGAAGGAACAAATGTCGACGATGGAGCAGAAGATCCAAGAGCTCGAAGCGGAAAAAGAGCGAGAGCGGGAGGCTTCCGAGAATATCCAGCGCTTCCACGCCGGCCAAGTGTGCGACCTTCGTGCAACATTGGCCCAAGTTCAAGCGCGTCGCGCAACCGTCGCCCCTGATTTGGCAACAAATGTGAGGTCGTCAGTGGTTCAGAACCCTGAAGTTGCAACCCGACCCCAAGAATCCAGTGGCGCAATCATCGGAATCGCAAGTGTCGCAGGCCAGAGACGGGAGACAGCTGATCCGAAGAACACTTCCGAAGTCGCCGCCTCCCAGCTAAGAGCGACCCTCGCGCAGACTTCCGCCGACACTTCCGGCAGAATCGCGCGCGTCAAGCGGGGACATGGCACTACGGAGACCAAGGTGACGCAGGATGTCAAGCTTGAGCCTGTATTTCTGGGGAAGACGTCGGATCCCAGGAGAACAGCGGCCTCTAAGGCCTCGCAGGACTCAAAAACAGACTCCAAGCGCTCTGCGACCAAGAAACACCAGCAGAAGAAGAAGAAGCGTCAGGATGTCAATCCACCCTCAGACTCAGACCCAAGTTCCGATTCCAGCGATGATGACTCGTCCTCCCAGAGTTCGGATGACAGTTCGGACGAGAACCCTGGGGTTAACCTGACGGCGGCCTCTACGGCTCAAGCTGGCACTACGCTCCTGACGTTCCGACCATACATCAACTCGAATACTCTGGATCAATTCGATACTAAGGTGTCGCTCAGAGAACGCGTGCATTGGTGGGAGCGTTTTGCGAACATGGCGGCTCAGGGAGGTTGGTCTACGAAGATGCGAATTCAGGAACTCAAGCTGAAGCTCTCAGGAGCTGCGCGTGACTGGTTCAACCAGTTGCCCAAGCACACTCAGCGTGACTGGAAGGAGTTGGCGTCTGCATTCAGGAAGAAGTACTGCAAGGCACTCTGAACGCTACTTCACGATGGAGATGAAGAGCTCAGAGAGCGCCCTGGATTTCTTCTATCGTCTGAACTCCGCCGCTGGGAAGGCTGACATTGACTTTCGCAAGTCTTCGAAGCGTCTGGAGAAGCATATCCGGACGTTCATCACGAAACTCAGGGACACGCGCCTCAAGACGTCGCTGCAAGGCCAGCGATTCAGGAGTATCGCTGATCTAGAGTACGCCCTGGAACAGGACGAAGATGTCTGGAGTCGCAGTGACCATGATGCTCCGCCACCCAGAGCTCGTGACTTTCGTACCGACAACATTCCTCAGGGACGTTTCAAGCCGAAGCGACAAGGACGTGCGTATGTGACTAGGGGCGATGTCTCTGACTCTGAGTCAGACGAAGACCCTGAAATTCACGCGCGTTTCCAGGAAATCACGGACGAACCCAGAATTTCAGCCCGAAGTGCGAGCGCGAATTCAGGGTCAACTCGTGAGATCTCTGGAGAGGAAGCTTCTACGTCTAGCGCTGGAAGCCTGGCGAGTATGAAGGGTGCCGAGTGGGCTCAGACGCTGACGAACGAGGGCTATCGCGTGATGGATAACATGGGATGGCGTCCACCGAACGCCCAGCCTGGACCGAACGCGAACTCTGGATTCCGTTCCCCTCGCCGCGAGAACCGGAATTGGGACAAGTTCTGCGAGAAGTGCGGTAAGTGGGGGCACCCAGAGGAAAACTGCTGGAAAGACGTGAAGTGTGATCGCTGCCTGGAGATGGGTCATCCGACTCACTTGTGTCGCGCGCAACCGTGCAAGAACTGTGGCAAACTACATCTCGGGAAACCGTGCAAAGACTGGAAGACACTGGAAGCTGTGAAGAAACTCGCCCGCCAAGGTGCACTGAAGGACATGCCGAGCCAAATCCTGGATAAACTCCTGGATGGCGAAGCAAACTCTGGGAGGCCGTCAAACCAATAAGCCCACTGGGTGGGGACCCAGTACGCGCCGGGCTGAAGAAATCCCCAGAGTTATGTGTTATAGTGTATGTAGGCCCGGAGCTGAGAACAACAACCCAAGATAACCAACAATGCATGACTACTTTGACTTAGGATTTTATGACTTCCCCTGAAAATCAGCATCCTGAACCAGCGAAGTCTGGGTCGGTGAACTCTGAAAAATTGTGGAGTACAAGCTGAACCCTGGAGAACGCTACGGATGGTGGGAAAACAATGATCCTGACCCGAAGAAACGTGATGTGGCGATGGTGCATGGCGCTGTGAACGACTGCCGGACGAGAGTTCTCCTGGATACCGTGGGTAATATTTGTTCTCGTAGGCTGAGCAGCCATTGTCATCGTCAAAGGTGGGGAATCGTGATGATCGACCACTGATGAGGTCATTGCATGGATTTGAAAGCGGTGGGAACGCCACCTGAATCTCCGGACGAAAACTTTATACGCGCGTTGAATGCCCGGACACCGTCTTGACATAGCGCCACGCTCCGATATCGCTGTGGCACTTCCACGACCAGCGGCTTGTCCTTGCACTTGCCGTGCTCTCCGATCGGCAAATTCCCATCCAGCGGATCATTATTCTTCAGGTACACGTGATTGACACAAGGCGGTCCCCAGAAAATTGCCGACGATGTGCCGTCACCTCTGTGACCTGGAGTTTGTATCGGATGCTGATTGGTGGATGACTTGGATTCGGCGCGGCTGTACCCGTGTGACATGGATGGCGACTGTGGGAGAGAAGTGATTTCTCGGGATGAATCCAGCGCCTGACCGCAGATGGGCCCAACTGGCTGGAAGTGTGAATCCTGGGAGTGCACGCCCAGGATTTCAGAGAACACTCAGTCCAGCCGCGGACTTTCCCTTACGATGAGTGCCTAAAGTCTGGCGGAAAGTGTCTCTGGAGGAAGTATCCCAGAGTACGCCTCATCTTGCTGTGGCTAAGAGTGCCCAGAGGATCAAATTACCCTGAGAATCAACCCACTACTACCATGATCATGCGCAGGAGGCCGCTAAACCCACTAAAAGTGTGGCTTTGTGGGGATACACACGAGCCTGCAATGCAGCAGACTTGTTACCCAGAGTGCCGCACGGAAACCCAGAGTGCCGCACGATGACCCAGAGTTCACCTCCCTGAGTGCAGGTGACCCAGAGTTCCAAAGATGATTCTCTGGGTTTGGACCATAAATCCAGACTCTCTATACTGAACTTAAGTGTTTCCCGAGTCAACACCCAAAAATCCCCACAGTTCCCCAAGATTCCTCAGAATTCCCAGGATTTCAGAAGATGACCCTGAGTGTCACCCGGTTTTCAGGGACTCGAGTCAGTTCGAAGCCAGTCTGCAATCAAAGTGATGCGTGACCTTGAAGAACCCTTGTGGATGCGCAGACTGGATACTTTCAAGGAGTCGAGAGGGAGTCCTGCATCATACTAAACCAAGTCTAAGGACCCACAATTGGCACTTTCAACGCCGTGCGACAATAGATTCGCAAGCCGATCGCAAGTTTGGACCGCTGAACCCAAGGTATACTGAAGACAAGACATTTGACCCCAAGCATAGTGAACAGAAGATATTTGCCCGAAGAAGAGAGAGAGAGAGAAGTAGCTGATAAAAACCAGAGTTCCTTTTACCCTGTACTGCGCAAGTGACTTCGGCAAAGCCTGCCGATGGAAATCCGGAGGACCCGAGACTACGACCGCGGGACGCTAAGGGCACAGCAACGGTGAAGGACAGCCGTTTGTGTGGGCTCCATCAAACTCAAGCCCAGTTACGTGGTGACCAGCGACGGCCTTGAGCTTCCTGGGGTGATCCATCTATTCCATATCCTAGTTGGGTCACTTGCTGTGCTCGTGGTAGCCCATTTCATATTATTCCAGAGGGTATTCTGGGGTGCTAGGTAGTCGCCTCCAGGATTTTGTATTGACTGCTTGTGTAAAGGGAAGGTAACTGATAGTGATTGTATTTTCCTCCTTTATTGGAGGTGGTGCGCGTTTGTGTGAGTCTCAGGGGAGCTAGGCCCCTGAATTTCAGACTCGAGTGAGCCTAGTGTGTGTGTGACCCACCGTCCAAGGGTCCAAAAGAATAAGTGACGGCTAGTTGTAGTGTTTGTATACTCTGTATTTGTTGGTTTTATCGAGCTAGGAGGGCATTTGGGTAAGGTGTCTTCTGAGTTCCAAGTCCCAGCGTTGACTGAAATCCTGGACCCTGAATTCGTGATATTCTGGGTTTCAGGGGATCTTATTCTCTGGGTTTGCCTTTTGGTGTGGAGGTGCGTTCTGAAGTAGACGTGCGCTCCCGCACTTCTTCGAGGCTACATTTACAACCGGTGGAGTGCCGTTCCGTCGAAGACAAACGAGCCGACAGGGATTACATAAGGTACCCACGCCAACCAAGGAGTGTGATTCTCAGGGTTTAAAGCTTTGCGGCTGCAAATCTCTGGGTCTATCTTCTTGCTGTTGACTCTCAAGTCGATTCTCTGGGTCTACCCCTGGGGAACAGTCTTGGGCTGCGCTATACGAACCCCCCTGGGCGACAAAGGTTTCATCGGCCTCGCCTCAGCTGGTGCGCGTGCCCGGATTCGATTGTCGAGGATTTCGCCGGAATCAAGTGTTGAAGAAGTGCTGAGTGCCCGTCAACTTCAAGCTACCAAGATGCCTGGAGGACGAGGGGCGAAGAAGAGTGGACGCGGTGACGGAGGACGCGGTGAGGCGTCACGTCAGTCGCGTCGTGTTCAAGGTATGGAGCCTGAGGAGCGCAAGGACCTGGAAACAGTCGTCCGCGACGCTCGGAAGGCGAACGTTGCAAGCGCGGTCATCGTCTGTCAGTGCACTTGGGAACCGAGGAAGGAATTCATACTACGAAAGCACCTCTACTAGCGGGAGTCACTTGCTTCCTCCTTCCCCAACGAATTTCCCATTCAGGCTCTGCAGTCATGTAAACAATCGCTCTAGACGGAGATCCGAAACGAGGAACACCTACTGAACCAGGAGAATGCAGAGTACGCCGACCAGATCGACTGCTTGAGTGTGAATATCCAGGCGTGTCTCGATGATGATCTAAGTGGTACACGCTTCAGCTTCTCTCCACCACGCCGTGGGAAGAGCAAGAAACTTGGAGAAGTAGCTGTCTTGAACTAGCAACCATGGTTAGCAGCCAGCCAACCACGAGGAGACTGGACGTGCCCGACTTGAAATCCTGCAGAGCAAACCTCGGCTCGCTGAAGATAGAGGATAAGATCGAGTCAAGCGCATGTTTCATGCGGATCTGAGTACCGAACGAATCTGCTTTGACAGCGATTACGCGGCTTTTGCAGAAGGTTTAGTCACTTTGAAGCAGGTTTTAGCACTGACAATATTTCAACAGATAGGTTTCGACTGAACCTTACTGATTAATTCCTGTACAACCACGAACTCACAGTACGTCTGCAATCCCACCTTTTCAAAGCTTCGTCAACTGGTCGTCGCTGTTGCCATTGCCGTACTTCTCGCATCTGCAAGATTATAGCCTTGGGGTCCGCGGCCTTGAACACGGAACTTCCAGCAACGATCCTGTTCTCCGCAGCCGCGTCGACCGTAGAGGGGCCCAGTCCACCGTCCACTTCGATGTCCAGCGTCGGGTACTTGGCGCGAATGGTCTCCACCTTGGGCATCATGTCGGCCATGAAGCTCTGGCCGCCGAAGCCCGGCTCCACGGTCATGACCAGCACCATGTCCACGAGCTTCACGTACGGGAAGGCAGCCTCCGCACTGGTAACAGGCTTGACGGCCAGACCCACCTTCATGCCGGCGTCGCGGATCTGTTTAATGAGGGTGAGTGGGTCCTTCACCGACTCCAGGTGGAAGGTGAACTGGTCACCGCCAGCCGCAGCGATGTCCGACACCCACTGCTCGGGCTTGGCCACTATCATGTGCGGTCGAAGATACGCCTTGGTGTGCGGCCGCAGGCACTTGATGACAGGAGGACTGCATTGAGAAAAAAATCAATGTTAGTGGTTTTGGAATGGTTGAAGACATTACCGATGAGTCAAAGAGTTTGAACTCTTTAATTCTTTAACTCATCGGTAATGTCTTCATCCATTAAAAACCCGCTAACATTGACTTTTAAAAACGTGAGTCACAAAAATTACAGCAAGAAGCGCTGACCGTGCACTTTAAGTTGCTACCCGCAGCACAGGAATCGAATAATTTGTTCACGCGATATCGAGAAATGAAAATCTACTGCATACTGAACGGAGAAGTATGAATTAATTGATGAGACTGCCTCAAACAAAATGATACAGCGACACCTCTATAAATGACACCTAGTTCGCTCGGTCTAATACGCTGTTTCAGTTAAAGAATTGATCAGATAAAGAAATGGCTACACTTCTAATGGCTACATTTTCATATGTTCGGTGCACAGTACAAGGGCTTTCTTTACCTGGTACCCTTCCAGCATTTTCGTACTCTTGTTTTGTTTCGTCTTTACACAGACAGAACTAACGGTAGGCGCGGTATTGTCTGTTCCTACTCCTTCTTCTCATTGGTATTAGCAGAATCGCATCCCCTCAGGTTGTACGTGAGTTTCAATACAGTGAGGTTATGGGAATATTTGCTGTCCCGATATCCTGCCACCATGCCTGCAGTTTTAGCTTTTGCTTGGTATCGACTGCATAGCCCCTAGTTGTCTCGACATCATAATATTTTAGTTTTTCGTAATATATTTATGTACGCTGCGCTGATTGTAAAATACTGTGGCTAGCTTATTTATCAGTATTTACAAGCTTGCAGCTACTGCAAACTCTTTGTTCCAGCTTAGCATCCCAAATACAATTTCTCTCTTCGCTCGATTTGTTGTGGAGGGGTAGTGGTAGCAATGGCATACGTGGGAAGAGGCAGGCAAGTGATTAAGAAAAAAATATGAGTTTGGATCTATTACTACGGCGTCCATTTAGAGGGTTGAGGCGCCAATAATGGCGACCATTTAGAGAATAAAGAGGTTTTTGATCAGTTATAGAACACCTATAGTGAAATCCATATAATCCCGTTGGCAGTCGAGGAATCCTAACCAGATAGGGAACACATAGTCAGTTAGAGGGGTTCATTTAGGGAGGTGTCACTGTACTAAGCTACCATTTCGAGTTATCCGTTTAAGGTTGTACCAGGGTTACACACACAAGTGGCTACAGTTACTTGTAACTATAACAGACACGACGTCTGTTAGAGGTTCGAAAGACTTTCTCGATCTTGGTGTAGACACACCAAGGGCTACATACATTTACGATCACCACGACGGGTGGTCAATAGATACTTAGGATTCCTATTGGCTGAAAGCAGCACCTTTTAGCCAATGAGCGACATGCATAGCATTGGAATTCTGCCAACGGCTGGTTGGCAGATTCCTAGTTTAGAATATTACATTTAGAGGAAGTCAGAAACATAAAACAAAAATAGCAGTTCTCATTTTAACCCAAAAACATTATTTGGATCGTTTATTTAGATTAATCTATACTCGGAGGCCCGAGTATAATTAACTCTAATTGAAACTAAGCTACGCTTCCTCACATACACGCGCACACGTGTAAGCTAAAGTAGTGAGCCAAAGTAGGCCCACTACACCTGGTAGCACTTTGTAGTCCGTCCAACGACCGACTATCTGAGTTCGTACGTCACCGCTCCACTACGCCTGCAACTCACGTTGCACGCGCTGACTGTCCCCACTTGTCGGACCCAGAGTGGGTAGCTCTCCAACGACTGTCAACAGTCATTGGTGAGGCGGCTGTAGCTACGATGCTGCGTACGCTAACGCCGACAGAGCAACATGGTGTTGCTCTGGGATTCATCATGGAGGAGCAGCGGGATGCTGCTTCGTCTACCACGGTGTCGTCGGGGACGACACCGCGCGCGCAATCGCTGAAGCTCAGCGTGAGCAATTACGTTGGAAGAGAGGGCGAGCCTCTCCTCCGTTGGCTTGTCGAACTCGACACTGCCATTGCGGCTCGACGCATCGTCGACCCGTTGTCGAAGGTCGCGTTCGCCATGTCATGTCTTGGCGGACGTGCAAGAAGTTGGGCGTATGGACGCCGACTCTCGGATCCTACGTGCTTTAGCACGTACGAGGGTTTAAAGGAAGAGCTCAGGCAAGCGTTTGAGCCCCCGCAAAACGAGTTCCGGTCGAGGGCGGAGTTCCTCGACCTGCAGCAGGGTAAGCATGATGTCCATGCTTACGCTCAGAGAGCACGGTATTGGGTCTCGAACATCGTGGCCAACCCGATCGACGAGGCGACCAAGGTCGTCACGTTCATGAAGGGACTCAGAGATGGGCCCGTGAAGACCTATCTCTTCCGTGAGTACCCGAGTGCTCTCGAAGCTGCAATCACTCTTGTAATGCAGGAGGAGTTTAGCCTGCGGCAGGCTAAGCTGCATGCACATGCGCCGAGGCCACAGCCTCGCCCCATAGTGAGGACGGGAGGCCCAGAACCCATGGACCTCTCGAGCGCTGCAACTGCTGGACCCCAGCAGTCGCAAGGAAACAATGTGCGATGCTACCGATGCGGTAGAATCGGTCACTTTGCTCGGGATTGCACGGCCCCCGTGCGCCAGCAGGGTGGCTATCGCGGCGGTGCCGGGCACCGTCGCAACTAAACAAAAAACGCTGGACGCCAGTAGGTGCGGGGTGCCCTACTGGTAATGCAGTTCCGCGTGTCGACCTTGGACACGCGACACTGAGGACTGCAGCCCCCAGTGAGGTTTATCCTCACTGCAAGAACCAAGATGACAAGCCTGACCTTGTCATCCTGAATGTGAACTCGATGAGAGCAAGCAGCTCTCTCCGTGCTTTGGTAGATTCTAGCGCGTCGAAGAACTTTGTTCGACTGCGAAGTCTATCAAGGCTTGACTTCGAGGATTTAAAGATACCTCGAAGTATGTTGGAGGTACGACTGGCAACGGGTGCCGTCGTGAAGACCGAGAAGCGCACGGTACGCGTGCGCTTCACGTATAAAGATCAAGCGTTTGTCGAGACCTTTATCGTCCTGGATCTGGACGATAAGTTTGACATTGTATTGGGCATGCCGTGGCTTGCACGGCATGATCCGGTCATCGATTGGGAGAAGCGCACTCTCGTGCGCTTCGGTCGCGACAGCGGAACAGTGAGCGATGGCCCTATTGCGGCAGCGCACGCACCGACAGGTGCGCGCGACTCCCTACTCGAGACAGCGCCTAATGCCGCTGTCCCGGAGCGCCCTGGGCGCGCGCGAGCACGCGCGCAAGAGCAGCTAGCGTCGGCGTTGCCGCCGACAGCTAATGAAGGAAATGTGTTGACCTCGGAGGTCGACACCCGCTTTTCAGCGAATCAGGAAGAGTCTCCGGCCTCAAGGGGCACGGATGACGCAGGCGAGTCACACACTTCAGCCGTGGAGGCTGACGCGAATCTGATTGGATTAGGTCTGGCCAATAATAAGAGCCAAGATGACGTTGCGCCGTCGACTCCGGGAGTCGATGGCTTGGGTGAATTTGATTCGTCGGCTCCGGGAGCCGACGCACCCTCCGTAATGGAGGATTCCGCCAATAACAGGCGTCGAGGTGAAGATGGCGTGTCGGCTCCGGGAGCCGACGCTGCAGGCGGTGCGGACGGTTGCAAACGTCCCGCACCGGAAAAACTTGCATGCTGTCGTGCAGCCGGGCTGCACGACGAAGCGCCGGGCGACCAAGCCGGGCTTGAAGTCGCTCGCCCGCGGGTTGAACCCGCCGGCGGTACTGAAGAAGAACACCCGTCCAGGGCTGGACCTAGGCGAGGTCAAGAACCAAGCGGAGCCGGGCACCGCAAAACAAGAAGACGGCGCATGCGAAGGTCGCTGCGCAAGTCTCGGCCTGGGGCCGAGACACTACGAGGGGCAGAGAAGCCGGACGTCGAGACGTTGAACGTCTTGACGCGTACCTGTGCCGGGTTCCGGTACAGGGAGATGACCCTCGCTAATCCTCCGACGCAAGCGTCGGAGTTGACTTCGCTTCCAGTCATGAGCTGGAAGTGCTTCGCGCGTGACTTGCACGATGGACGCATCGAGCAAATATGCATTCTCTCGGACGCCCAGAGAACGAAGAGCGAGAATGAAGAACTGAGGCAGTTCATTATGGAGACCACCACTGAGAGCGACGGCACTCTCAGTGCGAAGACGAAGAAGGAGCGCTTTGAAGAGCAGAGCTGGGACTCGTTGAAGACGAGTCCCTACTACGAGATCTTACGGGAGTACGCGGACGTACTTCCGGAAGAGATCCCTGCGGAGCTTCCGCAGGACAAGGGCATCCAGCACGAGATTGATCTCGTGCCGGGGACGAAGTACTGTGTCACGCGGCAGTGGCCACTGCCGCGAGAGCAGGTCAAGGCGATCGACGACTTCTTTGAGAATCGTCGCAAAGCAGGACAAGTGCGGGAATCGAAGTCCCCGCACAGTGCTCCGACGATCTGTGTCAAGAAGCCACAGGGCGGCTGGCGCATCGTTCATGCGTACAACAAGCTGAATGATGCGACGATACCGGCGCAGACACCGATACCGCGAAAAGATGTCATCATCGATTCGATGGCCAGAAGCACTATCTACAGTGCTCTTGATCTGCGCGATGGGTTCTATCAGATCCTCATGCGTGAGAGCGATATCCCTCTCACGGCTGTGAGCACGCCGAGCGGCATGCTCTGGGAGTGGCTAGTGATGCCACAGGGTCTGAAGAACGCCCCTGCGACCTTCAACAGGTGCGTGACGCACTTGTTGCGCTCGGTGCGCGACTTCGCACCGAGCTACTTCGACGATGTGTTCGTCCACAGCCGGGCTGCGGACGGGATGAGTGGTGTTGAGATGCACAAGGTGCATCTCCGGAAGCTGCTTGCGCTTATGCGCAAGCACAAGCTCTATGCGAACCTGAAGAAGTGTATCTTCGGGGCGAGCGAGATACCCGTGCTCGGGTGTATCGTTGGGAAGAACGGTGTCCGACCTGACCCTGAGAAGGTCAGAGTGATCAATGAGTGGCCGACGCCGTCGAACGTCAAGGAACTGCGGCAGTTCCTTGGCTTGGCCACGTACTTGTGCAAGTACGTGAAGGACTATGCGGACACGATACGCCCGCTGTCACAGCTCCTGAAGAAGGACGCCGAGTGGGTTTGGACTGCTGAGTGTCAGCAGGCCTTCGATGCAGTCAAGCGGGGCTTGACTGAGGCGCCGATCTTGGCGGTGGCCGACCAAGATCGCCCATTCCACGTTGTGTGTGACGCATCCGACTTCGCAATCGGATGTGCGTTGATGCAGCACGATCACGAGGGTCGTGACCGTGTCGTCTACTACCAATCGCGCCGGCTGAAGCCAGCTGAGCGCAACTACCCGGTACATGACAAGGAGCTCCTTGCCATGAAGTACGCACTCGCGAAGTTCCGAGTGTATCTACTCGGAAGCAAACCGTTCGTGGTCTACACAGACCACGCGTCGCTGCGGACGGCTGTGAAGTCGCCGCACATCTCGCAACGGACGGCGAGATGGCTCTCATTCTTCGCAGAGTATAACTTCCGGGTTGAGTACAAACCCGGAAGGCTCAATGTGGTGGCCGACGCGCTCTCGCGTCGACCTGACTACACCACGACTGATGCCGACGTCAATGCCATTGACGCCATGCGATCGAGCACCCCAACGTCGTCACTGTTGGACGACGTGAAGGTCGCGTACGCGCACGACGCGGACGAGAAGCTCTTGCTGGCCTACGGCTCAGCGCCTTCTGACCAAGCTCGTCAGAAGCTGCCGAAGTATCTTCGTGCTCGTGCACACCGTTACCGGGTGCACGACGGGTTATTACTCTACAGTGCAGTCGACGACAACGCGGACCGCGCTGTCGTGCCCAATGACCATGACCTGCGACTCAGGATCATGTACCTGCGACTCAGGATCATGTACGAGTATCACGATGCACCGACTGCGGGGCATCCGGGCCGTGAGAAGACATACCTTCTTCTCACGCGGCCCACCAGCATAAATGGGTGCGCGAGTACATCCGTGCTTGCGAGGTTTGTCAACGTGTGAAGCCTGCGCCTTTCGCGCAGGCTCCCTTGCAGTCACTACCAACTCCACGAGAGTGTTGGCAGTCCATGTCTTTGAACTTCGTGTTCGGTCTTCCCCCGGACAGCTAGAGGAACACGGGCGTTGTGGTCTTTGTTGACCGCTTCAGCAAGATGTACCATCTTGCTGCGGTACCCGCTGAAGTAACTGCGAAACAGACGGCACGTCTGTTCGTCGACATGGTGTTGAAACACCATGTCATGCCGATCGACATTGTGTCGGATCGAGACCCGCGCTTCACTGCACACCTTTGGCAAGAAGTGTTTACACTTCTTGGGAGTCAACTTTCGATGTCGACTGCGGACCATCCGCAGACGGACGGGCAGACCGAGCGCGTGAACCGCGTGCTCGTAGACGTGCTTAAGAGCTACACTCACTCGTTCCAACACTGGAGCGAGTGCCTGCCGATGGCGTAGTTCGCCATCAACAACACGGTGCATGCCTCGACCGTACCGTTCTACGTGAATGCCATCAGGCACCCACGCCTCCCGAGTCTACTCGGGATGGTGGCTCCTCCCTTAAGTGGGGGAGGATCTACGACTGCACCGCAGCAGCCGCAGAATGCCGTTGACACTTGCACAGTGTCAGCCGCGACTACGCGCAAGAAGAAAAAGAAGCACGCGTCTGTGCAGGGCACAGACACCGCGAAGACGAACGCAGAGGCCGGACCTACTGCTAGAAACGAGCTGAACGAGTTCAGCTCGGACGCATTCAACTTTGTACAGCGCAGACAAGCCGTCATTCGGTTTGGCCAAGACGCTATCGCAGCTTCTGTCGACCGACAGAAGCTGAACGCAGACAATGTTGGTAGGGGCAACACTAATGAATTCAAGAAGGGTTCATTGGTTTTGTTAGCTACGCAGAACCTGCCTAAACATGCAGTTTCCGACTTCGGGGCGAGCAAGCTCGCTCCGCGCTTCATCGGGCCGTTCACGGTGTTGGCACGGCATGGCAACGCCTACACGCTAGATATTCCATCTAGCATGCGCCTCCATCCGACCTTTTACGTCGGGCGGCTGAAGCCATACCGGCAGCACGATCCACCTAGCTCGGCTGGCCCGAAGCGGAGCCCCAGCGGGAGCGAACCTCTGCTCCAGCGCGTGAACGCGCTGAGCCAAGCGTGCGACGCGACCTCCCACGTCGACAGTGATGTCCGACGCGGTCTGCGTGGCCTGAGCGACTTGAGCCCTCAGGATCGCCACCTCCTGCTTCAGAGCGGCGAACTCCCGGCTCTGATGCTGTTCCACAGCAGCGCCCGGAGTTTCGCGATCGTCGCGTTCCTCACGTGCCAGGAACTTGGTACGGAGATCCTTGAGACTCTCAGGTACACGAATTGTCGTGTACCCGTTTAGGTCGCGGTCGCTCAAGCGCGCCGCACCCGGAAGACACAACGTGCACTGTTGGCGTTCGGGCACAGCGCATGGAATACCAGCGTCCACAGAGGATCTGTGGAGCTGCTCCAGCCGCGCGCGCGTCGAGAATGTCTCGAAGCGCTCACGGGCATGCTTAACCCGCTCGCGGTAAGCAGCCGGTTTCTTGTTGAAGTTCTCAACAAAAGCATTCCAACTTTGACAAAGTGCCTGCCACTCAGGCACATTGCTGCGAGAAGAGGTCTTCTTGCTGGAGAAGTACCGGAGCTCGTGGAAGAGCCCGATGTAGTAGTCGCGCCTTTGATTCGTTAACGGATCAAAGTGCTGCTGCTCCGCAACAGCATCGTCGTGAATACCGCTGCATACGTACAGCGGGATTTCATTTGGAGGCACGGTGTTGCCCACACCCACACGGTCTGTGATCTCTGACGCAGACGGCATCCACGGATCACGCGCTGCCTGAGCAGCGCGCGGAGAGCTTGAAGGCGCCACCTCACGCGGGGAGCTTAAAGCCACAGCAGCAGAGAGCGGAGTGTCGCTCTCGCCGCGCGAACGCTTCGAGCTTGAAGCGTCCGAGTCGTCGCCTTCACGAGGGCGTCTCGACCCGGCATGCGGGTCGAGACTATCGCTGTCGATAGACTCCTTGCGCTTGTTGGAAGAGGCCTCGCCCTCTTCCATCTCCACGTCGTCATCCCCGTAGTCAACGGCGTCGTTGACTACAGAGGAACCTTCGAGGACAATCTCCGACTGAGTTGTCCCCGCCGCAACCTTGGCAGCAAGAGCGTCGCGCTTTGCTTTCTGACGCTCGAAGTACTCGGGGACAGAGAGAGTCTCTGTCCCGGTGGAGGCCTTCCCCTCTGCTGTAGCGGCGGTCTGCTTCGGCGAGCTCATTGCGGAATGAGCTCGAGTTTTCCTTCTCCCAACGTGGAGAATTGACGAGTGGTCAATTTCCTGATTGACGTGCCGTGACTCGGCGCGTCTAACCTTGAGAGGGGGGGGGGGGGGGGTAACAGGGTTACACACCCAAGTGGCTACAGTCACTTGTAACTCTAACAGACACGACGTCTGTTAGAGGTTCGAAAGACTTTCTCGTCCTTGGTGTAGACACACCAAAGGCTACATACATTTAGGATCACCACGACGGGTGGTCCATAGAGACTTAGGATTCCTATTGGTTGAGAGCAGCACCTTTTAGCCAATGAGCGACATGCATAGCATTGGAATTCTGCCAACGGCTGGTTGGCAGATTCCTAGTTTAGAATATTACATTTAGAGGAAGTCAGAAACATAAAACAAAAATAGCAGTTCTCATTTTAACCCAAAAACATTATTTGGATCGTTTATTTAGATTAATCTATACTCGGAGGCCCGAGTATAATTAACTCTAATTGAAACTAAGCTACGCTTCCTCACATACACGCGCACACGTGTAAGCTAAAGTAGTGAGCCAAAGTAGGCCCACTACAAAAGTTAACCAATCAAATTTCGTACCAAAGTGGAAATCCAAAAATGGAAAGTTAAAATCACTCGTACCGTGCCAAAAACACTGTAAGTCGATTGCTTTTAGCACGAGCTACGCGAAAATATACAATATGTAAATTTTGAAACAAATATTTAGGTCACAAGCCCCACATAAAACCCGGGATTTTGGGGGTCCGAAAATGGAGATATTTTTTCAGACCGACATCATTCCACGAGTTCTTAACATTTGGAACCGCTCAATAGCTCAAAAGAAGCACAAGACACCGCGCCTTCGAGCAGTATGCTTAAATCGAGATTTCTACTTTGGTTGATTAGTATTGTTTTGTTTGACGCAGTCTTATAGAATAGTGGCTACGATCCTACGCAGTATTTAGCTAAGTAATCTATGAATTACCACCACCTTCGTGAAGTAGATTAAGTGTCGGGTCCCCATCGCCTGTCACTTCAGCTGTCCAGTTGCATGGCGCCATTCCTCGAGCTTGCCTTGATGTGCGCCTTCATCGCCGCAGGGTCCAGAAACGAGTACTTGGATGGGTTCCAAATGACGTAGACCCATTCTCCTCGCAAAGTTGGTTCTTGCGCGCGTCACGCTGTTGCTGTCGCTCGAAGTCGCCCTTGTTGCGGTAAAAAACTTGATCTCTCCCTCGTGTTGAACGCCATCGTATTCGAACACTAGCACCAGCTTCTTGCAGTATTCATCAAGCTCCAAAACTCCATAATCTCCATGCGTCCTATTGACAAACAAGTGCTCTGGTAGTAGCTCTTTGAAAATCTTGAGAGCGCAGCTTTCTGACTTGAACAGACAGAATGGGCAGCCGACTTCTTGCTGGTGAGCTCGTGCGGCGAGACCGCCCACACGTGCAATTTGTCCTTCGGGCACTGCCACCTCATCACTTGGTGCGAACCCGGCGTGAAGAGCTTCATGTCGAGATTACTGCGGTGACCAAGTGCAGCTCCAGCACGTCGAGTGAGTTGCAGGCATCCACCTCGCACACCTTCTGGTTACAGCAAACCGGACATCCAGTGGACTTCTCACGTAGCGTCCGGAAGCAAATGCACGTCAGCCACTTGTGATGCGGGACCCGCTTTCATATCCACGAAACCACCTTGTTGCTCCTCGCCATGAAGATGTGCGAGCTACCGTTTGCGGCGTGATCCCATTTCTTCACAACCTCGGGGTGTGTCTCTACAATAGACTGGCAACCGCAGCTCTTCACCGGACACTTGCACTTGCTCGTGCAAATTGGACACGCTCTAGAACCGCGCGCACGGTTCGCGCTCTGAGCCTTCCACTTGTGATGCTCCACGTCTTCGCACTGCCACAAGAAGATCTTGCCACTGGAGACCAAGAAGCTGAAGATGGCTCCATTCTCCTTGACCCACGGCTTCTCCAGCAGTCCTCTGTCCCAGCGAGTTGCACGCGTCGGTGGGGCAAATGGCGAAACCAGCACACACGGAGCAGCCAGCCTTTCCGCGAACTACCGCACTCGCCTCGGCCATGTAGCGGTGGTGCTCCGTATACATGCACTTCCACTGCGCCTTTTGATTCTTTTGAATTTCGTCCTTCATGTCTTCGTCGAGACGTTGACAGCTTCATCACATATGTCTTCCAATTGCGGGTACCGTTAAAACAGAGACGTTCCGCTATTGAAAAACGTTGACCATTTCTTGACGGTGCCCAATTTTGGCTCGAAGACTGCATGATTTAAAGGCACACAAGGTCCCACACGGTTGACACGCCATTTCGCCCCAATCCTTAACAAGAGCGATAGGATGAAAACGTCTTAATTCGAGGCTGGACCAGCGACTTAGTCGTTATTGATTAGAACCCATTTGGATGCAGTAAGAATAATGTATCAAATTATTATATGCTTTATTATCAAACAAAAAAGATACGATATTTTGTTGTTGGCCAAAATTTTGAGATATTCTTTAACTGAGCCAGCTTACGAGAAGTTATTAAACCTTGTCTGTTGTCTTCAGCGCGGTGGTTATAATATCGTATACGAATTGTGAAGTATATTGCTAGATTTATTAGTATAATATAGTCGTCTCCTCAATGAATGTCCTTATTAAATTAAAAGAGTTGTTTGGAATTTAACACTCATAAGCTAAACATATTCCGTTTTTTAAATATTTTCAAATTATGTTTTTAAAATTCCGAAAATCGAGAAAACATAATAAGAAGCAAATCATACTTACGTTTTAAAATTTCATGTTCAACCAAATACAAGACGTTAATGGCTTCTGATAAGAAAGAAAGTGAAGTCAGACGAGCTTCAAAAGCTAAATTTTGATGATGTTATGAATCATAAGTACGGTGATCTTTATCGTGAATTTCTTACACCAGTTTATTAACTCCTGTATTACCATTTAGAATTGGGGTAGGGCAAATGAACTATCATAGCCTTCCAGGGGGCGATTTCGATCGAATTTTACCTTTTTTAAATACGCAGGAGCTCGTGCTGTACGGCGCTCAAACCCGGCACTTCCACTATTACCTTGTTAGAAGGTGTAACAAGTTCCTAAACTGAGGTCAACTTTTTATTGATCCGTAAGTCGCCCCGTTTGTATCAGCAAGAAAACGACTGCGTTAAACGTTGAAGTTTAAGATAAGAGTTGACGACCGTCAATCTATGCACATGGACCGTGGAACCCTTTTTGAAAGCGGTACATGGACTTTGGTGTAGCGTGGTAACAGAGGCAAATGACGCCGTAAAAAATATGAGAGGTTAGGCAGCACTGTAAGAAGTCTACGCTAATGTGAAACAATGTACTGAAGAGTCGTTTGAATTAAGTTATTTATGACAAACCTAATTCGAGGTATCGGTCAGTACACTTGGCAGAACAGCTGATGCATATATTTCATCTAAACATTTGGCCTCCACTTAAAACATTAGATCATGTAACCCATTTAGGGCGCTAGATAGTTGAAGTTTAATAAAATCCGTAAGTTATGGAAATATTGATAATGCCGGCTCAACAGCCTCGAGTCCACATAAAACCGATGTGCGATTGAGAAGGATTTCGCGTGCAAGTCAACCTTTCACAACTAAAAAGAGCTTCAAGATCAACAATAATGAAAACTGTCAACTCCATAAATACGCTAGTCAGATTCACTATAAAAAATAGTTTTGCAAACGCTATACAGTTAAAAATTTTGTGAGCAATTTCCTACAATAGCAAATAGGAAGCTCAACTTATGCTTGGTACAATTACTTCCCCCATGAATATTTCATGTGAAAAAAATTATGGTTTTTCCCAAATACAAGCAAGACCTGTAGGAAATAGAAGTCCGTTGAGAAATCGGTTGGCGTGCCTAAAAATACAAGCCCTGTATCACATAAAAGACCGGACTTTTTGTTTACCCGAATATTTATTTATTAAATGTTTCCCAAACTATATCAATGCTTTATGAACTAATTCTAACCTTATTTGTTTTGCTTCACAAGGATCCTGAATGCTCATTGAGCGCTTGTACGCCGAAGTATCCAGGAGGTCCTAAAGAGATAAACACGCATTGCGTTCGTCACCTGATCTCGCAACTACGTGAGCATAGTAGTCGATAGAGATTTACATGTAAATTGCTGAAGAAGACGGACTGTTTATCAGCGCCTTCTGATACTTGAATTCCGGTCTCCATGTCTTCATCGAGCCGTTGGCAGCTTTATCCCAGATGCATTCCAGCTGCTGGTAGCGATCGAAGAGAGACTTCCTGCGATTGATGAATCTCTTCTTCTTCTTATTGGCGGAGTCTGACTTCGACTGGGCGGAGCCCATCTTCGACTTGGTGGCTGCATGGGTCAACTACACACCAGGCTCAACGCGATCGCCACGAGAATAATTATCAACCCCGCCACGAGAATCATCACGAACCCCGCCACGAGAATCATCATCAACCCGCCACGAGAATCGACATTAACGGCTTCGGGGGTCAACTCGCCAGAAACGTCTTCCTGCTTTTCCTCAGCGGCTTCGTAGTCGTCACCAGCCCCGTCTCCAATCGCAACGGCACCATTACGGCTTTCCCAGAGTCCTCTCCAGTCAAATCAACCAATTCATCAGCGTCGATGCCATCCAGCTTTTCATCAAACCCAGAATCATCGCCGGTCAGACCAATAAGTTCATCATCTCCCAAGCCGCGCAAACCAGAAATCAACTTGTCTTATTTCGTCACTTTCATCACTTTCAGCAACAATCTCCCAGCGACCACCTCTAAAACCCGAGCTTGGGGCGTCCTTGTTAGGTTCAGTACCAACCATATCACCGCCACCAGCCACAACAACTCCAATCACTTCAACGTCGCTGTCGTTCTCGTTCCACCGCGTATCGACGACATTGGTCACGTCCGTCAGAGGTTAGCGAGCGGTTCTCTGGCGCTTCTGGGACTTGCTGGACGGAGCAAGCAGGGGAAGCAGCAGAATAAGCCCAGCAAGCAGGATGAGCTGGAAACTTCCTTCCAGCGCTGATCTGAACGACAATGTAGCAACTAGAGATTAGCCAATGCATCACCATGTGCCAAGTGGATGGAGTGCCATCTCTTGAGCCGATGCTTGTCACTGCGTCACTCTCTTCCCAGGCTTTGAATCCGCTGCCACAATGCAGTTATGACAATAAAAAAAGATAATGAAAGACTGCATATTATGCAGTCTTTCAATACATAACGTTGGTGAATATTTCACTAATACTGAATCACTATGCGTATATGATACAAAAGTTCGTGTTGTACGTAGTGATAAGAGGAGAGCTAAAAAAACACTGACAATCAGTGCGAACACTGTACTTGAGTACAAAAGCTATCGCCGAACTGATCACAGGACTTGCTGGTGGTAATTAGTGTTGTTGAACGCTTGCTAGAAGTCATGCAATCGTTCACTCGTTAACCCCAAACATTTTTCAGCCTAGAATCTAAGATCAAAATTCACTTAAGTACGACGTACTAGTGGGGTTAAGTCCTAGAACCAGCTAAAAGGACCAAAATGTGACTTTGAGGGTTGTATCGAAATAAATAAGAGACGACGTGGCAGGCATAACTAAGGCAATGACTGTTTGATCGGTGAAACGGCTTAAGCCTTATACTGAACGCAAGTCATTCATCGGGATTTGTCCTAGAATCATGGGCAAAAACGAAATATGATATTTCGTTTAAAAAAACTAGTTTTGCCATTACTTATGTATGTAAGTATGTACAATCGTGGACATTCCGCAATCTATACTTTATGCCCATAACAACAAGATGGGGTATCTTTCAAAATACAACACCAACGTAAGCTTCTAATTTTTGGTTATTTGTTGTCCTGGATTTGGGGGGAGGGGGGTTAAAGACTCTGGCGATGCGGTGCAACCATCTAAGAACTTGCCAACTGGCATTCTATCGCCTATCGCTTTTTCGGGGCTTGCCATGCGGGAAGTTTCAAGGATAACTGTACCACCGGTAAGGCTGCTTACTTACTGAAAATTTTCTCACAGCGAATCTATTTTGTCGTCTGCCATTACGTATGGGGCGGTCTTCATTTTGAGTAAACGAGGCTGGGAGGGAAAATGAGTATTGTATTGCAGAGCTGATTTTCGAGTAAACTTGCCCTCTGCGTTTTGCCGACTGCGGCCCTATTAGTTGCACCACACACATGTGTAAAAACAAAATAAACGCTGACAACAGAATAAGCGTGACGCTTTCGCTGCTGTTATAACGTTCACGGCTCGGTAAATTTCAATATCCGTAAGAATAACTCGCAGTAACATACGGGAATAACTTACTGATACCCCGTCACCAATTTCGTGCAATAAGAAACAGGAAGTCTGGCGCAGAAATCTATACAACTTGTGCATGGTATGATCACTTCCCAATGAATTCGACGTTTGGTGTGCTAGGGGATTAGTAGGAAGCCGTTGCTACTTACTTTTCCTGTGAAAATTCTTACAGAAATCGAGCTCAATTGTAATAGAATGCGATATACTAAAAACAAAACGTCAAACCTTTGTGAATTACAGGTACATGGAATCTAAGGTATGCTTTGGTAAGCGTAGGATATGATGTACGATGATGGGTAACCGAAGTAAACTATCCACATGAGGTAGACACTTTTGTTCTTCTCGCCTTTGTCCTTAACTCTTTTAACTCTGCACTTGAGTTGTGGCTACATTAGTGGGAAAAAATAAGAAAATAACCCAATTATTAATTGGGGAGCGTTGGAGTCTCCAACTTGGAGAGTCCAATCAATATCGTATTGTATTTTACTTAGACCTGATAACGTTCGCCTTTTCAAATTGTCACTCGCCGCCGGTAGAAAAGCTTAGCAGCTATAACAGCTATACTATAGAATGATTAGTGTAAGCTTCTCATGAGCAGTTTTAACACCTGCTTGCGCGTGTGTTGCATGCGGATCTGAGTGGAAACTCGACTATCCGAGAGAAGTTTAGCCCCGTTGAGTCTTCAGATAATAGAAGGTAAAGTCACCTCGAAGCAGGCTCTATCACTGGCGAAAAGCCGACAAATGGTGGACGAACTTCGCACTCGCCATCGTGAGGTGACTGAGAGGATTCTCCCGAAAGGAGAGAAGGATTTCGTCACTTTTAGAGGAACTGAGGGAGGTCGAGGCGGAACTGAAGCACATCAGCTCCTTGAACGCGTCTTCAGCAGTCAGTCCACTATTCCAGCGAGAGCGTACAGCTACTCTGGCGTTTTTCAAAGCTATGGGAACTGATAAACCTTCCAACGATGGAGATACTGTGGGTGACACAGTTGACGGAAGCGTTGGTGCTCCTTTCAAGGCCTCATCCGCCACCGAGGCATCGGCATCACCAATGAATGGATCAATGATTGATGGTTTTCTGGAGGTTTGATGCCTACAAACATTCAATTTAAAGAGCTACTGAACCCCGACATGCTGGAGGAGATCAAGGCCGATATCTACGAGAAGCTTTCGCAGCAACTCGCCACCAGATCGGATGAGCGCTCTGCAGATGGAGGAGCTCGACCTGACTTACACCAAGCCATTGCTGCAGCATTGGACACTCGACTTCAGCTCGGAACCAACGCTCCTCAGACGACAAAAGACGCTGAAAATTGTGACGTCTATCAACAAGAGAGTTTACAACAACAGGACAGTGTCCAAGAGGGCGATACTTTGATAACCTCTGCAGAACCCACTGATGCGCCAGCCACGGACGAAGTTTGCTGCGACCGATTCGACGAGTTTGCTCCTGTTGACGCGTACTACGCGAGGAAGTTCGTGATGGCAAAGGACCGAGTCGCTGCATTTGTCGAGAGCATCACCGACGACGAAGGAAATACGACCGCGATATCAGCGACGCACGTGACGAGTGCACAGCGGATCCTGAAGATGTGTGAACGTCTGGATGTTGCAGAGGCGAGGAGTAAGTTCGATCCTGTTAGCAAGATCGAGGTGGACCAGCAAGGCAACAGTCGAGGTTCGCTGAAGATTCAGCTCTTGGCTGCTCGAGACATCCTTACTGCCCATTTGAGGACGAAAAACCTGGATCCGTACGTGTGTCTGGAGGTTGTCTACCCCTCCCACGCTCTACCGCCGTCGTTGAGCGCACACGCAGCAGTGGGGAGAGTTTTCCGCAGTCAGACGAAGAAGAAGAGCATTTATCCAGTTTGGGAGGAGGACTTCGAGTTCGCTCCCATTCTGTCCCTGAACGGATACCTCCACGTCCGCGTTCTCAACGATCGTAGACTCAGTCGGGAGCAGCTCGTGGGCGAAACCCGAATCCCTTTACACACTTTACTGCACCAGAAGCGAACCGTGGAGTGGTTTTCTCTGGGTCTGAACGTTCCGTCGACATCAACTGGCTCAACAAGTGTCGTCGTCTCCAAACTGTGCGGTGGCGCTGTACGTCTCCAGTTGCAGTTGTATTACTCCAGTGTCGAGAGGTACAAGCACGTGGTGGACGAACTGGTAACGCGGTATTTACACGACCACAACCAGTTGCCCCCGTTCATCGACGCCATCGAGAATCGAGTGGACCAAACGCTGGTGGTGGAGCAGCCGGAGCAGAATGGCACGGAGTTAACACCAACAACAACAGCAAATGGCTGCGAACCTGTCGTGTTTGAACAGCGACGACAGATTGACGCAGACGCTCACTTCCCTCTGGACGAGCTTGCCACCTCGCTCCCCCCGTACACCGTCACAAGAGCAACCAAGCAGGACGCTCCACCATCGCAAAGTGTGAGTCTTATTAAAGACGCGAGGATTTCGGACAGTAAAGACACTCAAGGATCGACTCAGTTGTCATCGGAGCGGAGGAAGTCTCTGTGGGATACAAAACCCTCCGCATATAGTGAACGAGCCGCTGCTGTCAACGATAAGAAACCATCTGCAAGTGGAACAGAGCTGAGAAAGCAGCAGCCAGCGTCAGTGATAACTTCAACGGGGGGTCTACGTCGCAGTCAAACGCCTACAGCGCAGTCCAAGAGAATACGCAACGCTGTCGCTCAACAGCATCAGAGGAGGAGTATGGAGACGCCCGAGTGTTTCGTCGAGTACAGTCCGTACCACCCAGCCTTCAAGAGCGTTGATGTACTCGACGGATGCAACAATGAGCTTGGCAGTGGCAGTGGTGGTGGGAGGAACGCCCGCATCACACCGAGAGCTGCCGATGTGAACCGGAAGACGGACCTGAGCATTTTTAAGAGTCCGAGCTTGACTCGCCGGCCGCCCAGCTCCGGCTTCCCAGAGCGGTACATTGGCCTGGACAACAAGACGTTCGAGCGACTCGCGTGCTTTTTGCAGAAGGTAAAGTCACTTCGAAGCAGGTTTTATCTCTGGCAATAAATCAACAAATAATGGACTTCTAGCTGCACTTTCGATTGACCATTACATGATTAATGCCTGTACAACCACAAACTAAAAGTATCAACCTGCAACTCCACCTTTCAAAGCTTCGTCAACTGGTCGTCGCTCTTGCCATTGCCGTACTTCTCGACGCTGTGTCGCATCTGCAGAATGACAGCCTTGGGGTCGGTGGCCTTGAAAACGGAGCTTCCAGCGACGATCATGTTGGCTCCAGCCTTCGCAGCCGCGTCGATCGTAGAGGGGCCCAGTCCGCCATCCACTTCGATGTCCAGAGTCGGGTACTTGGCGCGAATGGTCTCCACCTTGGGCATCATGTCGGCCATGAAGCTTTGGCCACCGAAGCCCGGCTCTACGGTCATGACCAGCACCATGTCCACGAGCTCCACGTACGGGAAGGCAGCCTCCGCACTGGTTCCCGGCTTGATGGCTAGGCCCACCTTCATGCCAGCGTCGCGGATCTGCTTGATCAGGGCGAGCGGGTCCTTCGTCGACTCCAGGTGGAAGGTAAACTGGTCACCACCCGCCGCAGCGATGTCCGACACCCACTGCTCGGGCTTGGCCACCATCATGTGACAGTCGAAGAACGCCTTGGTATGCGGGCGCAGGCACTTGATGACAGGAGGACTGCATTGACAAAAGAATCAATGTCAGTCGCTCAACCGAATGAAGACGCGTAAGAACAATGCATTGAACTTTCCCCCAAGAGATGTTTGGCACGAAATTCCCGTCCATGACATCCAAATGCAGGTAGTCTGCGCCGGCCGCCACCACCTTGAGCGATTCGTCCTTCAGGCACGAGAGGTCCGACGCCAACAGCGAGGGTCCGATCTTACAGGTGCAGCTGTGGCACATTGTAGCAGTGAAGGCGCTACTGCGGGCAATGGAGAAGAAGGTCCGGAAGGGGGAGGCGGAGGTCGAGGCGAGCACGCAGCGACCGAAGCAAGAGCGACAACGGGGAGGTGTCGACCTGAGCACTGATCTCATGTGGCACATCATCTATCCAAATGTAACGGAAAAGTAATTAGTCGAATATTGTTGACAGGTCGATTGTATGGATAGTTGTGTATCATTGGTGTGCATACAGGAATAAGATAAAGTCAACAGGGCACCATTGCAATACTTGTAAATCGTTTTGGCCAATCACAACTGCTGCATTTGCGCTCGTGACAAGACTGGACGAGGGGCTACGGTAGCAGCAGCGAACAAGCGGCCGACAAGCGCGAGTCCTTCCCGAGTTGCCGGCAAGCAAGCAAGCACGATGGCGTCTCCCCAGCAGATTGCGGACCTGGGCCGCAAGATCTTCCAGCGTCTGCCGCAGCGCAACATCCCGTCCGGCAACAAGGTCATCAGCAAGCAGCTCAAGGGCGACAAGGTGGCCTCATGGTTCAACAAGCCGCTGCTCGTGCGTCTGGGCGGCGACGACCCCAACTTTGAGATCCTGAACGAGGAGCGCCTCGGCAAGCTCGACCAGATGAAGCGGCGGGGCAAGTCCATCCCCAAGAAGGGTGCAGGCAAGCGTTCCAAGAAGTAGAGCGGTGGGGAAGCATAACAGGGCACTATGCTCCGGCAGCGGTGGAGGCGTCGTAGATGTGCTCGGGTCACAGGTACAGAGTAGCAGGCGTCGTATTGCGGCTCCCTTGCCGTTGCACTAGTTATCTAAGGCCAAGACAGCTTTCCACCTTTAGACGTACTCTGGTATCGTGTTCAGTGTATCCCTTGCTGGTCGTGGCTTAAATGTGTTGCGTTCGCTTGTTATCAGAGTGTGATCTCTGTCGATACGCATTATCTGCTATATCGGCAATACTCGTGCTGCAATTCGAACGCTCCACCGCGGCGGCGGCAACTTACCCAGCAACTCTAGCTGCAAGCAAGTCATGCCTCTGTATCATACTCAGAGTGCTGACGGTACATGTTCTTTGTTAAGTACGACTGTACCAGACGTGTACCGCTTTTCGCGGTGGCCAGTCGATTGCCTCGGTTTTGACTGCGAAGAGCCTGGTGTCATTCCCCAAAGCAAGACGCCGTCCGAGAGGTTCGGCGCAGCAGCAGCAACAGCAACCGTAGCAGGAATCAGCAGCCACTCTCGATCACCATGGGCGCCAACGGCCAGGCAGTGCAGACCATGAACAAGAAGAAGGTGAAACTTCTCAGCAAGAAGCGCGCGGAGATCCGCAACCAGAAGAAGGTGGCGGGGCTGCAGAAGGGCAAGCGCACGGTGCTGCGCAAGCACCGGCCGTCCAAGAAGAAACTGCAGAAGGACGCCAAGCGCCACCGCATCTACGTGGAGGCCGAGAAGGCCAAGCTGCTGAAGAGCGGCCTGATCACGGAGGAGGACATTAAGACGATGGAGGCAGAAAAGGGAGACGACAAGGCCAGCGACGACGCCGACGCCGCCATGGACGTGGAGGAGTAAATGGTAACCCTATAGATTACTTTTCTTTTGCTATATAATGTTTTTTCAAACTCTTCTAGTGCTGCGACCCAGAATTTACCACCGATCGCCTTCAATGTCGGCGAGATCGTCTTTGAGGCTTTTACAAACGTACTCCGCCCAGCGCTGCCTTGACACAGGGTCGTTCTTCGCGTGCAGCATCATGCCGTACTCGAAGATTGCGGCGACTTCAGGCAGATCGTCGTCATGGAACTGGCGAATGGTGATGGTCGGCTTGGCAGAGTCCATGGTCATGGTGGAGGGAGACTGCTCTTGGGGTTAGTGCTTCAATGAAGGTTACGAAGTGGCACAAGTAGTGCCGGTGGATAGTGTTCATGCTACAGTACATGTATCGGCCGAACGCGCAAGGCTTATTGAAAGCGGTCGCAAACATGTTGACCTCTCAACTTTCGGCTGAGATGCGACCTCAGTGATTGGTCCGTTCACAGACCTCGACTGTTGAAAACAACCGTTGATGATTCAAACATGGCGCCAAAAGCCAACGGCATCTTTGCCTGACGCCAGGGCACTTGCAGCTCATAATAGCGATTGTATTTTGCTTAGTTTACGTTGACCTCACGGCTGATCTCACGCAGCGGTTGCTTCCCCTGGCATGCATGCGAGTTCTCGCTGGCTCATAGATTATATACTTCTCTCGACCTTCTCTCGGCCTTGCCCGGTGCTTCATGCTGATCGCGACCAGGGCTTAACGGGCTGCGCGTCCTCGGGCTCCTCGTCGCCCCAGTCGTCGAATGAGGGCATCAGGGGACCGATGCGCATCGGGTACACGGGGCGTGTCTGGTTGATCTTCGGCGGCGACGTCAGTTGTCTGCAATGGGCAACACACATAAAGGGCGTGAGTCACTTCAAGTCACTGTTGTCTTCCACGATAGCCGCAGCGCTGGACGTACCGGAGCTTCCTCGGCGGGGTCATGACTGTGTCGGCCACCTTGAGGATCTGGTTGTTCGGGCTCTCGGGTTCACCGGCCATCTTTGGAGCTGGATGAAGGAAGTTCTTATCGGCGAAGTTGCCTTGGTGTTGCTTTTTTGAGAATGACCTTCTTGGAACGGTGGACCTTGGATCGTTCTTTCCGCCTTTGCTGGCCTTTTTTCCAGCGTCGCATCGCCCCAGACACGCGGATCCGAAGCGCGACCAGCAGATGTTGTCTCAGCAGCTCGCCTCCACGAAATGCGCTGTGTTCCACCGCCTCCGATGGCGACGGCGGAATGCGCAGCACAAATTTTGGTCTATTTCAGAGCGTGCGCAGATGGCTGGCAGCTTTGGCTGTGAGGCTTCCGGTGTCTGCAGCGTAGGATACAGCAATTTGAAGTGCGTGCCCCTTCACGTTGAAGCAACAACGCTCGACCAACAAAAGTCTCTTTTCCATTTTCTCCAGTCGCATGTACAGCTGGCATAACTATCGAAGGCAGCAGCAATGAATATTGCCTTTACGATCTCTTGCTGAACTTGGTGAGTGCGAGCAGTTTGTTCAGCTCCTTCGAGCTCAAGTTCTCCTTCATCCTGCAGCACAACCCGAGTAAGTTGTTGCGTATCTGTTTCGACAGCCAAAGCAGCACACTGTAGCTTACCATGCGAGCGTCGCCGTGGGGATGAAGTCCGTGAAGGGCAGCACCTCCTCCATAAAGGCCACGTACTTGGCATGCGGGGACGATTCCTTGTAGAGCGTATCCACCATCTTCGCCGACACGGGCGCCCAAAGCACGTCCGCCAGCTCGCCCACGCCGGGAACTACAAACGTTGCGTTGCCCAAGAAGTCGATCGCCAGACTGGCAACCAGCTTGCGAGACGGATTCTCCAGCACGTATTCCTTCGCGCGAGCGGAGAGAGCGGAGGGCGACAGAGACTCCTCTCCAGGCATGCCCTCGAACAGCAGCAGCTGACCTTGTTGACTCGTCAAGAAGTGCTGGCACGCGCCTTTGACCCTCTTTGAGCGTGCAAGCTTCACCGCCACGACCGCCGATATGGTGGAAAAGATCGTGACCAGCGTCACGGCAACGCCTACGACGATCCACACGGGGAAGCCCATCACGCCAACTAGCAGCGTCAGCGGCAGCCAGACCGGAGAAGTCCCCACGATGCCCACAACGCAGCCCGCCACTGCCGGCAGCAGTCCAAGCGCAGCCTTGTTCTTGTGCAGCGACAACTGCAACAGGCAGGCATCAAAGCACCGACATCCCATTAACCAGCCATCAAAATATCAGCAAAATAGCCAGGTAAGACACCAACCTGGTGCGCAACGCTGGTCGCTCCGTTCTTGATCGCAATGGCATGAGAGATCAATGCACGCGGGCGCCGGTCGGTCTTCACACAGACGCGGATCTCCACGTCCCAACGTACCTAATACGTAATACAGTAATGGCACCGCTCTTCATCAGCTGCACCATTCTCAATAGCAAAGCAGCGCAGTCTAACGGCACGGACGTCTTTGTGCAGCACTGGCTGCGTCCAGTGGATGGCGCCCTCCGTCAGCACGGGGATACACCCTCTCAGCATCAGCGCATGCGTCGCCACCACCTGGTTCTCGTCCAGGAGCTGGAACACCACGTGCTTGTCCAGCAGCGACGTCTTGTCCTTTGTCGTCAGCTCCTCCGCAGCGATGGGCACACTGCAGGGCAGTGGCAGCCCCTCGTCTCTCTCTTGCGCGCCGGGCAGCAGCACCGCCAGTCGAGTGGCTCGCGGCGCCAGCGACGCCTCCTTCAGCTTCGCCGGCGGCTTGGCCAGCCACAGCACGTCGGCACTCTGTAGCGTCAGGTCCATGGCTTGTCAACTGGCTCGGGATCAAGCTTCTTCAGGTTGAAGCACAATATCTAGCTGTTTTATCCAATCATATACATTAGATATGTTTTTGCAGCTCTGATTCGCTGAAATAGATCCGAGTTGCCGCTGTAGCTTGACAATCAAGATGCAGCCGGTGGAGGAGCAGGAGGACCCGAGCTTCGCGTCGGTGCAGGAACCCGCGCGTGCGTCCGCTGAAGCCTCTTCCACGCTCGATGCATTGCTCCACTAACCGCACGCGCCTGTATTGTGCGTCTTTGTGCAGAGCTGCAGCGGCCGCACTGCGACCAATGCCGCGTCTCCATCGCCGACTACGAGTGCCAGCGCTGCGTGCAGCGCTTCTGCAGACAGTGCGAGCTGGACATCCACCACCGACTGGAGGCGCTGGCCTTGAAGCGCGAGGAGAGCAAGGGCGACGGCCGGCCGCACCAGGAGTTCCTCAAGTGGATCAGTGGTGCGTTGCAAAAGGTCATAACGATGAAGAGAGGCATCAACTGACGTTGTTGCCGTGTTGCTGCTGCTGCCTGTAGCTTGCCAGGAGTGCGGTCAAAACACGATGGAGTTCTACTGTGTGACTTGCAGCATGTACCAGTGCGAGAACTGCTGCCAGTCCAAGCATGAGCGGCTGGAGCCGCACTTCTTCTTCTGTGTGGAAGGTGAAGAAGTATGGGGTGGCTGCACTGTGTGTGTTGATGCTGAAGCGAGCTTGTCTGATTGCTGTAGGTTCGTCGCCTAGGATGCTCCCGTTCGCTAGCTGGAACTTGAAGTTCGTGGAAATGGTGAAGGTGAGCAAGGGCAAGCTGCAAGACAGAGCTGCTGCGGCTGAAGCAGCAGCAGAGCAGACTAACACAACTGCTAAGGAGCTGCCGGAAGAGAAGTACAGTGCTACTGCTGCCGCTCGTATTAAAATGGAGAAGGGTGCAGCGTCCACAAGCGATACGACAACAGCGTTGGGCAATCTGTCCATTACTGGAGCTGCATCGACAGATACCCCACAAGCATCAGCAGCTGAACCGCCCAAGAGCCAAGCCAAGCACTTGGCGCGAGTGAATACCACGTCAATTGTCGACCTGACGCTTGGTGATGAGAGTGACTCGCAGTCCAGCCCAACCTCGAATCCGCCGCCCCAGCCACAGATCAAGGAAGAGATTCGCGTAAAATCTGAAAGCGCGTGGCTGGCCTCAGCTGCCGCTGCACAAGAAAACCCCGTGCTTGACGTGGACGAGCTGATGGAGAAGACGATGGGCGAGGACGAAGACCCCATTCTGCGCTCAATGATCGGCGAGTACAACCAACAGAGCGAAAAGATTTTCGGCATCAAGCAAGACTATGACAAGTCTGTGAAGGAAACGAAGGAGCTGTCGAGTGTCCAGCCGATGAATATGAGCGAAGTCATGAAGGCACGAGTCAGGTCGAAGAAGCTACGCCAAGATCTCGCCACAGCAGAAAAATCTCGAGACGGCGTGGTGGCCAACATCGTCATGTATCTCAAGTGCGACCCGGAAGAGCTCACGTCGTTCCTGCAAACGTGCACGGCCGATGTCCCTTACGCCCAAGACGCAAGTCACCGCAAGTGTGCAGCACTCGAGGCCAACATCCGCTCCAACCTGGAACATATCCAAAGGATCCAGCGCAACATGGAGGAGCTGATCAACATGAAGAAGGACGCGTTCGCAGAGGTCACGCGACTTGGGGCGGAGATCGCCCAAGGGGAGGAGGAGGTTCGCCAGCTGGACAAGGAGCGACAGGATGAGTTTTTGCGGTTGTGCCAGTACAGCAAAGGAATTCAGACCGCCGTGCGCGAAATGGCTGCAAGCGCGCAGTGAGAGTGCCACCATGCAGCACGTTCATGTTGCCCCAGTGACGTCAGCTTGTGAGCCCTGCAGTTGGTGGTGGGCGATGCGGCAGAGTATGATACGAGTTGAGTTTTGAATTCATGTTGTTCCTGGCGCATCGACTTTTATCTAATAACCTTTTTTCTTGCCACTTTAGTCAACCCTGCACTAAACTAACTAAAACCAACGAAACCAGCTTGAAGAGGTGCAGGCACAACGATGGTTGGTGTCGTCACGGAGAGTCCGCCGATGAGCGCATTGACCCTCTATTGAAGAGACCTGCAAAATACTACAGTGCAGTAATATGTTGATGGCAGAGGTTTGCTGTTGTTTCTGCAGCTCAAAGTCCGATAATTGAGTAGATCGCTGACAAGAGCAACTTGCATCTGATGCCTTGCAGGCCAGATTCACAGCCAAGTCAAGCAGGAGCGTGGGACGCGTTGTCGTGTCTGCATTGCACTCCGATGATGCATGTACCAATGGTCAGCAGTGTTGCCTTTAGCTATAGCGAAAAACCGCAACAAACTGCAACTATAGTGCAGTACGAGCAAAATTCACACACTTTGCCATTTTGCCGTCTTGTTGCCATTTGCTTCAACTTGTGCAGCTGAGCAGAAGTAAGCCATTCGTCGCCGAACACTTGCTATTTGTATGCGGCAAAGTCTAGGTCCTTATAAAGGGGAAGGGTGTAATCCATCTCTGTTTGAACTTCCTGGCGATATCCAGAGCTTCAAAGAGAAAAAGACGCAGGCGGCGGCCGAGAGGAGCGAGCCTCGAGCTGAGTTTCCTGCCCCTCCAATACCTCGCAGAGCCCGTCGGACCGCGTGCAAGTGCCAGACCGTTCGCTAGGGATCTACCGCTGGAGCTTCATCTAAGCGCCCGCCCGCTGCACAGTGCTACAAGCCCCAGGAATTGCGTGGCGAAGCTGCCGCCTCACTTGCCATTTGCCATGAGCGGCGGCGTGTCACAGACTCAGACGCAGCCGCTGGCTCGGGTCTATTCGTATGCGCTGCATTCGCTCTCGGACACCAAGGACACTGTGCGTATGGTGTTAAAAAATCTGATTCCGTTTAGACCTGGTGGTGGGTGTTGCTGATTCTCTAACTTTATGATGTGATGTGGTGTTGCGCAGCTGATTCTGGTCTGCATAGGCCTGTTGGAGGCGCTGGATCGCCTGCAGGAGCGCCTGCACCTGCCCACGTCCATAGTGAAGGAGCTGAAGCGCCGGCTGGCCACGATGGTGAGCAGGTCGTCCGTGAGGCTGCAGACCAAGTGCCCGAGCGCGCGCGACCTGGGCGACGCCGTGGCTTCCAGCAGCGTCTGGGACGCCGCCACGCCCGACGAGGTGCGCGGAGTGGTGCACTGGGTGCTGGCGGTCACGAGTTCGCTGCAGAGGCTGGTGGTCAGCGCGTCGCTGGGCGTGTGCCATGGCATCTACGTGCTGATCATGAGTCTGCCGGGGGTCTCCACGGCCTGCTCGCTGTTCTATGGACTGCTGGAAGCTGTGGAGGACACACTGAGGCTGTCCGGGGAGGAGATTATGGAGGCGGCGTCTGCTGGGGGATCGGGATCGGGCAGTGGACGTAGTCGAAGCTATCACCATTTGCACCACAGACACCACCGCGGTGCTGAAAGTTATGTTGCTGACCCGAGCTGTACGTTGTGCTTTTATTTTATTACTTTTTATTGTTTGTTTATGATGTGATTAATGAAGTGTTGCATGGTGTTGTGGTGATAGTGACCGCGGTGGTGTTGGAGTACAAAGAGAAGGAGTGCATGGTGCCGTCGAATATTGACCGGAGGATACGGCGCTTCATGCACTTTCAGGTCCCGCTGCATTCGTTTGAAGCTACTGTGCGGCTGCCTCCAGGTAACGTGCCAGTCACTTCTAACGTTAATTGGAGCAGAACTACCAGCGATGGAAGTGTTGGTGGAGGCAGCAGCCGAGCCCAGGAGGAGACGACTTCAAGCTATGCTCACCTGAGTTCCGCGACACCGCGGTCGATTCCAGTTTCGCCTATGGCGCGCAAACGCGTGCAGCTTGCCTTCTCCAACTTTTCGGACGATGTGTTATATCAAGTGCGTGATCGACTGCGGCAAGAACGTGCGGCAACGCTAACGGGTGATCGTGGCCTACGCGTACCAAGATTCAATCCGCACGATTGTCACGAAGATATATTTTTATCCTGTGGGCGGCATTGTGCTTCGAAGGAGGGCACAGGCATGTATCGCAGTGTGCGCGCTTCAGTACCGCTGCAGAAGAATCGGTTCGTGTACTTTGAGATGACGTTACAGCAAGGACGAACGCCGGCACGTGGAGTCAGCCAAAGTACCAACAGGTCGGAGAGCTTGCCGCAGTCAGCGCGTGGCTCATCAACTGCATTGGCCAGTGCAAGTAGTGGCAATGTGAATGACCGAGCAGGCATCGATGCAAGCGTCTGTATTGGGCTGTCAACGCGTCTGATGCCACTGAATACGCTGGTTGGGGCGTCAAAATATTCTGTAAGTTTGCAGACGAAGTGTGCACATGTTCGCATGAAGATAACTAACTGACTTCTATTGTTTTGTTCATACCTACAGATAGGATTCTATTCTGCTGGCCACGTGCTCGTAGGCACGGAGCGGCGACGCTCAATAGGAGTTGGGCGGAAGTACGGGTTTCAATCTACAGTTGGAGTTTTGGCCCAGGTAATCGGCCATTCGGACGATGAGAACGTGGACGCACCTCCTGGAAGTGTATCGCGGCCCGCATCCTCGTCATCGGCTACGAGTGATTCTGGTGCTCCTGTCGGTGAAGCCTTTGTGCGTTTCACTGTGGACGGGATAGCACTCCGCGATAGCAATAACCAAGTGATGGAGTTCACGCTTCCGTTTCCGCCAAAAAGCGAGCTTTACCCGACGCTGACGCTCCACTCTCAGGATGTGCACGTGTTTAGCCAAATGTCAGCACCTGATATCACCCGGCTCAACTTGCAGGAGCTCGATTTACCCGCTGAAGCTCCAGTCGAGATTTGGTGTCTCGACGGTTTACGCCTCGAAGTTGCAGCATAGAGCTATCGAGCCTTATATAAGAAGCCGCAGAGCCAACGATTGTGGTGTCGATTGTGTTCATTCCCGACACAGACGTTGCGCTACGCAGAAATCATTTATAAAGACGCAACGAAATGAGATGGTGCCAAATAATTCGCTAGAGTTCTTGATCCTTGTCTTACCTTGTGCTCGTTGCTAGGGAGCGCTGCCGCCACGGTCGGTTGCTGCAGACTGCACCAGCCGTGGGGCCTATTGTAAATGAGGCTCAACAGGAGCACACAGACATGATCTCGCTGATAAGAGGTATTACAAACTGTACTTCCCGTATTTGTCGCCACCCAGGCCGACTTGCATCGTAGTTTCGTCCAGGATGCGTTGCAGTTCCCGCCTGGCCTCGATAACGGAAGCTTGTGTTGGACCCTCGATAGCCTACGCGAACAAAAAATCAATTAGTTTGAGCGGGAGATAAAAGACACTACATCCACAAATGCCCAACGTACCAAGTAAAGTTTCCGTTCCGATGGATTCGGCTTGCGGCCAGCAGGAATATACGACCCTCTCGCAATAACCGCTGCGCCAGTGAGCTCCGCCACCGAGTCGCTTGCCTCTTTCTGAGTGACTCTCCAGCGTGCCTGCTGAGGATAGTCATTAATCTCAAGCTCCTCAACGAAGTGGTTCTCGCCAGAGCCGTCGCCATTACCCTTGTACTGCAGATCGAGGTTCTGGATGATTTTCTGAGCTTTGATGAAGGCGGACATTGCTTCGCTGTCGACAGGTAGCTGCTTTGCCACGGCAGGCAATGATGGCTTGTCAGTCGCAGCAACAGAGTTCTCCTTGCTCGGCTCGTCTGCATCGTCATCATCGGCGGCAGCGTTATCCTACAAAGATACAAAAAATAAATATCAGTACCAGTGTCGCAAAGCCAGCCAATGTTATGATATAGCGTACCTCAACCAAAATGCCATTGTCCAATTCATATTGGCGTTTTTGAAGATCTGCCGTGCGCTGGGTCTCGTTCCGCTCCGTTTCATCGAACGTGAAGCCCTTGCCCTTAAAGCCACTGCCGTGATACCTTGCTTCACCGCGCTTAACCTGGAGCATAAGAAAAGAGATATTAGCAGTTGGGCAAAGGTTAGGCCACACTGAGCCAGAAGCGCCGTACCTTCTCCTTGAATGCTTCCGCTAGTTGCGTCAGCTCGGGCGGGACAGTTTGTTTAGCGTTTTCAAGCGCCTTCACGAGATCCACCGAGTACTCCTCCTCCTACGATTGCACGCATGTCAGTCAGAGCTCACAATTAAAGCCCAGAATTAACACGAAAGCAGGGCAACGTACATCTGGAGAGATGAAGGTGTAAGCAGTACCCTTACGCCCAGCTCGTCCGGTTCGTCCCACGCGATGGACATAGTCTTCCATGTGATTCGGGCAATGGTAATTGATGACAAGAACCAAATCCTTCACGTCAAGACCCCGACCAGCGACAGATGTCGCCACCATCACGGTCCGCACCTTCCGTTTGAAGTCATCGATGGTGTAGTCTCGATCGACTTGATCCTTTCCACCTGTCGGGATACAATGGGATAACGTTCACAATGAAATGTAAGCCTCTCTTTAATAGCATTGGAAAGATGTCGTGACGTACCGTGCAGCGATAGCGCAGGGTATCCAGCCTTCATCAAGTCCTGGAAGATCTGGTCGCATGCTTGCTGTTTGTTTACAAACACAAGAATGTTTCCCTTCTCATACCACAGACCCAAGAGTTGAAGGAGTCGCATGAACTTGTCGTCCTCTTCGCGCACTTCAACATATTGCGTGATATCGCCTGACGCCGTGCTGCGTGTGCCCACGGTAATTTCAACTGGTTTCCGCAGTACTTTACGCGCGAGAGATTCCACCGAGCGAGGAAAAGTTGCCGAGAACAATAATGTCTGTCGATCTGGCCGAATGTTCATCATAATCTTCGTAATCTGCGGCTCGAAGCCCATGTCGAACATCCGATCAGCTTCATCTAGCACCACGTACGTAACACGCTGGAGCGATACCATTTTACCCGCACTCATGCACAAAATATCGATCATGCGGCCTGGCGTGCAAATCACGATATCGGAGCCACGTTTCAGGTTAGCGATCTGTTCTGAGACCGAGGATCCACCATAAACAGCCGTAGCGCGCAATCCTAGACCCTTCGAAAACTTCCGGGTCTCCATGTAAATTTGCTGAGCAAGTTCTCGAGCGGGCGCCATGATGATACCAATCGGTCCCTCATTCTCTTGGAGTGGGGGTTGAGCCAGAATGTGACGGAACATAGGAAGAAGGAACGCCAACGTCTTGCCTGAACCCGTCTTGGCAATGCCGATGACATCACGTCCAGACATAATCGCCGGCAGTGCCTGCTTTTGGATAGCGAACGGTTCCTCGAAGCCATGCTTCTTGATAAGTTGAAGCATCCGAACGCTGAAGCCACATTGCGTCCACTTTTGCAGCGGGCGCGGGCAGCTCTTTCCGCGTACCTTGATTTCAGACTCCTTACGCTGAGCCTCCACCTCTTCCTCCGACAAGTCTTTGATTTCTTTCGGAACCACGTAGAATTTCTTTTGGAACGCGAGATAATTCATCTTCGAGTGATCCACCGGTTTGATCTCCTTCTTCTTCTGCTGTTCTTGCAGAATTTCCAGAGCTGAGCGCTGGTCCACCAGTTCCGAGTCTTCACCGATAATATCTTCTTCAAATCCTTGGTAGATGCGTCCCGTGTCATCCTTCTTCAGCATCGGGTCCTCTTCATCTTCTGGTCCAGCTCCGTTAGTTTGAGTCGTAGAGGCTGCAGTAGCATCCGCAGCCTTCTTCTCCTCCTGCTCTCGTTTCTCCTTAATCGCTCGCATAAACTCCTTGAGCTCGCGCTCTTCACGCGCTTCACGTTCTTCAGGAGTCTCTTGCACCTCGCTAGTTGCGGCCTTGGGTTCAGCCGTAGACGAAGACGTTGAAGCGGTCACGCTCGACTGCTCAGCGGCATCCGGAGGCAGGAACGTACCATAAATATTGATCTTGCCCTTGGCTTCGATCTCGGACTGGGAGATCACGTTGGCAGCAGGGTTCGCGCGCGACTGGTTGATAGCCGCTTCGTCCACAAGACCGGCCATGTAGGCGTCCAGCGGGTCCACTTCCTCCACGACCTTCTGCACTCGCTCCCGCTGGCGCGCCTCTAGCTCCTCTCTCTTCTTCTTCTCCTCGGGAGTTTCACCCTTCTTCTCTTCATCCACCGGCGTCCATAGAGCCAACTGCTTGGGCACTGCGTCCTCCTCCGCCAGGAACTTGGCCTTCTCCTCCTTCTTCTGCTCCTCGATCAGCAGCTTCTGCTTCTCACGCTGCTCCTTCTTCGCCGCGTTCTCGCCATTAAGCGGCGGCTTGCTATCTCCGCTCAACGCGTTGAAGAACGGCGCGGACTTCTTCTTAGGAGCCTGAACGTTGCCCGACTTCAACGAGATGCCACTAAACTTGAACTTCTTCAACGTAGCTCCTCCAGTCTTCACGGCAACAGGGGGAGCAGCAGCTGCAGGTCTCTTCTTCTCCTGACTCTGGCCACTCTTCTGCTCCTTCTTGTCGTTCTTCACCTCAGCAGCGTGCGTCTTCTCTTCCCTATCGGCAGCGCGTCCGTCGGCTTCTTCTAGCTTAAGATCTTTCTGCTCCTTGGGCTCCTCCTTGGACTCGGACCTCCTGCGTCTCGCCTGGCTCCTGCTCCGACTCCTACTCCTGCTCCGGCGGCTGCTCTTGCGCGAGCTGCGGCGGCTCTTGTCCCTCTTGGACTTGGATCTCCTGGGCGAGCGGCTGCGCGACCTCGAGCGCGAGCGCGAGTGCGACGGCGAGCGGCGCCGCTCCCGCCGGTCGCTCTTGGCGCGCTTCTTGCGGTGCTTGTCGCTCGACTTGGACGCGCGGCGGCGCTTCCGCTCCCGAGAGCGCGATCTGGAGCGCGACGCGCCGCTGGCGGACGACGGCGAGCGGGACCTCGAGCGCTTGCGACGCGACGACGACGACGCGCCGTGGCGCCGGGAGGACGCGCGCGAGCTGCGGCCGCGACTCGGGCTGCGGCTGCGGCTCCTGCTGCGACTGCGGCTCCTGCTGCGACTGCGCCGCCGCCGGTGGCGACTGGGACTCGCGGCGTCTTGCGCCATGGCGGTGGAAATTGGATAATGAGGAAATCCGTGGCTGGTACTTTGAAGGCGGAGGCGGCGGCGGTTTTCCGATCTGGTCATTGGGTAATATTGCGGATTCAGAGGAAGGGGATTGGACGAAATAGAGATGTCACACAAAAATGGACGGAAAAGATAATAGACGTTGGAGGACAAAAGTGGACACTAATTGGGGAGTTGCTGTCCTTCTCGCTTAGAAGTAGAGGTACTCTTTCCGTTTGCGCTTGGAGAAGATGATGGCGCCGAACATGAGCGAGTCGTAGTGCGGGAAGTCGTTCGAGTTGGGCAGGTGCCCGATCTCGCCGAACGTCGTCATGCCCATGAGCGACGCACCGCCCGACCAATCCTTATACGCGCCAACCTGCGTCCGTCACAGAGTACACAGCACGTTAGAAGACATTCAGCGCGATGAGGTACAAGCAGTGGCAACTTACCATCTCGGCCATGCTCTTGTGGCCTAGCAGAGCTTGCACTCCGGCCGACAGGAACATCAGACAGCCGATCGTCTCGTGGATGTAGAACTTGTTGCTCTCCACGGCTTGTGCTCCCATCTGGACAACAAACGTCAAAGCAGAAGGGGTCAGTTATCATCCAGTAGGTCCAATACAACGCAGCAGCACAAACCTTGTTGATGGCGGTCTTCAACGACTGCGCGGAGGTCTCCATCAGCACAACGTTCGTGCCGGAGGCAACTGAGCTGGTCGTGCTCAGTGAGCCATCCTCGTTGATGCCAGTGATCACCGCCGTCATGTTGATAAGCTTGGACCAATCGCTCGACTGCATTGAACAGAGCGAGGACGAAGAGTTGGCGTCGATGCTGCGGTCGATCTCCATTTGGTTCGACACGAAGTCGATCGTAGTGCCCAGTGGGTGCAGGCTGCCGAGCCGAGGGAACCCGATTGAAGAGAGCTCAGTCTGGCTCTTGTCTGACGCAACATCAAGCCACTGTAAAATCAAACAACAATGAGTTAGATGATGTCGGTGACTCCATACAGTTAATAAACCAAGCCATTACCTCTTGATAGACTTCCGCCGCTGGTTTGCAGTCGATCTCGTAGATCGTCTTGTTCGATGCCTTCGTGACTGTGCCCATGCAGTATTCGCTATTTACTCCGACCGGACTGTAGCCGCTAAACCAGCTGACGTACGTCTCCACACTCGGGAAGCACAGCGCAAACGCGATGCCCATTTCCGTCCAGTCACCTCGCCCGTCACGAACACTCTTCGTGTAGTCCGAACTACTGCTACTGCTGATTTGAATCCAAGAGACCGATACCTCACCCTCACCGTGCCTTGTGGCGTCTGAAGAGCATCCACCGATAATCGGACAGTGAATTGCCTCGCGGATACCGTCAATCGCGTGCTCTACAAACAGCGGACACGCGTACGTAGCGATAAATGCCGGTTTTTCTCCAGCATCCACGTCACCTGCTACACGGGCAAATGCAGTCTTCGCCGCTGCATACGTCTTTTCATGTGCGTCGCTCTGCGAGTACTCGGCGTGGACAACGGAGTAAATTCCGTGGGGGTCATTCACTCCCCATAGAGTGACAAGCCCTTCATCGTTGTGCCGATTCACAGACACCCACGCGTTCTCGTCACACATGCCACGAGCGATCGTACCGCCGATGTAGGGCACCCCGGGAGCTAACTGGCGAAGCAGGTTAACAATTACTTCAGCGCTAAAACCCGTGGAGAAGCCGACAACCACGAAATGGACATCACCTCCGAGCTTTGTCATCAGTTCCTGAAAGGCACCAGTCATCGCGAGAACTTCTGTCTTGTTCGTAGCCCACGCAGATGCAGCATGAACGTAGCTGCTACTGTTCTGAACGGGCAGTCTCTCCATCGAACTTGATCTCCGTTCCGCTTCCTCCTGATTGTCGTGACTTGGTGGCACAGACTGCCGCACGGGGTCCTGCGAGGGACCACGACGACCAGCACTGGTGGGACGTCCTCTGCTACCTGGGCTCTTGCTCTTTGTGGCGACGGGCTTGGCCACACTCAGCTGGTTATCCCGGCCGTGGCCGGTAGCGCGCTCGACACTGACTTCGGAGTGAGATCGACGCACCCGGCGCATATGCTTGGAACCGCGAGCTGCCTGTTCACCGTAGCTGTGGCGCTGCGGCAGCTGCATGTTGCTTTGCCGCTGCTTCCCGCTAGAGACTTTGCGTGACGTCCGCAAATTCGAATCGCGGCGCTGCCGATCATCAATGGTATCTGGAAGTTCACGATACTGGTGGTGAGGGCGGTTGTTTCCATCCTCCTTTTCCTCCTCTTCATTGTCCAAGCTGATGCGACGGTACTTACGAGGCATACGCTCCTCCTTGGAGCTTGGAACTTGCTCCTTCTCATCGAGCGGGGCTTCCAAAGCACCTGACAAGTCCTGGGAGTGCGAAGGGCTGGGCAGTCGGAGCTGCTGCACTCCACCTCCCGGCTCGCCGCCTGCAGCGAGCTGCTGCTGCTCGGTGCTGCGTTGGATCCAGTCCTTAAAGTCCTCCTGGTTATTCAGCTCCCTCCCACTCTTCGACCGATGGTGGGACACCACGCACTTGCTGCACACGCGGATACTCGGTTGGTGGCGCGACAGCACCTGCTTACCTGTGTCATTGTGCGTGAAGCTGATCGAGGGCACGCGGATGGTGCTGCTGCAGGCCCAGCAGATCACTTCCCCACACGTCCGGCAGTGGTGACGCCGCCGGAAGATCGGCGAAAAGCGGCGATTGCAAAGCACGCAGAAGCGACGTTCTCTGCATCAATGCAAGGCGGAAAGGAATGCTCATTAAGTAAGTCGAATACATGCAACCGAAAGATGCCCCCGCTAACGGCAGGAGGTGGCGCAACGTACTTGTCTTTCACCCAAGCGGACGTCTTTACAACAGAGATCTCCTGCAGCTCTGGCGGGTCCTCGAGCAAGTCGCGAAGACCCCGTGCGAGCTGCGTGACCATCTCCACTGCAGGGTTGCTGCGGAAAAGGCTAACCATGGGCGGAGGTCGCTGGAACGCGATGGAGATCGTGACAAAGTCGTCCTTGTAGTCCGGCGAGGACGTGCGCTCGAACTTGCAGATCAGCGCGTCGAACTGAGACCGCTCCAGGTTGTTGCCCTGGATGTGCGGCATGCCGCCCACTTCCGCCAGCGATTCCTGGAACAAGTAGCATGCAACGATATCCCCGCCCGACGTCTCGATACCAATGTACTGCCAATCCACCACACACAAGCACAACATCGTCAGTTGAAGCCCCGCCCGTCATGGGGCCAGCATTGTAAGTAACGGCTGGAATATCGAAGAAATGCTGCGCCGCGCGTCACGTCGCGACCCGGTTGCTGCGTCGCTGCCTGCACTTACCTCCAGCACGTAGAAGTCGGAGGACTTGCTAGCCAGTGTGCCCGACTTGATGGCCCACCACTTGATGGCCGCCTGCTTGTACATCTCGCGCGCGTCCCGCGGTGGGTTAGCGCTGGGGTAGACGCCCGTGCCGTTGAGGTCCTCGAGCACCTCTGCGTCCAGGAACATGTCGCCCAGCACCTTGCGCATGAAGAGCTTGAACTTGTCTGACGTCTTGAGGTCGTAGATGGTCTTGAGCACGTTCGGGAACGCCGCGTTGGCAAACACCACGGCCTTGGCCGAGACGGACTCGGACCAGTCGGAGCTGGGCTTGTACACGCCGATGTCGTTCTTGCAGTCGTGCACCTTCCACAGCGCGTTGCTCGAGTCCGCCAGTAGGCCGAGACACGACCGCGCGCGGTTCTCCGCGTACTTGTGCAGCCGGATCTTGCGCTCGTACGAGAGCGACGGGCCCTGCGGCTGCGGCAGGAACTCGTCGTCCTGCGAGTTCGAGTTGTCCGCCGAGTCGCTCCAGTCCGCGGCCGCGTTCTTGTCTTCCGCAGCGTCATTAGCCGCCGCCGCCGCCGCTGCTGCTGCTGCTCCAGCTGCAGCCGCCGCTGGGGGCACCGCCACGTCCTGATTCATGTGCCTGCTACTGGTTGCTGAGTGCCTGTTGCCTGTTGCCTGTGTGGCGCCTGCGTTGCGCCGCGCTACGCTACGACGCCGAGCCAACCGTCGACGATCAGACCAGATGGGATCCCTTTGCCGTCGGCTCGCGATCGATCTCGATCTCCGGTCTCTGTGAAGTGGGGGAGGGAGAAAAGAAGAGGGAGCCTCGGTCGATGCCTGGAGAACGCGAGGAGAGTGGCGGCCAGCAGCGCCGCGCTTTATGCACAATGGCCGTCTGCGCAGCGCCCGACGCAAATCGCCTTGTAGGTGGGGCTTCCCGTCACTTTCCATGAATGTGCCTCGACGTACAGACAATCCCTTCGATAGTAATCACAAGGTGCTCAAATACCCTTAGAGCAGATTATCCTCTACACAGAAATTTGTAACGGTCTTCGAACCAGACTCCGGTGTCAACTTCATGTCGAAATGGTTCACACCGGTACTCGGATACATGAGCTGTGTGGCATGTCGGTCGGTTTGTCCAGCTCTTGCAGCAACCAAAACTAAAAAAATATGTAATAAACATTGAGTTGGAATTCTGTGCTGCAAGGCCTTCAAATATCTGCCAACTAGGAAATACTAGAATACAAGTCTTAAATGTTCAGTTGAAGCTAAAGAATTCCTACATCTTTGTCTCAGTTAAAACTAAGAACCCCGGCATCTTTGGTCAATATGGAAATGGAATGAGGGAACTACAACGTTGGTTCGCATGCGTGAATTCATTGCGATGTATTGCTCTGTTTTAGATTCGGTTGGCTGACAATCTCGAAAACTGCTTTTGATGGTGTTTTGTGAAGTTAGAACCACTCAGCGCTGAGCTCGCGCAGCATTTTCATTTGATTGATTTCTGAATACAGTAGCCCGCTTGCCTCCGCCACACTACGCATAGAACAGCTCCCGCACCCCCACCAGGTATTGTTCAGCTTAAAGCACGACAGTCCAACTCGTGGACGCTTTAATAGGCTGCCAAGGAGATAGGCCGTAATGATATCAGGAGCCGAAACCCCTCGACAGAAATACCCTCACCTAAAGATAAACGAGACTATGCTTACTGGGGGGATTGCATGAAACGCGGTGTGGTGCACACCAAAGGTCGGGTACCCATGTGCAAGCGACGATCCCGATCCCACTCGCCTCTTTTCTGGCTTTCCAAGTGAGTCATGTATTGGCCAATACTGCAAAAGGTTTCAGCCAATCCTCGATGGGATCTGTAACGACTAGCGCAATGCGTGTTTCTGCCCAATGAGCTCGTCGACAGGAGCGTGCCCTGCATCAGTTGCAGTGCCAATTCTCCTCCCTCTCTTCAAGCCCCAGTTCTCTCTCTCTCTTCCGCGCCGCCGCGACCATGGGCTTGGGCAGCGCCGCGGGCCTCATGACGGACGACCTCGTGCACGACGTGGCGGAATTCCTGTCGCCCGTCGACCTGCAGGCAGCCATGTGCGTTACTCGCTTGCTGGCCTCATACCCGCTCTGCTCTGACGCCCTCACGCTCTGAACGTGTCCCTCGCAGCCAAGTGAACTCGTGGTGGGGCGCCGTGTGCTCCAGCGACGTCATCTGGAGACGCCTATGCGTCGCGCGCTGGCTGCTGCCGCGCCCCGAGCGCCTCAAGCGCAGCACGGGCACCGGCAGCTTCTACGAGCTGTACCTGTATCTGGACCGCGCGCGCTACCTGCCGCGCGGCAAGTACACGACCAAGGTGCGGACGCTGCTGTCTGGACGTGGCTGGGTTAATAGGTGCTGTGTCTAATGTTGTAGCGCTTCTCGGTGTGTCTTTTGAGCAGCACCAGATCGTGTGGGGACGCGGGCGGGATGAAGGCGCCGACGTCTGGATGACGGTGGCGCACAGCTCCAACTGCCAGGTGCTCTCGACGGCGGGCGCGCAGTACATCCAGCTGCGCGTGGTGGTGCAGAATCTGCGCGCGCAGCCGCTGACGGTGGATCTGCAGGAGCTGGAGGTCCGCATGAAGGGCGGTAGTCAGGGAACGATCTTCGGCGTCGGCCCAGTGGCGAATCAGCCCAGACTTGAAGCGGCCGATGCGGCTCGCGTGAAGCAGCTGGCGCCCGCTGTGCTGGCGGTGAACGGTGTGGACGTGCACCCGTCGCTGACGAGTCAACTGGTCGAGCTGCAGATGTTCGAGTTCGCAGTGCTTGCGGTGAACGTCGTGTGCAATGGATGCGAGTTTGAGCCCGACTTCCTCGAGTCCTGCAGCTCACTGTGGGTGCCCATTCGACGTGTGGGGCGGTGTACGTCGCTGAGCACGTGTCGCTGCGGACTCATCCCGGACAGCTATCACCGCGGCATCATTCGCGTGCCCGTAGTAGACGAGTCCGTGATCTGGAGGCACTACGATCTCGTCTCGAACCGATTTATGGTACGCCCGGGGTTGGATATCTTACGCTGGTACGGTGAGCTCAGTGCTGACTATGTTGTGTGTTGCTTGTTGTTGTTTTGCGCAGGTGCTGGATACCCGGTCAGTCGAAGACGTCGACCAGTTCAGTAATTTATTAGGCTCGCCTATCAGCCACTTTGCAAAACGCAAGCGCAGTATTTCGTGAACAAGTGCAAGAAGTGGCGGTGTGTAGGTGACAGTAGGTAGTGAAAAGTATTGTCATTATATTCGCAAATCGAGCAAGGTAACTATTCATCCAACCGGGTCCCGTTTCCACTCTGTGTCTCCTCCATTTAGGCAGGAATGACATTTTGAGATCCACCCCTTCAGCGCCAAGTGCCCCTTCACAGCATCTACCGACGGATCAAGCACACGCAATGCCGACGACTGAAGACACTGAGAAGGACGTGCCGGCAGTGGCCTCCGATACCTCCAAGAAGGTAGCGAAGAGTCCATGGCTGTCCGCGTATTTCAACTCCGTGGCTGGGATCAAGGCGGCATCAAGTTGCATACAACTGGTGGATGTCTACGGCGACGGTGATGCCAAGCTCGTAGTTGCCGACGGAGATCAACGGCTCAAGATGTATAAGGGTGAGTAGGAAATCTACCACCAACAGGGGTGTACTTGTAGTTTTGGGCTCACCTTCATACCGTGTTCACTTATCCAGGATCGTCACTTCACGGAGAGCAAGCGGTTCTAGGAGTGCCATCGGCTTTGAGCTACTTCTACTCGGGTGCGTAGGCTGACACGAAGAGAATGACTTATCACGGGTAACATTAACACTGCGCTTCGATTTCTTTTCTGTTGTGAATGTAGACAACAATCGGCCACGCATCCCTGCGATTGCTGTTGCCTCGGGTCCCTATATCTTCATCTATCGCAACTTCCGTCCGCATTACAAGTTCACCGTCCCCTCGATCGAGATCGATGCTCAGGAGACAAAGCTTTGGGAGGCGCTGGCGAAATGCACGATTGAAGTCCCTGACGCTCTCGCACAACTTTCAACCATGCGGTACGGATTGGTGATTCCTCTCCTCCTGGGTATTTATTTACTCTAACTAAACCACTATCGTTGCTAGTGGGCTAGGCATTCGGCTATCAGAGCGTTCGAGAGGGCTCCTGGCGATTGACAACATTGAGGAGCAAGCTGAATACGTCTCCCGCTTCATGGACGACCCGCTCGTTGAGCGCTCGTGCGTGACCTGCATGACTTCTATCAACAAGAACATGGATGACAAGGACGCGGTGAGCTGGTACGGCTGCAGTGCAATGACGAGCTGACACTCCTAAAGTTCAAGCTGAACTAATGGTGGCTCTCCTTTTCAGCTTAGTGGTGGCCACGGAAGGTTGCATGGTGTATGTGTTAGACCCTCAGGGTACGTCGCTCATCCAGCAGATCAAGGTTCCGGGTGTGCCGGTGGAAATTGTGGCTGTCGGGTTGCTAGACGTCGAGTGCCGACTGGTTATCACGACTCGCAATGGGTCCGTATACATGATTAAGAATGGTGAGCTGCTGAAGTCGGTGATTGAGCTGGAGTCTCCTGCTTGCGGCTTGGTGCAGCTGGAGAAGAGCATTGTGATTGCATCCATGAGTCGCAAACTCACGTCGTATCACCTCAAGGGCAAGAAGAACTGGAGTCTGACCATGAGCGACGACATTGTGGCTCTTGAGGCATTCAGTCTTCGTCGTACGAAGGACACACGCGGCGTTCTTGTGGCTTTACGCAATGGCGAAGTCACGCTGTACAACGAAAAGGTGAAAGTGTGCACCCTCAGTACGGAGACGGTGCTGACAGGAATGCGCTTTGGTCAGTACGGCCGCGAAGAGGCCTCGCTCGTGCTCGTTCAAAAGAGCGGCGCGCTTTCGCTCAAGATCCTGAAGCGCACAGCCAGTCTAGAGGCGATTTCTGAGGCAGCAGGCCCTCCCCCGGAACAAGGTCGGTCTATTTGGCTATTGTTGTTGTGAGCTATGCTATGCACTAACTTGTGGATCGTGTGCTAGACATCCCCCTGAACATCCCCAAGAAGACGACCTTGTACGTCGAACAAACCCAGCGCGAGCGAGATCACGCCACCGAAATGCACCGCCATTTCCAGCGAGACCTGTGCAAATTGCGACTGACCACGGCTCGAGCTTACGTGAAGATCATCAAAGACGGACAGGTACGAGAAGCTCGACTGAGTGATAGTACATTTGTAGGAGCTGATTGTTGTTCACATGTTTTGATGACAGGGACCAGTATCGTACTCGACGGGTGCAGCAATTCGCCTGAATGCACAGGTGCAGGGAATCGGTCCGTTCTTCCGAATCAAGCTGAATGTCCAGGTTTGATACCACGCTGTACCGATTGACATCCTTCCAAGTCTGGCTAGGTTGAACTAACCTTGTGTGAAATTCACACGACATTCACATTGTGGATGTCACATTGTGGATGTCGATCAGAATGCTGGTACCAAGGCGGTGACAGACATTACCGTGGCCTTCCACTACGACCACGAGCTGTACCGCGTCGAGCAGAGCTTGCTGTTGATTCCCCTCGTGATTCCCGTGAGTAGACAACTGTACCATACCGGAGCTCGATGATTTTACTTATGCATTAGTTCTCTCTTTTCCTGTGCATCTGCTTCATCTTAAACAGAACGTGCAATACCAGTACGCGGTGGATGTGGAGAGCATCTCGGAGCTCGGCGCTGCCGACAACGTGTCCATCTTCGTGTGCGGCAAGGACAGGTGCAGTACTACCCCCTAAGTTGCAAACAGCTATCGGCAAGCGCAACTAACTCGTTCCGCATCGATGTGGTTGCAGCTGCGTCCCGCTCGTTTCGGCAGTGGTGAGCATGCCGTTGAGCGAGCCGGAGATGTAGGAAGCAGCAAGTTGTCGTTATAGCACAAACTCATGGCACCCAAAAGCACAACTCTTTTCGACAAGTAGCTCGATCAATAATTGGAAGGGAAAATCAAATCCACGAAGTCATCGAGGCCCACGTACGCCGATCCTGCCACTGCTAGCTCAGCCTGCCAAACTTTGTCCGAGTCGGCCTACGACGAAAGTCTTTCGAGTCGTATGCACCTGAAACCAACACGCCGCCACCTGTTCATGATGACTACGACTCATTGATGTCCGTGGCCGGAATCTCATTGTGGGGGGTCTCGCCCAGAAGTCGGCTGAGCTCCTGCCTGACAATGCGTAGCCGACGGACTCTGCCTAGAAAGTGATAGTAGTGACCCAGCGTGTCTCGTGCTTTTCTGAGCTTTGGGCGAAGTTCCTCGTTCTGTTGCTGGACCATTTGGCTCCGCAATTTCTCCACCAAAGCGAGCTGGCGATAGCTGGTACACCCGCCGCGCATTCTCATCTGCAGCAGCTCGCTCACAGTTTGTTGCAATTTGTCCAAACTCGCTTGCAAGGCTTGAACCTCTGGGTCCGGCCTGGTCGGAGACCCAGGAGCTGGGGGTGGAAGACTTGGAGCGACCTTCCCAGGAGGAGGAGGATGCGGCGGAGCGAGCATTGCAGCATTTCTGGCGCGAAGACTTTCGAGCTCGAGCTGCTCGAAGTACTGTCCGGACGCTTTATAGCTGGAGCAACTACCAATCCACTCCTGCAGGTTCAGCCTCCTCGCCTCCTCTTCGATGAGCTCGGCCTCGATCACGCGCTTGTCGTCATCCTCGACCGCAAGGACGTGCCCCAAGTCCTCGTCTTCGCTCGAGTAGTCCGACCAATCGACCTCGACCCTGGCGGACGCGGGGGCTCGGGCTTTGCCTAGGGATGGCATTTTTCTTCTTTGGTGGTGTGTATCTATACACCACTGTTGAAGTCTCGGGCCGAGATTGTAGAAGCCAAAACTTTGCCTTACTTACTTCACAGCCGAATCAACGCAGTGTCAAGCGGCATGCAACTGGTGATGCCAAGATGGCTTTACAGTAGTTGGCGATGAATCGATCTATACGATTCACAGTGTGCTGTTGTCATCCCTATCGGACTACGATACGTACTTCGAACTGCATACTTACTAAGTATAAGTAGATTGCATTGACTTGTGTGGAGTTCGTCCAGAATGTTGGCGCCGAAGGCGGTGACAGACTTTACCGCCACCTCCACAGAGATGGAGTGGCACAAACTGCTCCGCCAACTACTTATCACAACTAAGAGCCATAACGATCACAAAACGCATGATCATAGTTATGCCTTGCCGTGACTCAGATCACAATTCCCGTGAGCTGACAAATGTTTACAATATTGCATTGGCGGTGCGCTGTTTTGCTGTTCGCGTTTGTTTGCATTTTCCTGCGCGAGCGCTTCAAACGGAATGTACAAGTACAATTCACCAATACGCGGTGGACGGACAGCATCTCGACTCGGCACTACCGACAAACCTGTCCAATGTCAAAATGCAGTCGGCATGCATGAAGTTATAGTGATGAACCGCAAGCGACTAACTCCTTTACTCGTGTGTGCTGTAGTTGCGATCCACTCGTTTTGAATAGTGGTAAATACGCCTCTTGAGGTGATACATGTACGAATGCGAGTAAGAAGTAGCAAATAGTACACCTGGCCAAACATGCAGCACATTTCATACATGTGCACATGCAAATTACATGATGTACGTGCGTGTGTGTGTGTGTGTGTGTGTAGCTCGATTGACAGCCAAAGTTCGACAAACTTTGATCCAAATTTTTGCTGCTGAATGAAGTGGTCAAGGTCTGCGTCCCCGATCACTGCCGCTTCTGTGAGGGGTCAGCTCAATCGGCCACTCGTGGGACTTGCACCCCAAACACACCGTTACCTGTCCATGACGGCCACAACACCTTGATGTCCAAGGCCGGCGTTGGACAGCGCTGCGATCGGGCAAGAAGAGGCGGAAAGATCACCAGCGCATTGCCTACCCCGTAATCGGGTACTTATGTACAGGCGTCCCCGGGCTAGTCCCGGCTGTATATTTTAATGTACCTCGCACAGGAAGTACAACAAGCTCTCAAGATTTGCGCGCTACTTCTGCAAGCATATTGATTTAGATGGTGTACAGCGAGACCTACTGCGACAAGTGGCACGTTGCGGGAATACCTCCACCGTATTCTTGAGCTAAGATTGTAGTAAGTCAGTACATACTCATTTATGTTCACCGCGTGAATCTTGTTGATTCGCAAACATCATAAGTACCACCACACCTTCTACGAGCCCTGGGGAGAGCCGGGCTCCTGGGCTCTTGGCTCTTGAGTTCAATAGGTTAAGTGAAAGGAGCCCTCCAGAACTGTGAGCCCTCGTTAAGGGCTCCCCCTCACCTGTGTTAAATATCTCGCTGATGATTGGCCGTCATTGAAGTATCTCCAGGTTCTAACCTGAAAAGGCATAGGAAAGAGGGCTTCTCCTTGAGGGGAAGGAAGGACTATCGGCGACGCTGGGGTGGCCTCGGAGCGGCTGTACACATATGAGCGGCGCGAGATCTTCTAGTGTGGCGATCTTTGAGCTCGATCTTCTAGCGTGGCGCATCGATCACGCGAAGTTGCTCGCCTTAAGTCTAGGTAAAATTGACCAATCAGATATTACTATGAAGAGCCCGTCATAGATTTGAAGCTAAATATGTGAGCCAACCAGGGCTCCTTGATCTCGTACTTACCATTTTGTGCGACTTTTGGCTCTCGTTTTAGGGGGAGCCCACTTTTGAAGTAGACGGGCTCGGGGTGTGAGTACCACTGTGGCGAATAGGCCGGGGACGCCTGTAATCACTTGGCAGTGTGCTATGCAGATGTTTGCTTCCTTCAGCTTAGCTCGCCGGTACAGACCAACAGGCCGAGATGGCAACCTCTCGGACAGGGCGGCCAAGTGCGGCGCCACCGCACCACCTCACCGCTAAATGGCGATGGACATGATCGTGTCCAGACCGAGACCGTTAAAAGATGACAGCCGTCGGTGACTTCATAATCATGCGCCCGGCTATGTACAATTAGTCAATTTGCTGTCTCCAAAACTAATAGCTCGGAAAACGAATCCCAATACATATCTACTGATACCGCCACCTGCCAAGAAGCATACCCCGATCCTTGCGGCCGTGGGGCAAATCAAGAGCGCAGCATGTTGATGGTGTCAAGCAAAGGCAATTCCTACCGACCCTGTGAGTCGACGGCATATCGCACGTTAGCTCGCTCCGCCTCCATCTCCGTCCGTCGACCAGATTCTCCGCCGTCACCGCACCAAAGCCCACAACTCAACTTGCGGCCTCGCACGCAGCAGTCAGCAGCCATCCAGCAATAAAGCCCAGCCATCACCAGAAGTCTTCGTCACCACTAGCTCAGGCAGGCAAAGCAGCGCAGCACCAAGCGAACGACAGACAGCCAGACACATCCATCCATTCACACAATGACAGACCGGACAGTGGCCGTGCCGTCATCTCCAGCCACCGACGTGCAGCACACCGACTTCCACCCGCTGACGGTGCATGAGCCCGCTCCGACCAAGGGCGGTCGCTCCATCAGCACCCGGCGCAAGGCCTTCATCGCCGCCATCGTGGTGCTCGCAATCGCGGCGGTCGTCACGCTCTCCGTTGTGCTGACCCAGTCGGACGACGACGACTCCAGCGACAGCGACTCCGTGGCCACCACCAACTCGCTGGCGCTGTTACATGTTGCCGTGGCCAATGTGACGATGGTGAGCGCCGCATCGGACGAGAGCGCGCAGGACCGATGCGTCGAGCTCGAGTGGACCCCCACGGGCGTCGACTGGGTGGCCTCCTCCGGCAGCGCCGTGTATTACCTGTGCATGCAGCAGAGCGTGGAGGCCACGAGCGACGAAGACGTCGGCGCCGTCGACTTGGACGAGGTGTCCGTGATCCGGAGAGTTGTAATCGTGTCCGACGCCGACAGCTGCCCGTCCGACATGCAGATGGTCGTCAACCCGAGCTCGAACGTCTTCGTGTGCGCTGAATACGCGACTGCGAGCTCGGCCTTCGACACGCAGCAGTACGTGGTGGACCTCATGACGACCACCGAGTCGTTCTACAACCACGACACCCCCGGATGGATCACTTGGCCCACGGACCTCAAGATGGAGTCGGACGCCACCAGCGTCTACCTCAGCGCTCGCTACCCGGTGCGCCCCATCGTCGCGCTCGACGTGCTCACCAGTGTCGATACCGACTCCATCTACTCGTCGTGCGAGGAGCTGGAGCCTCAGGGACAGTGGGAGACGCCCGGGTTTGTCCTCAAGTCGACGGCCAGCAACAGCGACTCCAGCGACGTTGTCGTCTGCGTGCAGCGTCCGCTTGCCAACGCCACTAACAGATCGCTCGCCGTCTTGACCGACCTCTCGGTGGTTCTACCGACCGAGTCGTGCCCCGAGGCTACCAGCAACGTTACGACCACAGAAATCACAAGCGACGAGATCAAGCTCTGCGCCGAGTGGGGCGTCGTGGAATTCGACGACGACGGCACGAACTCCAGCAGCTCGATTTCCAGCCAAGCGACGTCTCCGTTCGTGGCGGAGCTGGCGCTGTACGAGACGGCCGTGGACGAAGCGGAGGACTTCAACGTCTCCTCTACGCTCCCTGGCGCTTGGAACGTCATCGGCAATGAGTCCACTGGAAGCATGCAGACGTTCTTCCTCGCGAGGAAGTTCGAGCCTTATGTGTTGAACACGACGTCGAGCGGCTCTGACGACGAGATCTCGTCTTCCGTGGAGGCGGTGGCATCCAACTCAAGCCAGGAGCTCTCGTTCAAGGTGCTGCAGATCGCGGACATGCACCTCACGGGCAACCCGGACTACCCGTGCTCGTCTGGCCCGGACTCCATCCCTGCCAGCCTCTTGGCGGCCGCCTCGGTTATCGCGGAGCAACTGAGAGAGGAGAGCAACTCGTCCAGCTCTGCGAGTGCTGGAGAAGACAGCGACCCCATGTACAACGAGTGTCGCGAGGCCGTCACGGTGGCGTTCCTGGACGAGCTGCTGGACATCGAGCAGCCGGACTTCGTGGTCTTCTCGGGCGACAACGTGCAGACGGATCTGGACACCGACATGCACACGTTCGCCATGAACATCTTCACTGCGCGCGTGGAGAGCCGAGGGATCCCGTGGGCGGCGGTGTTTGGCAACCACGACACGGAAGGTGGTCTTACAAGGGAAGAGATGCTGGAGCTCATGACGGAAGGCAAGGAGTACTCGCACGTCAAGTACGGACCGCGTGACATTGGCGGCGTTGGCAACTACGAGGTGAACGTCGTGGCTCCGAAGACCGGCCCGTGGGGTGAGGAGGGGTCGACGGTCTTCCGCATGTACTTCCTGGACTCTCACGCCTCCATCGACACCGCGACGTACCCCCTGGTGAACGACGACAGCGACTACGACTGGATCAAGGAGACCCAGATCGAGTTCTACCGGACGCTGGCCCAGTCTCACATGGCTGACAGCGACAACAGCTCGTCCGAGAACTCCAGCGTACCGGCAGTCATGTACTACCACATCCCAGTCCCTGAGTACGCTTCGGCCTCGCCGTTGACCCGCGTTGGCGACAAGAACGAAGAGACGGCGGGCGCGGCAGTGAACAGCGGCTTGTTCTCAGCTCTGCTTGAGGTGGGGGACGTCAAGGCGACCTTCGTGGGCCACGACCACGTCAACGAGTACTGCTACCTGCGTCAAAGTATCCAGCTCTGCTATGGAGGTGGCATTGGTCTGGGTAGAGCCTACGGTCTCACCGACTTTGAGCGTCGCGCTCGCGTGCTCGAGTGGACGTACAGCGCCAACCAGACGCGCTCGCTGCAGAGCTGGAAACGGTATCTCGCGGACCCCACGCAAATCCAGTCGCTCGAAGTGCTCTACTCGGAATAGAGGTTCTCATAGGAAACGGCTTCTAACGAACTAACTGTACAATAGAGAGTAATAACCGCTCGCTCGCTCACTCACTCTCCGTTCGACACCAGAGACGCTTCTTGTCCAGTGCTGCCCTGCACTCCAGCGAAACCTCATTCCTCAACCTTTCCTGCCTCGAAGAAACCAGTCAAAGGATGCAGCTTTGGGGGCGTCTCTCCATCTTCGCGGCTTTGCTGCTCTCCGGGGCCACCGCGTTGAATCTGGAAGGCTTCACGGGTCATGAGCTGAGCCCATACATTGACACAGTGCTCCCGCCAGACCGAGTGGAGTCGTCGTCGCCGATCATCCAGGGAGCTTGCTATTCGCCGTTCCACAACTCGGAGTACCCGCTGAATGGAGGGAGCGCTGCGGGGCTGGACCCGGCCATGGACACGGACTTCAGCATCATGAAGAACTACGTCTCGGTAGTACGCACCTACTACTCCAGCTTCTACGGCTACCCGGTCGCTCCTTACGCTGCGAAGTACGGCGTCTCGCTCTACCTGGGCGTGTTCATGACGGACGAGAGCTGGTACGACGATCAAGTGAACGCTGCGGTTGCTGCGGTCAAGAACTACCCGAACACCATCAAAGCCATCCTCGTGGGCAACGAGAACATCTATCCGGCTGGCCCGTACTCGCCTGCTGAGGTCCTGCGTCGCGTTAACGCCCTTCGTTCGCGGATCTTGAGCGAGACTGGGCGTACGGTGAACATCGGCACGGTACAGCGTCACAATGAGTGGATGGATAGCAGCACTCGATCCGCCATGCTAGCGCTCGCCGACGGCTGCGATATCCTGGGCGTTAACATTTACCCCTTCTTCGACGCCTCGTACACTGCAAGCAACCCGCTGGCCATGCTCAACGGCGCCTGGAACAACATGCTGACCGTTTATCCATCGGACAAGGTTCGCCTGACGGAGATTGGGTTCCCGACTGCTGGTGCGCCGCCATCCTTCGCACCGTACAACGTACCGAGCGTCGCCAACTCCATCGCCTTTTACGAGGCTTTCCTGCAGTGGGCGCCTGACAGTGGCGGCCAGGAAGTCTTCTGGTTCATGTTCTTTGACCGTCGACCTGATGACAACACCATGGGGATTGAGCTCGAAAAATACTTTGGCTGGTACACGTGGAACCGAGTGGCCAAGGCGTCGTCAGGCTACCCGAACTTGGTGACAGCGACTACAACCACTGCAACCTCAGCTCCAACTTCAGCACCAACGTCAGCACCAACGTCAGCACCAACTTCAGCCCCAACTTCGGCTCCAGCTACCGTAACCACCAGCGCCGGCACTTCGGCTCAGGTGTGCCGCGTCCACAAGGTCTACAAGAAATAAGCAAGCACCCGTGCAGCAACTCGCTCCCCGCTCCTTGCCTCCAGCTTTACCGTTCAAGTAGCCATTCCTTGCATACGCAGAACAAAACGTTATCCAACCTCGACAAATACACACATACCTTTTCTACGTATCATATCCACACCCAATACGTAGCCATCAGTGAACAATTCATTCCGTATTACCCACCAGCGTGGTGAGGAATCTAAAGGCACAAGTCGAGCATACTTGTCGGCTGCTCTGGCCGAATGTAGGGCAACAGGCTTTCGCCAAACGCGTCGTACAGCAGGGTCACGATGTCGCCTAGAGCTGATGGCGACAGGGACGGCGATGCACCGCGGTCCATCGATTTGGACATTGAAAAATAGGTTCCAGACGCGTGCTGAATGATAGGGACACGACGATAGGGGGGGGGGGGGTCAGCAACCATAGGCCGCATACAGCATCGTGTGAACAAACGTACCACGAGGATGCCGAGGCAGTTCTGCGCCTCTAGCCTTTCGACAAGATTGGGGTTCGACGAAGACAGCGCCGGCTCCAATCGTCGGTAGTATCGCTCCAGATTTGGGAAAAGCAAGCTCTCCATCACAAGAGGGCCCAAGAACAGCATACCTGCCCGACAGCAACAGATCTCACAGGGGTCAGCTATTGGAAGGGAAAAAAGCAAAGCGAGGCTGGAATTTACCGTGGAGAGCGCCATACTGGGTCGAAAACGGGCACACAGGATCCGTAATCGCCTTGTGGTACGTCTTGGACACGCGTGCCTGGATATTGGCGTACTTCTCGCCGTAGCGCTCGCAGATCTGAGCCACCAGCTTGGCCGCGTACTTGCGCAGCGCCCAGTGGTCGTCCGCGGGGTTCTCGCACAGCTGCGTGCCCAGCACGCACGTCAAGATAGCTGGGATCAGTTGGTGCAGCTACAAACCAATAAACAAACAACAAATTAGCACCCGAAGCAAGCAAAAAGCGTCACTGCGACCACGTACGTAGAGCTCCACGTGCAGGTTCTGGTTCACCAGCAGGCAGCGACACGCGCGCATGAGCGAGAAGAGCAGCGACAGGTCGTGGTTGCTGTGCTTGACCTCCTCGTAGATGAACCGCGAGAAGTAGGGCAGCAGCTGGTGGATGCCCGGGTCCTGCGCGAGGCTGGTGAAGGCCGCGCGCTGCAGCTCGAAGTCGTCGCTCTTGACGGCCTCCGTGACCTTGGTGTAGTAGAGCTGCATCTCCTCGGTCAGCACGTGCTTGACGCGCGGCTTGCGGTCCACATTGTTGACGAAGGCCTCGTCCTTGATGGACGTGTGGCACGTCGAGTCGTCCTCGACCGACTCGTTCTCCGGGATGAGCGGCTGCACGCCGTCCACCGCCAGCCAATGGACGTTCAGCACCGGGTGCAGCGGGATCTGGCCCAGCGGCGCGTTCAGCAGCTCGCCCAGCTCCAGCTCCTCCTCCTCGGCGAAGAAGAGCGCGTCGTTGTCCTCGCACTGCTTGTACTTGACGGTACCCGGCGCCGAGAAGCCATACAAACTCTAGGCCATTGCCACAAATAAACATCCACAAATAAGACAGAGTTAGATATTATTCAACCCCTGATATAATACCGGTAGCGGGCACTGTACCATACCTCGAGGTTCCGCGCCTGCAGCGCCTGGTTGACGTGGGTGGGGTCCAGCTGGGGGCGCCGCGAGTGCCGCTGGAACTTGAGCGCGTCCTGCACCACCTCCCGCACGCGCAGCTCCACCTCGGGCAGCAGCTCGCGCACGCAGTCGTCGCTCAGGTCGTCCAGGCCGAGGCTCTGGGCCACCACCTGCAGCGTCTCGGAGCGCAGCAGACTCATGCCCCTCGCATACAAAAAGGCAGACTGACAAAAGGTAGGCCCAATTCCGGCAGCATATGTATGTACAGGGAACGACGGAATACAAGGCCCGTGACGAATCTTTATGTCCAAGACGTACCCATTTCGATGGTCGAAAGTGTAAAAGGCAACTTCAACGTAATTTGTCTTTTGTGTACGTCACGAGTTATCTATTTACCTATCTAGGCCACTCCAGCTAGGTGCCGGGCGTGCCATCCATCCGTCCGAAGATCCGCTTGAGCCGCTCGCACGTCTGGTTGTCCAGGCCAATGTACCGCTCTGGGAAGCCAGAGCTGGGCGGCCGGCGAGTCAAGCTCGGGCTCTTGAAAATGCTCAGGTCCGTCTTCCGGTTCACATCGGCAGCTCTCGGTGTGATGCGAGGATTCCTCCCAGCACCACCACCTCCACCACCAAGCTCATTGTTGCACCCGTCGAGCACATCAACGCTCTTGAAGGCCGGGTGGTACGGACTGTACTCGTCAAAACACTCGGGCGTCTCCATACTCCTCCTCCTCTGATGCTGTAGAGCGGCAGCGTTGCGTATCCTCTTGGACTGCGCTGTAGGTGTTTGACTGCGACGTAGACCCCCCGCGATTGTCAACACAGACGCTGGCTGCTGCCTCCTCCGCTCTGTTCCACTCGCAGAAAACCCAAAGTATGGTTTCTTGTCATCAACAGCAGCGGCTCGTTCACTCGGTGCTGAGGGTTTTGTATCCCACAGAGACTTCCTCCGCTCTGAGGACAACTGCGTCGATCCCTGAGTGTCTTTACTGCCAGAAATCCTTGCATCTTTCATGAGACTCATAGTTTGCGATGGTGGAGCGTCCGGCTTGGTTGTTCTCGTGACGGTGTACGGGGGGAGCGAGGTCGCAAGCTCGTCGAGAGGGAAGTGAGTGTCTGCGTCCATTTGTCGTCGTTGATCAAACACGACAGGCTCGCAGCCATTTGCTGTTGGTGGTGTTAATTCAATGCCGTTCTGCTCCGGCTGCTCCACCACCAGCGTTTGATCCACGCGGTTCTCGATGGCGTCGATGAACGCCGGCAACTGGTTGTGGTCGTGAAGGTATCGCGTCACCAATTCGTCCACCACGTGCTTGTACCTCTCGACACTCGAGTAATACAACTGCAGCTGGAGTCTCACCGCGCCACCGCAAAGCTTGGAAACCACACTTGTTGAGCCAGAAGATGTCGACGGAACGTTCAGCCCCAGCGAAAACCACTCCACGGTGCGCTTCTGGTGCAGCAAAGTGTGTAAAGGGATTCGAGTTTCGCCTACGAGCTGCTCCCGACTGAGCCTGCGGTCGTTGAGGACGCGCACGTGGAGGTATCCGTTCAGGGACAAGATCGGAGCGAACTCGAAGTCTTCTTCCCAAACAGGATAGATGCTCTTCTTCTTCGTCTGACTGCGGAAAACTCTCCCCACTGCTGCGTGTGCACTCAGTGACGGTGGCAGAGCGTGGGAAGGATAGACAACCTCCAGGCACACATACGGATCCAGGTTTTTCGTCCTCAAATGGGCAGTCGGGAGGTCACGAGCAGCCAAGAGCTGGACCTTCAGGGAGCCTCGACTGTTGCCTTGTTGGTCCACCTCGATCTTGCTAACAGGGTCGAACTTGCTCCTCGCTTCTGCAGCGTCCAGTCGTTCACATATCTTCAGGATCCGCTGTGCGCTCGTCACGTGCGTCGCTGCCATCGCGGTTGTATTTCCTTCGTCCTCGGTGATACTCTCGACAAACGCAGCCACTCGGTCCTTCGCCATCACGAACTTCCGCGCGTAGTACGCGTCAACAGGAGCAAACTCGTCGAATCGGTCGCAGCAAACTTCGTCCGTGGCTGGCGCATCAGTGGGTTCTGCAGAGGTTATCAAAGTATCGCCCTCTTGGACACTGTCCTGTTGTTGTAAACTCTCTTGTTGATAGACGTCACAATTTTCAGCGTCTTTTGTCGTCTGAGGAGCGTTGGTTCCGAGCTGAAGTCGAGTGTCCAATGCTGCAGCAATGGCTTGGTGTAAGTCAGGTCGAGCTCCTCCATCTGCAGAGCGTTCGTCCGATCTGGTAGCGAGCTGCTGCGACAGCTTCTCGTAGATATCAGCCTTAATCTCCTCCAGCATGTCCGGGCTGAGTAACTCCTTAAACTGAAGATTCGGAGGTATCAGACCCCCTTCAGAGCCATCGACCGTTGATCCATTCACCGATGACTCCGATGCCTCGGTAGCAGATGAAGTCTTGGAAGGAATACCAACGCTTCCGTCAACTGTATCACCGTCGTTGGAAGGCTTATCAATGCCAATTTTTGCTTTGAAAAACTCCAGAGTAGCTGTACGCTCGCGCTGGAATAGTGGACTGACAGCTGAAGACACGTTCAAGGAGCTGATGTGCTGTAGCTCTGCCTCCACCTCCCTCAGTTCCTCGAGAAGTGACGAAATCCTTCTCTCCTTTAGGAGAATCCTCTCAGTCACTTCACGATGGCGAGTGCGTAGTTCATCCACCATTTGTCGACTTTTCGCCAAGGATAAAACCTGCTTTGAAGTGACTTTACCTTCTGTCAACCCCCCGTCATCGTCGTCAAAGTTAATCTCTGCGGTAGTTTGCCCACGTAATTGAGCCATGAGTTGCCTCATTTGCATGTGGATTTCCTCCTTCTCCACGATCACGAGCTGCAACTTGTGCGTAAGAGCGAAGATCTCCTTGTCGAACTGCACGTCGGGGGGCTTCGAAGACTCAACGGGGCTAAACTTTTCTCGGATATTCGAGTTCCCACTCAGATCCGCATGCAACACGCGCTTGGTCATGCGCACCATTGTCGTCTCGATCTCCTTCTCCTTATCTTCAGCGAACCGAAGTTTGTTCCGCAGGATTTCAAGTCGAGCGCGTCCAGTTTCTTCGTCTCGTAGTTTCTTGCTCTTGCCCCGGGGTGAACCTGGTGGGGAAAAGCTGAAGCGTATAGCGCTGGGGTCCCCATCCAGACACGCCTGGATATTCACACTCAAGCAGTCGATCTGGTCTGCGTACTGTGCACTCTCCTGCTTCAGTACGTGCAGCAGGTGCTCCTCGTTTCGGATCTCCGTCAAGAGCGATTGTTTGCACGACTGCAGAGCCTGAATCTGTCGGGCCAGCACGTCTTTGTCGACAAATGGAGCGAGTGGAGAAGCTTCGGCTGGTGGACGAGATGGCTTGTACCGTGAAGGACTCCGTCTAGGAGGTGAAGGTGGCGGAGTCAGAAGCCGTAGTTCATTCTGCTTACGGTACCATTGGCGTATCCGTGATGGGGAGTTCGTTGGGGAAGGCGGAAGCGAGTGACTACCGGCAGGTAACATTGTCGAGGTGCTTTCGTAGTACGAATTCCTTCCTCGGTTGCCAAGAGCACTGGCAGATGATGACCGCGCTTGCAACGCTGGGTAATGTGTGTCTTCGTAAGCTGGACAGCCTGTGTCGTCTTCAAAGGTGGGGAATCGTGACGATCGACTACTGTTGAGATCATTCACGCTCAACGCTTCGTCGTCTTTGAGGCTGATTTGCAAGGACGCAGATGCACGACGGACCGGTCGTGGGGGTTTATCAGGTTGAGGGTCCATTTCAGACAGAGTTGTGTGCACCTGATTAAGACTCTGGGCACTTTCACGCTGTTGTCGAACGGAAGATGAGCTCATTGCTGGAGGGGTAGTCGTCCGAGTCAAGGGAATTATCTCCTCTTGTTCCCAAGTCTGAGGTGGCGACGATAGCTCTCCTTCATGTTCGTACTCTTGAACCTTTACTTCATCTTCTCCGTCTGCAACGCCAGCATCGTCTTCATGATCGTCTTGCTCACTGGGAAGATTTGTAATAATCGCGGGTGGAATTACCCGCAGCGGAGAGCAGGATGCGTCCACGAACATTTTTCTCCTGCTGCGCTTCAATGCCTCATTCACACCTGGAGACATTGGCATACACGCTGCATCTCGCGACTCAATGGTAATATCTTCAGCCTCTTCACTCCGTCTGAGCTGTAAATCGCGGTCCGAAAAGGACCCTCTTCTCTTCTCAACACTCCGCTCAGGTGACGGCATCCGTGGAGCGGACTGTGGTCGCTGTTGCGTGGAGTTGGTGGGTCGATGTCGCGCTGCGATCGCCCTCGCTATCTGCTCAGCGTCGCTAGGCTCATCATCTACTAGGGATACGGACCGTCGACGGTCAAGATTGAGCATCGCCACCTCCTGCTGCAACTGCAGTAGCTGTTCCGTAGCGCTGGACCAGGCTCTCGATTTATTCTGCAGCAGCTTGGACTTGACCTGCAGTTCGCCTTTCAGCCTCAAATTCTCAGCTTCCAACGCGCTTTGAGCTTCCAGTAACCGGTTCTGTTCGTCTTCGTGCACTCGATCGGCCTCGCGCAGACACGCGTCCTGGGAGAACATAGCGTTGCCAAAGCGCTTGGCGGCTCTATCACGAGCGATTCGAGAGATCTCGACGTCGTCGAGACGCTCCAATGACCGGATCTTGCAGAGAATGTAGTCTTTATACGTGGGCAGACGGCAGAATGGATTCGCTGCGAGGCTACAAGACAGTAAGTTCGCCAGCGGTGCCAGTACATCCACCTCACGCAGTGTTCCCAGGTTATTTCCCGAGAGATTGAGCTCTTCCAGCATGGTCAACCCGGAAAAAGCGCGTGGCAAATGAGCGATGAAGTTGCCGGATAAATCCAAGTGGGTTAGTACTTTGAGTGCGAATAGTGGGGCCGACAAGGTCTTGAGATGGTTACGCGGCATCGCTAGAGTCTTCAACTGCGTGAACACTTGCAGCCCCTCCAGCCGTTCAACAGCGTTTCCCGACAGGTCCAGCTGCACGAGGTTGGTCAGTTCGGAGAGAGCTTTCAGGTTTTTGAGCGGTCGACGAGGTTTCCTGGTGTTTGTACTCAGATCCAGAGCTTGCACTTCCACCGGCATTTTTCGGAGAGAAACGCAGGCTTGGTGGACGAGTTCCCTGTCGCTCGACAGTGAAATGGAGCTGGAATTGCTGGGAAACCCAGAGTCAAACGAGCTCCGCGAACCCAGTGACCGCGTGGTTATCATCGATGTAGAGCCGATTGAAGGAGGGATTGACAGGGACGGAGTGGCGCTGCCGTTGCTGCTGTTGCTGACTCGGTCATCGTCACTCGCAGACGAGTGTCCGTCCTGTTCCACCGGTGGGATCGTGATACTGATCGGCGGCTCCATCGCCGTGTCCGAATACGCCTTCTCCTCTTCCTCCTGTTCACCCTCTTCTCGACGCATTTCAACGTCGGAGCTGTCGTCCGCCATCCCAACTTCGAGTCGGAAAGCTCAACCAAGTCCAAAGTGCAAAAGCAGCAAGCAGACTGCATCCACCCCTCTCACCCTCTCACGCTCATGACCAGCAAAAGCTAAAATAAAAAGAGAGCCGAGAGCTGCAAAAATAAACAGCAAAGTGACTTGTTTTTAGACGCCCGAGTTGAAGGTGAACGGATCGGATCCCTTCACCAACAGGTCTAAAAACTATCACACGACAGAAGTACCATACAAATCCAGTTTAAACCTTCACGGATTCCTGTCTTGTTTTCTTTTTACCTTGACCAACCAAGCACGAATTGTTGAGAGATTCTCGGAGGGGTTCTCCATGCAGTTGGCTCTGCGTGGCTGCAAAACGCGGTAACGGATCTGTGGATCCGGACGACGTTTCGCCGCCTCGCGTCGCGCCCCTCGGCGCCTTCTTCTTCTGGTTCGCAGTCACGAAAATCCGCGAACTGGATGGAATCGCTCTACGCCCGCGACACCCCCACGGCGCACGAGCGCAAGCTCAAGATGGCGGAGCGGGACCAGCAGCTCAAGGGCGGCGAGAGCTCCAACCAGGTGCAACAGCAGCCCACGGGGACGCTCGAAAGTCTTGTGGACACCTCGACAGAGAACGGTGCAGCTACCAGTGGGGAGTCCGCCTCGACGACAACGAACCCGGCGGACGACGCCTTCGGCTTCAGCTTCAACGCGTTGTCCGACACGCAGCAGCAACTCGACGACCAGTGGCGGACCCAGGGAGGCGAGTTAGCCGACAAGACCCAGCAAGACAAGCAATCCGAAGTCAAGAAGACGGAGGAGGGGCGTCTGGCTGAGTTGAGTGGGGAACCTACTCCCAATTCAGCACCAGCGTCGTCGAACACGGATAAATCGGAGACCAAGGCAGCGGAGAATACCCAGCAAATTGCTTCTGCACCAGACCCGACAACGCAGCAACCACGACGAGCGGGGGTCGCCTCAGTCCCTCGCAAGCCGAAACCAGCGATCACGATCAATACTGGATCGGGTTCAACCGGTGTTGGGGCTAAACGACCACCCCCGACGCCTGTATCACCCCCAACTTTCTCGTGGAATGATATCCTCCGTGTGCAGAATTTAATCGAGCGGTGCCTTCAGCAGTACTTGAGCAAGGTGAGGATGAATGCACAGCTGAAGACTAGAAAATGGTGCTCACTTGCTCGTATACTGTGCTGCAGAACGATATTTTGATGACGCTGAAGGAGCAGGCCAATGTGGACCCAGCCTTTGCGAACGTGGTGTGGCAGAAACTAGAGGAACAAAACCCGACTTTCTTCCGCGCGTACAGTTTGCAGCTACAGCTCAAGGAGCAGATCATAGCCTTCAACTACCTGGTACGGGACGATCTTCACCGAGAAGATTTTTTCCTTGCTAGGTCCTCATCAAAAAAATATTTTTCTGTTGATATTTGCAGGTCGGGCAGCAGAAGGAGATGGCGGCGAAAGGTGGCAAGCGTCTTCTGCACTACAGCAACACGAATCGGCCCTCAGCAGGTCGCTCCTCAGCTCCGTGCTCTTTGATCACCACACAGACAACCACGACGCTGCCCCCGATCAGCATGGACGCGAGAACTTTCCTCCGCACTCCGATTAGATCAGCCAAGCAGCAGCGCACGCCCGCGGGAAAGCGCGCGTACAGCCAGCACCAGCACATGAGTATCTACCAGCTAGGCAGTTCGTCGGTGAACGCGGGTTCGACCTCGGCGGGCATGTCGTCATTGCCTCCGCCGTCCCCTTTGCCACTACCGTCGCCCATAAAGACGGACCTAGACACCCACGCGTTCTTCACTTGAAACACGTCCACCTGGCCGACAAAGAGTCAAGTGACGTGGCGTGGTGGCTTGTATGCATACGAAGCGAAGCAATGACGGTATATTATGCACTCTTTGGTGTCTCATTACGTTCTAGAAGTAGTTAGTTAGTCCTCACTTTCATCCTCTTCGGTCACCTTCGCCATGGCCACCTGCTTCTCAAGCTCTAAAGTGTCGGGTGCCAATTGGTTGCCCGACAGCGTTAGACGGCGCAAGTTCGGGTTCTTCTCGACCGGGTTGAACGGTAGTTCGGTGATCTTGTTGTTGGCCAGCAGCAGGTGCTTGAGCTTGGGTAGCTCGCCGATTCGCTTGGCAACTTTGGCGAGGTGGTTGTCCTCGACGTTGAGCACTTCCAGCTTCAGACAGCGGCCGAGCGAAGCATGCAGCTTGGTCAGACAATTGTTCTGCAGGTAGACCTTACGCAGCGACTGCAGCCCTTCCAGGTGCTTGGGGAGTTTGACCAACTGGTTGCGCTCGGCATGCAGGATCTCGAGTCGATGCAAGTTCTTGAACGAGTCTGGCAGTGTCGTCAACTTGTTCCCGAGAATGTCGAGCTCTTTCAGGTTCTGCAGCAGTCCGAACTCTTCCGGCAGATACTCGAGCGCGTTGTCATCCAGGTACAGCTCCTCCAGCTGAACGAGCTGGCACAAACTCACAGGAAACGTCGTGAGCAGGTTGCGATGCAGACAAAGTCCCGCTAGCGTGCCCGACAACTGGGCGACCTCGTCGGGGATGCCTTCACTTGTCAACTTGTTGTCTTCAAGGTACAGACTTTCGAGCTTGGAGAGCTCCGCGATACCTGCAGGGAGTCTGGTGAGCTCATTGTTGCGGACGTAAAGCTCGGTGAGTTGTCCCCACGCAGCCGTCGATGCCGCATCACTACCGAAACCTTCAGGCAACTGGGTGAGTCCGTTCTTCTCCAACGCGAGCGTCTTGAGATTCGGGGGCAATGACAACACCAAATCTCCAGGTAGTTCAGCCAACCCCTTCTCGGACAAGTCCAGCTCTTCAAGCTCCTCGAACTCCTCCGCCGTTTCCACGGGATCGTCCAGCTCGATGTTGAACTTCTCCACCACGGCCAGGAACATCTCGAGACGAGAGTCTCCATCGCCGCTGGTTCCGTCGTCGCTCATGGTTGGAACTTGGTGGGTGACTCGCGCCGGGGATAATCGCAGACTCCGCCTCGCACTCCCATGGCCCCTCCAGACATACCCCCTCGTGTGCGCTTACGATGCTCTTATCCGTTTCGGGTCTTCATTTCTGGACGACAAACAGCATCAGAACAAGCACAAGCACCCCACCAAAATTGGATTCTCCAGCACAGTCTCACCTCGCAATTCTCCTCCGATCTCGAAAGTTCTTGTCCGCTCAGATATTTGATTCAAAACTTGTATTCCAGTAAATAGGCCACTGCCATTATTCTTTGCCATCATCCATGGTCACAATGATCTGCTCTCAGTACCCAGGGCGAACAGGGTTCGAAGGTCGCCGCTTGATTGAGCCTCCCCGCGTCATATTCATCTCAGTACTTTCCTTGGTGTACAGGTAGACATTCTCTGCGGCGTCTCGGAGGTCGGCGATTTGCTGCCACAACTTGCGGTTGACCTGAGAAGCGCGCTTCACGGCCTCCATGTCCTTCGTGTCCAGCGTCTCATCCACGTCGTCCAACTGCGAGCGGATCTCAATGAGGTCGCCAAAGCTGTCGAACGTGTCGCACGATGCAGCGTCGTCGTCGTCGTCGAATTCGTCCTCCTCCTCCTCTGATTCAGACTCGATCCGCAGCGGTGACACACCCGCTGTGTGAATGCCTTCGAGGCTGCTGCCGCTGGAACTCGTCGTCTTTCGGATGCTCTCCTTACTCGAAGTGTACGGCGAGGAATCCTCAAGGTCGCACAGGTCCACGGGCAAACCTCGTCCCGAGTCGTCAAGCTCCACTGGCGAGCTGCTGTACAGGGGATTGTGTCTACTGCGCAGGATGGGGTCGCGGGGAGGATAACGATCACTGTAGCCCCTGCCTCGATGATAGTCCTCGCCCCGAACGTTATCGCGGTACATCTCGTCCGAATCTCCTCGCCTGAAGGTTGGCTGGGGTGCATCCGAACGGGTCCTGGGCTTGGGCATGTCGCGTTGCGCGTGCTTCCTCGAGCTCATAGGCGGCGACTCACGGTATGCACGGCCTCTCCGTCGAATAGTCTCAAGGTCTTCAGGGTAATAATCTCTTCCGTAGGCATCTTCCATCTCGGGTTCATCCTGATACCTGCGCTGGTCACGGTGGCCTCTTCTTGAAGACTCCTCCCTGTGGTGGGTTCGTTCAGTCCTGCGAGAACTGCCGTCCGACTGTCGTGGGGGACGGGAGTGATGCTCTTGCTGTCCTGGAATATCGTCGATGGTGATCGTAGCAATCGACGACGACGAGTACTCACCCGAGTTGCCGCTGCCACGTTGACTGGGCGGGAGCGCGGAGCCATTGGCGACGCGTCCGAAGCGCCCGGACATGACTTCTTCCCGTGCAATCATCAGCGCGCTGGTCTGCTGGTTCGTGGCGATACAGGTCGTGCAGAGCTCGACGATGGTCGTGGTCACGAACTTGCTCGTGTGCCGCTTGCTGCCGGAAGTCTCGACGTGCTTGAGCGTGCGCTCCACGCAGCACTTGGAGCAGACGGCCATCAGGCAGAGCTTGCACTCGATGCTTTGTCGGAGGAACCGGCCGAACGTCTTACTGCAGATGCTGCACTGCGTGGGCTTGGCCTTGTTCTCGTCCTTGTGCGCGTGCTGGTTGCCGCTCTGGCATTCCAGTCGCCACGACAGCTTCTTGTCCTGCGAGCACTGCACGGTCTTGCCGCAGTACAGCAAGTTGTTCGCGCAGCTCTGCAGCGCCGCGGACTCGGAGATTTTCCCGTTGGGCGTCACATTGGACTTGAGGAACACGTCCACGGTCCTGCTGTCGAGCTCCACAAACAGATGCACGCTCTCGCAGCGCGCCCGAGCGACACCATGCGAGTCGTAGAGCTCCGGACAGCCGCGCAGCTTCACCGAGTGCATGATCTGGTATCCGATGCGCACGCCGTCGCCGCGCGTGATGACGCCCGTGGCCTCCAGGTACACGAGGTCTCTGGGCGAGGCCAGGCGGTGCTTGACGCTGCCGCCCGTCGTGGACTTGACGAGCCACTTGATGCCGAGGAAGCGGAAGGGGCTGCGCTGCGACGGCCCCTCGATGGGGCACAGCACGTCCCCGTCCAGCACGTCTCCGTGTGAGTAACCGTTCTTGAGCGCCATGCTGGCGCAGTCCGGCGCCGCCACGCCGTACATGACGTCGTCCAGCGAGCCGACGATGTTGCCGACGCCGAGCAGCACGGGCAGCGGCTCGTGGCCGCCCGAGATGCCGCTGACGGACTTGCTCTTGGCTCTCTTCTTCTGCTCGCGCGCCTCGGTGGCCGTGGGGCCCCAGCCCGTGAGCAGCTCGAGCTCCGTCACCTGGTGGGCCGGCAGCTCGTGGATCGTCGAGATGGAGCCCGAGCGCGAGCCGCCGGAGCTGGAGCTCGAGCGCGAGCCCCGCGGAGGCACCAGCGCCGCCGCGCGCGCGAACGATTCCTCGTCCTCGGCGCTCAGCGAGCGGCTCAAGGCGTAGGACCGCGACTCGCGGTAGACGGCGAGCTTCTCGTGGCTCTTGAGGGGCTTCCAGCGGCGGCGGTCCACCTGGCGGTGGCGGATGAGCGCGAACTCCTCGTACTCGCTCAGCGCGTGGCCCAGCAGCTCCATGGCCTGCGTGTGGAAGCGCCGGCGCTCGCCCTCGCTGAGCTCCAGGCGCGGGAACGGCCGCTGTGCCAGCGGGAAGGACGCCATGGCCTCCTGGGTCTTGATGCGCGCGGAGACAGACTGGTAGTACGCGTCTCCGAGCTGCGCCATGGACGGAGCGAGCGACAGGGAGCGCGTGACCTACCTGTACCCGAGTCTGCAGAGGAGTGGGCAACAGTGGAAGTGCATCGGCGCTGAAGGGCTCACCTCTGCTCTATAACTGTAGGCGATGAAAAAAGAAGCAGCTGTGTAAAGCGACAAATTGAAGAAGAGCGCGGGATTGGAACCCTGATATACAGTGCATGGGTCGGAAATAAAAGAAATATGTCGTCTAAATCGGAGTTTAGGCGGGAAACCAACTCACCTATTCGCGGAAAACTTTCGAGTTTCATGATGTGCTTTGATGCCACAAACGCCACTCCTCCGAAATACTAAGTACAGTGCAGTGGCCGCAGGGCCCCTGCACTCGTAAGTACTCGTTGCACACGCTCACCGCCGAAGCGCTTTAACGCTTTTATAAAGCGAGCAAGCGACGATAACACTTGGGCTTTTCATCGTTTCATGGTGCCGAAAAGTCATCTGTGCCTGTACACGAAAGCATCTGACTTTGCACCAGTTTTTCAGCGCGCGTACCGGGGCTTCATTGAAGTGGGTCGGATGAATCTGGGTAGGACCGAGAAGAAGAGACGTTGGCGTGCTCGCAGCTCGCTGTTGAGTCTTGCCCATCGAGCTGGTCGAGACCAGCTCTCGTGCCTCCCGAATCACCGGCGTTTTAGGGGCGGCGGCGTATAAGAGCAATCCGCTCCCCAAGTGTATTTTACGCCGCGGTTATGCGGCGAAATTCGAACCGGCAACGAGTCTTTCGTGTCATAGCGCGGCCACCTGCTCCAATGCGGGCCGAGTTTTCATACACGCGCACTGCCAATCGAGCTTCTTCGCGCGCTGCTGGTCCCGGCGTGTATCTTGGGCTTGGCACCGGCAGTGCAGAGCATCGGCAGCGGAATCACCAAATCTGCGGCGTTGGTGTCGGCGACGAGCTCGTGGTCGCATCACTCCACGCTGCCATGATACAGTCAGTTGACAGCGAGGCCGTTGCTGGGTGGACCGATAAGAGTGCATGTACAGCCAGGTCAGGCTATCGATCAGGCGGTTCACAAGGATGTCGGTGTACACCTTTTCAACTTCAAAACTGCAAATTGTAAGTTCAAAACAGCAAAAGGTAAGTTCAAAACTGCACGAGCAGAGACCAGGCCAGCTTCGTACTTTTATACACAGCTCATTGGTTGGCACGCAGCATTCGTATACGATGATAGATATCATTCAGTTTGTAATATACATTTATAGAGTATTGTTGTTTTGATCCAACCTTTTGCTGTTTTGAACTTACAATTTGCAGTTTTGAAGTTGAAAAGGTGTAGTGTAGGTGCGATGCAGAGGAGTGTTGGTGGATGTGTCGTGCACGTTGTGCTCTCGAGTCGCACGTGGCAGTGGTGACCGCGACGCACGACGGCAACATCTCTTCAGCCGACCCAGCCCACGACAGGCTTCAGCTTCGACGGTATCCGCTCAGTTCATCGGGCTCCGGTGGTCCGTCCTCCTGCTTCCGACGTTGCTCAGTGGCAGTCTCGCAGTTGACGTTGCAGTGCGGTGGTGGACTCGCTGAACGGTAGCCGCCTTCGTCTGCGGGGAAGATGACTCCGCCGGCGCGGCGCGGCGAGGCTTGCTCACTTTACAGCAAATCGCGGCCGCGCCGCGTGCGCTTCAACATGAACCTCTCCCCATCGGAGGTAGTATCCTAGAGAGCTCGACCACAGAAAGCAACCTGGGGGTTGCTGCGAGTGCGAGTGCGGCTGTTTCGAGCGCAGCGCACTAACGCGCTCGAGGCTTGATGCGCGTGCCTCAAAGCAGCGTCGTCGGATACATTGGATCCTCGCCCCGCCGCTTGTGGCCGCAGCAATGCAAGGATCACGCGGAAATGCCGCTTACCGGTATGGACGCCACCAGCTGACTCAACGACGAGGAGCATACACTTGAGGCGAAGGAGCTCTACGTCGTCGACGACTCGTCGACGACGCCGCTCCAGCGACACGAATGCACACGAAAGAAAACGGGCGACGCATTACATGTACGAGCGGAGTCTACGCCGTCCGCGGCGTTCAAACTTCAAATGCTCCAGGCACTGGCAAAGCCCCCTCGAGCCATCTTGGTCATTGTCGTCCCTTGCAGTCGTGCGCTCGTAGTGCCGCCGCGCTCAGCTTCGCCAAAGTGCAAGGTGCTTGAGACGCGGACGGTGACGGACGGCATGCTCTGCTCTCGAAGTCTGCCTGCCCGGCGGGGAAGTGCTCTTCAAGCGCAGTGCTTGACGATTGGCTCGTATTACCCGCGGCCAGATGCTCATCCGTGGTGCGCTGGGATGAGTGGGCGGCGGTCTCCGTTATCCGCTCGACTTGATCGCCGCCGTCACTACCGAAAATATCCAAGAAGAGCGAGAGAGAGAGAGACTAGTGACTAGTGATATGACGCTGCTGGTGACGCCCGTGACGACGGCCGAGGAGTTCCAAGAGGCGAAGACGATCCGGCTGCGGGTCTTCCACGAGGAGCAGGGCTTCGACCCCGTGCTAGAGTTCGACAAGCACGACGACGAGCCCAGCACGATCCACTTCCTGGGCAAGGACGTGGAGCAGGACAAGTACGTCGCCGTGGGGCGCGTGCTGCTGGACGAAGCCAACCGCTCTGCCAAGATCGGCCGCGTGGCGGTGCTCTCCGAGTGCCGCGGCAAGAGCTACGGCGCAGCGCTCATGCAGGGCATGGAGCAGCACGTCCGCGGCCGCGTGGACAGCTTCAAGCTGTCGGCGCAGTTTGGCAAGAGGGGATTCTACCATAAGTGCGGCTACGAGCGCACCCCCGATGAGATCCACCTCGACGAGGGCGTCGAGCACTGCTGGATGGTCAAGGCCGCCAACCCGTAGCTTCGGTACCGGTAGCGTAAGTAAGGCTAATAGAATGGCTCGAATTATGCCGCTCCATGTGCTGGCCAAGTCGATCATCTCCCGACCATGACAACGAGTGCAAGGGTGGGGCGACACTCTAGCCGCAGCTGTTGCTCAGTGCATCACAGGTTGCTTGACGCTTCGCTCATCGAAACACCCCGTTTGATGCACGACTTCCGGCGGCATTAGTCAGCCCCAACCAAGCAGCCGTCACTTCCCAATTTACTCCTTCACCCACTGCAAGAGATGCCGCTGATCGTGACCCCCGTGACGACCCCCGACGAGATGCAGCAGGCGCTGGCGCTGCGTCGCCGCGTCTTCATCGACGAGCAAGGATTCCGCGAAGCCGTGGAGACGCAGGACCCCAACGACGACAAGCCGACCACCATCCACTTCCTGGGCAGAGACTCGGAGACGGGCGAGTACGTGGCGGTGGCTCGCTGTCTGCTGGACGAGCCCAACCGCAAGGTCAAGTTCGGTCGCGTGGCGGTGCTGTCGGAGTGTCGCGGCAAGAACTTCGGTGCACAGCTCATGGACGGCATCGAAGAGCACGTTCGAAGCAAAGTAGACAAGTTTGTGCTGTCCTCGCAGTACGGACGCAAGGGTTTCTACCTCAAGTGCGGCTACCAATGCCCGAGCGATGAGATTTACCTGGAAGAGGGGGTCAAGCACTGCTGGATGGAGAAGTCGGCTACCAAGCCGTCGGCTTAAAGCTTAAGGTTGAAGCCTTTTGAGATTTACGTCATTCATTATTTCGTTTCACATTGTCCTTGTCTTCCCAACTTGCCTACTTAGTACCTCAGTCTAGTCCTACTTACAGCCCAAGCCTAGTATTCCTACGGGCCTCGCATTGCTAAGCGACTGGAATATCCCCATGAAAGTTATGTCCGTCTTCGCTTGCGTACACGAGTTGGCCTGAGCGAGTGTGCCGTCTCTCGGGTCCAGGGGCCATCGTAGCAGAAGCACATTGAAGGTGCGAATCACCCGCTGCGGTATCACGCGTGCCAACATCAACAGGACCACGGAGGACGAATGGTAGACGTGTTCGCCGTAGTAAACATACCCTGTAAGCAGCAGCGCTTCGGCAGAAATGCAGCGCTTGCCGTTATACATCACGTGTGCAATATCGTTGCAGTGTGGAAGAGCTTGTCAAAAGTCCCCCCGATGCAGTTCCTCTCGAAGGAGGTTAAACTGGCGCTCAATAGTGATGGACCTTGCTTCGCGAAGGCTGGCTCGATCGCTTCGACTCTGGTGAGTCTTCGTCCTAGCGGCCATATCAGTGAGTGCCGAGACGCTAGAGAGCGACGGGATGACCACGTTAGCTGGAACGACGACATGATTCTCGTCCTCATCTTCAACGCTCTTCTTCTATCCGCGTACGAGATGACCGTGGCGAAGAGGGCCAACGCAATGGATAGCAGCACCACGATGGAGGGCATTTTGACTTTGAAAATGATGCAGGAATCCTGTAGCCCGCAGTATTTGGCTCCACGAGTGGAGTACTTGCGCAACATCTCCGCGTTCTGGGAGAGGATAAGCTGAAGAGGCTCGCGCTGCAAGGACCTCAACATTGCCCCTACACCGGCGATGATGACAGGTTGCATCGCCTCCCATGTCAGGCGAAAGCGCCGATCCAGTTGCTGGTCGCCAGAGCGCGCCTTGACCAGATTGACGAACGAGTACGAGAAGGCGAAAAAGCAGCTAGTGAGGTTCACGACGGATTCCGTCGTCAACGTGCCCGTGCCCAGTCCGAGTAAATACAAGTCGGAGTTGTACACAAGGTAGTAAGTAATTTGGGCGAGATAGACCACTTGCATCGCAGATCTGCGTGGGTAGAACGGATCGCTCGTGCGACATCACCTGGAAGAAGCTGATGATACCCATCAGGAGAATCTGCATGACAACGGTTGTCACAACCATCCCGGGCAAAACACTGATAGCAACCCTGTCAGCGTAGCGGTTGCGGAACGTGTTGACCACCATGCCGGCGCGATCGGGTTGGTCTTCCGCGACGTAGTTCAGCCAATCCCATAGCGAATTGAAGTAGTTGTGGACGCACACATCGCCTCTACTACACAGCGGGATATCGTCCGGGGAGTGCACCATCAGTCCGTCAGTGCGTCGACAACTCGCACGAGTCCTCGACGAAAATGCCGTGTTCACCTCCCGCACCCGACAGCCCCCATAGTATGCTCGAAGAAGAGGCTGCACGACGGTGGTCGCGGGGTATTTCGTAGCGCCCGCCGGAACCTCTCGCGAGACCGTCGGGAGATTGCTGGCAAAGCTGTACGGGAACAGCTTCAGACTGTCTGGGACAGCACGCAGTGGGTCTTCCCCATCGGTGAGCCGAGCCAACTTGTAGGAAGTACTTGGAGCATGCATGTACGACCTCTCTATTGAACGCGTGCCAGACGCGTTTCGCCCCTCCGCCGGGGGCCTCGTCAGTGGCTTTACCAACCGAGAAGTGTACCCCCACCATGGGGTTACACCTACGTGCCTGCAGCACTTCCAACACTCCCCCTCGACAGCAGGAGTCCGTGACCACGCAGATCCCGCGTAGCCCTCCTTGTCTTGCCGTCCTTGTCGCTCTGTTTGCTTGCGTCCACGGCGCTCGCCTCGTGTCCTTCACCGGATCACGTCCCTTGTGACGGGGCACACAGCACTTCTTAACAGAGGAAGCAGGAGTATACAAACTCCAAGTGAACAGCCGACTTGACTTGAAAAGCGGTAGATCTAAGACTGAATGTATTTATAGGTTGGTACAGATTTGGCCTGCATACAGATCCTAAGTTCCCTATAGTTTGTGTCATACAAAATGTATCTGTTGGCTCTGAGGCCACTTGGGTCACTATCCAGGGGAGTGACCGATGTAGCCATCCCAGAATAGTGACAGGGTCACTATTCCATGTAACCCCGTTACATCCTCCCCCACTTAGATTCGATCTTATCGACCAATCAGAGCGAGGTTACGCCGGCGACTCACATTTCACTCGCAAAGTCGAAATCCATCGAAAACGGCACGAGCTCTGGCGCCTCGGCTCCCGGGCCACACAGAGCAACTGGCGCATCGCCGAGCAAGCCACAGGGTCTCCACGTCGACCGGAAGCATGCCTCCAAAGCGCAGTGCGCGCAGTGCAAAAGCACCTCCGAAACCGCGGGCCGTAGGGCCGAAGACCAGGGCGGCCAAGGCCAAGGACGAGTCGTCCGCGCTGATGGAGGCCACGAAGGCGGCCGAGGAGGTGGTGCGCTCTCGTAGCAGCACGCCGGAGAGTGGCCGTCAGGCCGGGGCTCGAAGCAAGTCTCCTGACGCCGCGCAAGGCAAGGAGGAGAGTCCTCGGGGCCATAAAAGCCCGGCTCGCGACTGCGAAGCCGCCGTCTTTGACTGCACGATGGTCCAGTACTCCGGTGAGAGTTCACCCGACGACGAGAACGTCTCGGAGGGCAGCACGCACGCTGCCGAAGGCACGGAGCTGGCGGCAGGCGACATGACCAACGCCTCGGCCGACGCAAAGGCCTCGTCAGAGAAGGAGGCGGAGGACGCCGAGTCCGGCTCAGGCGACAGCAAGCAGTCGCACGACGAAGTCGCCATGGCCGACGCTGGGGTCGTGGCCGAGAAGTCGCCGAGCGACGCGGGCTCCAAGCCCAAGGAGGTGCTGGCATCCAAGCATCTGACGCTGGCACAAGGTCGTGAGCGTGCCCAAGCGTCGAAAGCGGCTGCCGCTGCGAAGGCCGCCGAGGCCAAGGCGAAGAAGCGTTCAGCTTCCAGGTCGCCTCGCGGCTCCAGCTCCAAGCTGTTCATCGACTCGGAGTCTGAGGACGAGGAGGGTGCCGTCCACGAGCCCAAGGAGCTCTCCAACAACCTCGACGAGCAGCAGCAGCAATACCACGCTGCTAGCTCGGGTGCGTATACCAGGCAGCCGACTGCCACGACTGCCATCGAGTCTTCTTCAGGCGGGGATGCCACGTACCCGCAGGGCTACTTCCCGCCCGAGCCTGGCACTGGTGCGCCAGCGCTGTTGGCGAAGCTCTCGGCTCCTCGTGGCCTTATCGGCTGGTACACCTCGAGGGGTTCCTATGAGCGTGCTCTTGTTGAGAAAGAGCCACTCTTTCTTGGCGACGTTGAAGTCGCTCGGTGTGTGCTACTAGCACCACACAAGCTCACACTGAAGGAGTTCACCACGCTTCGCAAGAAGCCGGAGGAACGTGCGCGAGCTCCGCATCGAGTTCGCTCAACTCATTACGATCAAGGAGGACCGGCGGTGGCCTCGCACGGCCATGGCTACGAGCCTGAGGCGACGCAGCCGTATGCTGGGGCTCCGAGTCAGGTGGTGGCCTTGCAGCAAGAGGAGATTCGTCTTCTCCGGGACCGTGTGTACGTCCTCGAGATCGCGCTTGGCGTCGGCCTTGGTGGCGAGGCTGCCGCTCGTGCTGGTCAGCCTGGTGCCGTGGAGCGGCTCCGTGAGGATGTTGCCTCGCTCTATCAAGAAACTCGCAGTCTCCATGGCCGTGTGGATCGTCGAGCCGACCTGTCGTCTTACGACTCGCTGTGAAACCAGCTCGCTGGCCTTCGGGCCGAGCTTCATGGCCCCGCGCCGTATCCGGAGCAGCAGCAGCCCCACTCGTATCAGGCCCAGTTTGGCCAGGGCTCGTACGGGGCCCCTGCGTATGCTGCTCCGATGTACTTACGACCAGCGCGCGTATCAGGCGCCTTACCGCGACTCGACGCCGCGCTTCGAGGAGCTGCGCTCTTCTCCACCGGGCCACCCACCGCTTCCGGCGGGGCAGCCAGAGCCAGAGGGTCATGGTACCTCTTAAGACGACCCACGTAAAACGTCGGATGAGTCGTCATCGACTTGGGCAAGTATATGGTGTACGCCGCGCCATGCCGGCTGAGGACCGTGAAGGGTCCAATGAAGCGGTGCTTCAGCTTGTTGCTCTCGACCGAGCTAACAGTGTTTAGCGGTAGGTTTCTAGTATCTAGGAGAACTAAATCCCCAACCTTAAACACGTTCATGTTTCCTCTTCCATTTCGGTCAGAATACTCCTTCTGTTTATCTTGGGCTTGCGCCATGGTGTCTCGCACCCTGCTGAGTATGTTCAGCCTGTCTTCGGCAAACGAGGACAGTTGCTTCCACAAGGTGGCTGGACTCACGTCCGAGACTTGGGAGGAAAAGGTTTTCCGAGCCTCTCCCCCACTTAGGACCGAAGCCCCGGTACTGCCTCGTAATGTGAGCGGCACCTGAGGGTGGCGCAATCCGTTCAGGTAAAAGGGCGTAAAGCCCGTCGATGCATGTACCGCATTATTGAGTGCGAACTCAACCATGGGCAAGCGATCAGCCCAAGAGCGGGGCATCTCCGCGCAGATACTGCGGAGCGTGTCTTCGAGCACGCGTTTGACGCGCTCCGTTTGGCCATCCGTCTACGGGCGGTCCGCCGTCGACATCGACAGTCGTGTGCCGAGAAGGCGAAACAGCGTCAGCCAGAACGTAGCTGCGAACCTTGGGTCTCGATCAGAGACAATGGTCTCGGGCAGACTGTGGTGTCGGAAGACACAGTCCATGAACAGGCGAGCGACCTCGTCGCCAGTGACGGTGTCACGAACTGGAGCAATGTGGACCATCTTGCTCAGACGGCACACGAAGGCAACAACACCAGTGTTGCCACGGTCATCGGCCGGAAGTCCGAAGACAAAGTCGAGACTCATCGACTTCCAGCAGTCCGCTGGGACCGGCAGGCTCTGCAATGGTGCCGAGGCGTGACCGGCGGCTTCACGCGCTGGCACGTCTCACACGTACGGACGTAGGTGGCGACCCACTTGTACATATGACGCCACCAAAACATCTGCAAGACAGACGCGTACGTCTTCTCACGGCCGAGATGGCCACTGGATGGAACGTCGTGCGCCTCCATCAGGATGTCGTACTTGAGATCCTCGTCGTTGGGCACGACAATACGGGGAGGATCCTCGGGCTCGACCCTATAGTGGAGCAAACCGTCAGCCCACTCATAGCGGTGCAGCCTTGCACGTTGTCGGGGCGTGAGCCACTCGGCCTTGGCTTCCGAGCCAGCGGCCAAGAACCGCACAAGAGGTCCGAGACTGGCATCGTCTCGGTACCCCAGCCTGATGCGATCATACAGATCCGTCGTGACCCGACTAATATGAGCAAGCTCGTAGTCGGGTCGGCGCGACAGCGCGTCGGCAAGCACGTTCAACTTGCCCGGCTTGTACTCGACACGGAAGTTGTATTCCGCGAAGAATGACAGCCAACGCGCCATCTGCTGTGAGAGATGCGGCGTGTTGACGGCAGTCCGCAAGGACGCGTGGTCTGTATAAACGACAAAGGGCGTCGAGCCCAGGAGGTGCACTCGGAACTTGACAAGAGCGTACTTCATGGCAAGTAGCTCCTTGTCGTGGACTGGATAATTCCGTTCGGCTGCCTTGAGCTGCCTGGACTGGAACGAGATGACCCGTTCGCGGCCTTCATCGTCGGCCTGCAATAGCGCACAGTCAATTGCGTAGTCAGACGCATCACAGACTACGCTGAAAGACTTCGTCTCGCCCGGCAATGCCAGGACTGGCGTCCAGCGCGCTATACAGCGTGCAGCCGGCCATGTTGTTGAGCAACACGTCCTTGCGCGGGATCGGTGTCTGCGCAGGCACTGTCGCGCTGTTCAGCTTGTTATAAGCATGAACCAGACGCCACTTTCCGTTCGGTTTGCGAACACAGAAGGTAGGCGTCGAGTGCGGGGACTTCGACTCCCGCACCATGCCTGCCTTCGCCTTGGCGGCAAAGAAGGCATCAACGACTTCACACTGCTCCCGGGGAAGAGGCCATTGCCTCGTGACACAGTACTTCGTGCCCGGCACGAGATTGATCTCGTGCCTGATTCCCCTGTCCAGAGGGAGATTGGACGGTGGATCCTTGGACACTAAGCTCGCTTTGATGTCGTTAAAAGCATCTTGATGGCGACGCTCCCAGTGCCAGTCGACATCCTTCTTCAGGAGATCCGACAAGGGCCGTGCCAGCTCGGCGTAGCCTACACTATTAGTTGGCGAGGCCCAACCACTGTCGTAGGTCCTTCTGCGACCGAGGTGGCGGCCAAGCCGCGATGGTTTTCACCTTCTCCGGGTCCGCCCGGACCCCGGCGCTGCTGACGAAGCAGCCCAGGACCTTGATCTCCTCAGCTGCGAACACACACTTGTCGATGTTGGCGTACAGCTTGTTCGCCCGCATGACTTCGAACACACGTCGAAGGTGCTGGAGATGCATCTCCATGGCCTTCTGGCCTGCCTCGGCACGGCTGTGGACGAAGATGTCGTCAAAGTACGTCTGTGTGAACGCACGCAAAGGTCGGAACAGTTGTGTGACCAAGCGATTGAACGTTGCCGGGGCGTTAGAAAGCCCCTGAGGCATGACCAGCCACTCCCAGAGCATACCGCTGGGCGTGCTCACAGCCGTGAGTGGGATGTCGCTCTCGCGCATCAGGACCTGGTAGTATCCGTCCACCAGGCACGTCCTCAAACTCCTTCACCAAGGGGTACACCGGGTCCCGGGGGTTCTTAAGAATCTCAGAGCCCATGCGCGACGCGCGCTGTCTCTGGAACTCCTCCAGGACTGCCTGTTCCATGACCGAGGACGAGTTCAACTCGGCCGACGTGGACTCCGGTCGGAGGAGAACCAACTCTGCGATCTCCCCGGCCTTTAGCTCGGCCAAGAAGTCCTCCATGGCGAGCTCCTCAAGGTTCAGCAACTCTGAAACCTCGGGCAGAGCTGTAAGCTCGACAGCTCCTGTCTTGACCCGACGACCGGTCACGCCGTCGAAGATGTGATAACACTCTTCGGCGGCTGGAGCCTTGGCTGGAGGCTCGGAGTCGCTGGCGACTGGCGTCGTCGGCCACACGACTAGGCCCGGCTTACGACGTGACCATCAGGTGTCTTCGTCTCGTGGCGCCGCCTTGACGGCACCACCGATCTTCGCGATCTCGTGCGGAACTACGTTACCCGCCTTGTCCTTGAGCGGAACTTGGTTACCCGCCTTGTTCTTGAGCGGAACTTGGTTACCCGCCTTGCTGGGTGGAACTATGTTACACACCTCGCCGTGTGGAACTTGGTTACCCACACCAGGAGCGCTTCCAGCGACTCGCATCAGTTATGGTCTGAGTGACCTCCTGTGGAACTATGTTACCCACATCGGAAGCGCCTGCAGTGCCTTCCTCATCAGTTACGGTCTGAGTGACCTCGCGTGGAACTTGGTTATCCACGCCAACGCCAGCGGCGCCTTCTCCAGCAGCCCTTGCTGCCTGCGGTACTTCGTTACCCGCGTGTGGACCTACGTTACCCACCTGGTAGGTGCTGTCCGGCACCTCCACTCTCAGGCCTTGTCCGGCCCGGTCAGAGTCGTCGTCAGTCTCGACGGACCCCAAGAACTCATTAGACGCTGCTGCGCCCTGGTGGCCCTCGCGGGCGCCCCAGCTGCTGCCAGAGGTGGGAACATGACTCACCAAAGCTCTGTCAGAGCGTGGGGGACGGCTGGCCCCGATGGCCTTGCCGCGCCAGTCGATCCAAGGCTCGTGTTTCTCCAGCCACGGCATGCCAAGGATCAAGTCGTACTTGTCCATGTCTAGGACCAAGAACGGCTCCGTGCTGTCGAAGTCCTCGAACTTGACAGTGAGGTCCATGTGGACCCGAGGTACTTCTACCACCGTACCGTCGGCCAGTCATACCGAGACCAGCCCGTTGCCTTTGCTGCCTCGTAGCACATCGGCGTACTTGTCGCGATTGCGTGCGACAATCTGGCGGCGCGCAAAGTTCTTGGACGCCCCAGAGTCGATCAAGATTCTCAAGGGATGATCGTATCCGGGTACACTCGCGTGCACCACAAGCAGCCCACCGCTGCCCTTCTCCGCTTCGAGAGTACAGAGACTCTCAGGGGCTAAGTCCCCATGGCGTGCGCCACCCGCACGCCCCTCATGAAGACTTAGTGTTTCCCCAGTAGGGCGCCCCGCCCCTACTGGTGTCCGGCGTTCTCCTGGTTCCTGGGGCGCGGCTTCTGCCAGCGACCCCTAGAGCCAAAGGGCTTCGAAGAGAACTTCTTCTTCAGTCTTCCCGCGGGACAAGCACGTTTCATGTGCCCAAGCTTGCCACAGCCGTAGCAGCGAATGTCGCTCTGCTCGGCCATGCCCAGATCCATGGGAACCGGCCCGTTGATCGCTCCATTGCCGGAGTTACCATTAGGCGCACCGCCAGAGGCAGGGTTGCTCTGCCATACCGCGGCGGGGGTACGAGCCTGCTTGTGACTGTACTCCTCCTGGAGGGCGATCTGAATCGCCTCCTCCATAGTGTTTGCTTGCACACGGAACAGTTGCGTGCGGGCAGGACCGACACGCAGACCGTCCATGAACACGGTCACCTTGATGTGTTCAGGCAGGGGGTTCCCCACCAAAGAGGCAGTGAGCACTCGCATCTCCTGGATGTACTCATGCAGCTCGCGCCTTCCTTGTTTGCAGGCGTGGAAGCGCGAACGCTGGCGGTACTCGTAGTTCGCCGGAAGAAACGCGGCCCGCAGCTGCTCGCACAGCTGGGACCATGATGCAAAGCATCCAGGCGTCGTCGCTTCGCGCGTATACGCCCAACTCTTAGCGCGACCACTAAGGTTGGAGAGCGCAAAGGCGACACGGAGTCGCTCGTCCGAGACGAGAGCCGCGTCCATCGCGAGCTCAACCTCTCGAACCCAGAAGTGAAGGTTTTCTCCTTCCTTCCCTTCGAAGGGGTGAACCTTCAGCCGCAGGGGCTTCGGTTGCACCGGCTTCGGCGCGGCCGCAGTGGCCTGCAGCCCTTGAACGTGGGCGATGAGCCCTCGCTCGTAGGTGTCGAACGCGTTGATACGCTCAACCTGCTCAGCCGGCGTCGCCGCCGCTAAGCTACGCAGGGCATCTGTCCCAAAGATGCCTGCCATCTTACGAACGGACTCGTACTGCGAGTCGCTCAGATGGGGAAACTCCGTACGATCCATCTTGGCTCACTCGATGCGACCACAGAGGATTCAGGTAGTCCAATCTACCCGCGTAGGCGTAGGATTGACTACAAGTGCTACCAAGTGTGACGGGGCACACAGCACTTCTTAACAGAGGAAGCAGGAGTATACAAACTCCAAGTGAACAGCCGTTCACTTGTCCGGGGACGACTTGACTTGAAAAGCGGTAGATCTAAGACTGAATGTATTTATAGGTTGGTACAGATTTGGCCTGCATACAGATCCTAAGTTCCCTATAGTTTGTGTCATACAAAATGTATCTGTTGGCTCTGAGGCCACTTGGGTCACTATCCAGGGGAGTGACCGATGTAGCCATCCCGGAATAGTGACAGGGTCACTATTCCATGTAATCCCGTTACATTCCTGGTCTTCCAACAGCCGCTCGCCTTGCCCGTCGAACATCTTGACCATCGTCGTTGTTCTCCTTCTTGTGCTCCCTTGTCTTTGGCATTATCTTGAGCTCGCGCACGCCTCGCGTGCCGAATCGCTTCATTGTCGGCCGCCGCCTACGCACGTCCGCGGTCATCTTGCCGCCCTCGCGCGCGCTCTGCAAACCGCTCCTTGGGTCCGCCACCGGGCGCTGCTGGCCTTACTGCCGCGCGTCCGCCGGTCCCTGGCGCCCATTTACGGTGCCAACTTGCCCGTCGTGCGTCCGCGGTATCGTTCCGCCCTCGTACCGGCCTTGACCTTCAGCACCTTCGTCTGCACCGTCACCATGGGCACCAACGTGCTCCCCCTGGCCTTCGTAGCCGCGAGCACCTCGTGCTCCCCCTGAGCATGAGTCTCTTCCTCCATCGACCTCTGTCGATCAGTCGTCACAGCACACACCATCACCTCCGTCGCGCATCGGCACTCGGTCGTGTGGAGTAGCGGCCTCACAGAAATCGCGGAGTTCGTCCTCGCACAAACCCGACGCGTCCAATCTGCGGTCGCGACGGGCAATTTCCCGGATCTTGAGTAGCGTATCTTCGGATATAGAGCCCAAGTCTTCGCAAGCTTCAGAGTTGGCGGGTTGAGTGGACGCTTGTTCCTTGTCTTAGGGCGTCGGTTGTTCCTTGAGCGTGCGGACTTATCGGGCCAGCGTTTCCTGGGGCTTGTTGCGTGGCGTTATCGGGCCGGCGTTTCCTGGGGCTTGTTGCGTGGCGTTATCGGGCCGACGCGGAGTCTTGTGCACAGCGGTTATCAGGCCGTGCGGCCCTTCGTCTAGGCTGCGCGTTATCGAGCGCCTCCTAACCGGTATACGTTTTACGTGCCTTCGTTTCCAGCACGGGGTTTGAGGGGGGTGAGTGCCTGAGCCAGCGAGCGACGGAGGGCCGCGTGTTCCTTGCGGCTCGGCTTGCCGACGCTTGGTGGTTTTCAAGAATCTGGCGATCTTCCGGAGGGGAGAGGTCTGAGTGGTTCAGAGAAATTTCGGGACTGAGTCCTTACCCTATCCTATGTCCTTGCTACTGGCTATTCTGTACTACTGCTTGCTAAGCCTACCGCTCTGTACCTATCCTTACTTCTGTCGTGCTTGCACTACCGTCCTTCAACCTGATTTGCGTAGCATAATCAAGACTTGGGCTTGACGGGGTTTCTCGGCGGGATTTCCTCGACGGGATTTCCTCGACGGGGTTTAGGGTCCACGGGGTTCGCATAGCCGGGCGTGCGAACCGGCTCGTCGAATCAGTCAGGATCCGCCTGATTCCGCAGCTGGTCTACGTGTCACACGGTCCATCACCCCGTCAACCTCCCTGGCGATCTCGACGCGTCGTATTCCGTCCGCCTCGTCGGCTGCCATCACTCTCGGTCACTCGTTCCCTGGCGCGCGACATCTCGTGGGGCGCTATTCCACATCCGTCCCGCTGCCACGCACGCGCACTCCCCAAGTGGGTGTGCCGTCGCAGAACTCGCTCCGCGTCTGTCGCGCCCCGTCCTACTGAAGCTTCTACCGTCGCCGTGTATCGCCGTCGTTCCTTCCAAGTCCATGGTTCGCCGCGACGACGTACGCGCTGCCGACATAGAGGTGGTCGACGACGAGCTCGATACCGAAGACCTCGAGGCAGCCGGCTGCGTCGTCTGCGCGAGTGGAGCGCACCGTCCTCATCCTCCCGCGCGTCTTCCCGTCACGCTTCCAGCACCTGGCACGCCAGTTCCTTCGGTGACGGCTCTCGTAGCCGACGCGCGCGCCCTCGCCCAGGAGAATCGAACTCTTCGGGCTCAGTATGAGCTTGTGTCAGTGAACAATGCCGGCTTGGCCGCCCACGCCTCCGTGCTACACGATCGGAACCTCGCTCTCCTTCGCCACGCCCGCGAAGGCTATCGGGCGGGTATGGTGATGCTCGAGCAGGCGCTCTTGTCTCGCGAGCGCACTGAGCGGGCCAACTCCGAGCTCGAAGACCGCGTGCTTGGCCTCCGTGACATGGCGGGCCGTACGGCTGCCGCCGAGACACAACTCCGGGTGTTCAAAGCCTCGTCGGAAGAGGACTATCACAACTTGCAGAACCAACTCGCCGCCTCACAAGCGCAGGTAGCTGACCTGTCTGCACGGCTCGCCGCGGTCCCCGCGGTGCCGGCCCCTCCCTCGACGTCTACGGACTCTATGGCGCGGCTGTCGCCGCCCTCGTCTCCATCCAAGCTCAGCTCGACGCGGCGATGGCGGAGCGAGATCGGGCTCGCCAGTCCGCCGTCCGTCGAGAGCGGCAGCGTGACGTCGCCCTCGCCGAGCGTGACCAAGCGCGTCGGGACTTCGCGGCGCTCGAGCAGGAGCGCGACGCAGTCGTCGTGGAGCGCGATCAGGCTCGACAGGTGTCCCTCGCTCTGGAGCAAACTCGTGACGCTGCAACCCGTGAGCGCGACCAGGCACGTCAAGCTCAGGCGAGAGCTGAACAGCAGCGCGATGCTCTGGTCGAGGATCTCCGCGTCACTCGCAACTCACTTGCTCAGAGTCGGGCTGAGACCGAGTCTGCCCAGCGGATGAACGACCCGTTGCAAGCCGACGTCCGGCGTGTGAATGCGTTGCTGGTTGCCCACGCCGAGGAGCTCCAGCGCGAGACGGCTCGCATACGCGAATTGGAGACGACAGCCGCGACTGCCTCGACGGCACGCGTGGTCGCAGAAGCGGAGACAGCCCGGGCCCAGGCTAATGAGCTGCAAGCTGTCTCGCGATCCGGGCAGTATCGCACCGGCTGGTTAGCCATGCGGCGTCGGTTGCTGCAGCAGAGCGATGCGGCCGGCGCCCACATCCGCCGTCTGAGTGTCCGCGTCGCCGACCTGGCTGACGAACGCGATCTAGCGGTCCGGGAGCGGGGCGAGCGTGCGATGGCCTGGAGACGCATGCTCCGAGACGCGCGTCGGAGCCGAGAGTTGGCTCAGCGCGTGCGCGACGACCTGGCCGGCAAACTGGCCAGCTCCGTTTCGTCGGTAGGAGGGACCATCGACACCGCCGGCCTGATCCGCCGCCTCGAGGCTACCTACGCAGCGGAAGCGAACGCTGCCGTCCCCCTTCCTCCCGCCGATCCCGCCGGGGCCACGCCAATGGCCGTGTCCGTCGCGTCGCCCCCTGCTGTTGTCGCCGGGCCGTCCGCGTTAGCCCCTAGCTCAGACACCGTGCCTTCGTCGAGTGATTCGACTCAGCAGCCGTCTTCCTCTGTCTGTACTCCGGCTCCTCTTCAGGTTCCGGTGTCTTCCTCAGCTCCATCATTGTCGGGCACACGTCGGCCTCGACCCAGTGGAGCCAGGCCTTCGGGCTCTCGGCACCCTTCTTCGAGCTGCGTGGGGCTCCCGGCGACCTCCACGTCGAGTTCTTCGCCGCGGCGTCGGAGCCAGCGGGCTTCTACAAGGGCTGACACAGCAGCCTCGAACAGTGCTGCCGCACAAGCTTCCCCTGTCACGTCGCTGTCGGCGGCGGCTGTGGCTGCGGCCGCGGCGCGTGCTCGTGCAGACGCGTCTCTCTTCGGTTCAGAGTCCTCGGAGAGTGACGCTGGGGCGCACTCTCCTCAGCCAAAACGCCGTCGTTTGCGAAACCCTTCTTCCCGCTCGCGTTCTTCGCCGCGTTCACGTTCTCGATCGACTTCGCGTCCGCGCTCCCGTCCGGCTTCGACGTCGCGTTCGGCGTCGCCTTCCCGCTCGGCTTCGCGTTCATCGTCGAGTTCCTCGTCGCGCTCGTCGAATCGCTCCATCGGCTCGGCGCGTTCCAACGGGGTCGGCTTCTTCCACTCATTCGACCCGCTCGCGTCGGCCGGCGTCGCCTTCGCGGTCGGCACGTTCTCCCACGCGAGGTTCTCCCACGCGAGGTCGACGATCGTCTCAGCCTGGTTCGGCGACTCACTCCGGCGGGCGTGATGACTCCGACGGCGGCGACTCGTCCTCGTCGTCTTCTGCCCTCTCTTCGTCTTCCAGTTCCGTGTCCAGTGGCTCGGAGGGAGCCGCCCATGTGGCGCCGTTCTTCGTTCCAGTAATCCCACCCGGCTGGCACGCCTTCGGGTTGGACACAGCGTCGCTATTTTCCATGGTCCAAGTCCGTACGTCGTCTTCGGCTCCACAGCATCACGGCTCGCGAATTGCGAGCACGCTTCTTGCCACCGCGGGGTTAGATCTGCCCCCGCGCGCCTGTTCCCAAACCGGCGAACTGGAACCGGGCCTTGGTGACACGTGCCAACGTCGACGCGTTGTACGCCACGCGGCCCTGGCGCTACTTGGCTCAGGAAGTGGGGTCGGTGCTGTTCGCGTCGGGCGACGCCGCGTTCCAGCCGTTCATGCGTCGACTTCGGCACCACGTCGAGCGCTGGGCACAGGCGTACGGGGAGTCTACTCACGAGCTCCATGTGCCTGGCGCTGCATGGCGGTCGTGGCGTTCGTCTCGGAACTCCCGTCGGTCGCACGCAGGCGACCACCTGAACAGTCTCCTCCAGCTGGTGGTCGACTTGTTTCGCCGTGGACTCGCCGACATGGACTTGCATCTGGACCCCGCGGTTCTTCACTTTCCACCGGCGCACTCACGAATCGGACGGTGGTTTCCGGGCATTCAGCACACGACGCTGCAGGAAGCGCTCGACGACGTTGACGTCCAGGAGCCTTGGCGTCGCTTCCACCGAACGCCGCTCACCGTCGCGCAGATGGATGCCAACGTGCGTTGTCGCGTGACGCGTGCCCACCACGCTTACCTCGTGCCTCGCCTTGCTGGCAAGTTCGTCCAGCAGGTTTGCGCGTAGTCCGTTACTTTGGTGTAGCTCGTAGCCGTAACTTCAATGCATCCCCTTGACACCTTCCCTCTTTTCTTTCTCTTTTTCACATCTTTTATGAGACGGCCCTCCGCCGTCCCATTCTCAGCAACAGGCTGGTCCTCCTCAGTTCCCTCATCCAATCCCTCGCTCCGGCCATTCCCAGAATTGAGGCTTCCCACCTGTCTTCCACTCGGCAGCCCCTTTGCCGACTTGGTCGCACCCGTGGGCGCTCACCCACCAGGCTCCGCCGCCTCCGAGTTCTCGTGCGACTGCATCGCCTCGAACCGGTTGCGTCCCGTGCACCGGCGCAGGAAGTCGTACAGCAACCCGCCGCAATTCAGATCGAGCTCGTCGACCCACGTCGTGTCCGGGTAGCCCTTCCATTTGACTTCGAACTCGCGTCGCGTGCGCCCATACCGGGTAGCCCGCCCTTCGCGCACGTTCACGATCTTCTCGACCTCGAAGACGTCGTCCTCCAGCTCGCGCGTGGCTTCTCAGCTATCCTCTGGCAAGAGCTCCTCGTCGAAGTCGAAGCGCTCCTCGGCCGGCACCGTCAGCTGCGTCGCGGGTCGCGACAGGAATTCCCGGACGGGCTTCAGCTTGGAGATGTGGACGACGGGGTACAGCTGATTGGGCGTACCCGCCGTCTCGAGGCGCACTGCGAACGCGCTGACCAGCTCGGCGACGCGGAAGGGTCCGTGCCACATGTGGGCGAGTTTGCGGGCATACCCTGGCTTCACCCGATCCAGGTACAGCAAAACTTGCGAGCCCGTCGCGATCTCATGTTGCGTCGCGTTTTCAGTTTGTCGACGCGCTCTCTCTTCGACGGCCTCTCGGACTAACTCCAACGCTTTTGCCCTTGGCACCTTGTAGCGTCGCTGGATGCGGAGCCTCCACCGCCTCGCCTCGGCGTCCCGGGTCGACGTGTTCCCGACGGCCATTGTCGCTTCCAGCGTCGACCGAGGATCCCAGCCATGCACTAAGAAGAACGGGGTTTCGTTCCTCGTCCGGTCGTGCGACGTGTTTAGCGCGAAGGTAAGACGCTCGGCGTATTCGTCCCAGTCGCGTTGGTCGACGTCCGCGATGTACATCTTGATCGCTCTTGTAACCGTCTGCACCATCCGTTCTGCAGCACCGTTGGCTTGGGGACGATAAGTGAGCGTCGCTCGCTGTCTCTGACCCATGAGTTTGCTGAACGCCTTGAAGAAGTCGGACATGAAGCGCGGCTCGCGGTCGTGGCATATAGCCTCGCTCGCGCCGAAGCGCCTGAACACCGCCACCTCGTACGCCTCGGCCACCGTCTGCGCGGTTCGTGACGCGTTCGCTTTGACCACGACGAACCCCGTGAAGAGGTCGACCCAGACTAACAGCTCTGTGTTGCCTTTGTAGGATGCCAGCAACGACGGAATATAGTCCATGGCGATGACCTGGAACGGGTACGTCGCGACGATGTTGCCCGGCGACTCGCCCTGGATGGTCGGCCGACCCTTTCCCGTTGCACAGTCGGTGCATTCGCCGACGTAGCGCTGGACGCTTCTGAAGATCCCTGGCCAATGGAAGTGGCGCCTCACGCGTTGGTACGTGCGGCCAAAACCCTGGCGTCCGCCTTCCAGGATCGCGTGATAGTGGTGGAGTACATCCTCCCGAAGAGTCTCCGGGATCACCAGCTTCGTCATCACATCGCGATCCTCGGCGGAATTGTCGCTTCTCGGCTGGTAGTAGAGCAGCCCGCCTTCGCCCTCTTCGTACTGAGGCGCAAGCGTTGGGCAGTTCTTCACCTCGCGCCGAGATAGGTCTCCGACGTCGCCGCGGAGATACTTCTTGAGGTTGACGATCCAGGCCTCTTCGTCCTGGGCGACGCGGATGCGGTCCAGGCGCAGTCGATGCACCACTAGCTCCTCCAGGACTTCTGGAGGTCGGCCCCTACGTGTTGTCGTGCGTGTGGCAGCCGAACGCGTCGTCACCGCGAGGACTTGTGTTATCCCGCGTCCCGCGTCCATGGCCTTCCCGACGGGGTCATCTGCGCCGCTCGTTTTCACGTCGAGATTTTTTGCGTCGAGACTTTCCGCGTCGAGACTGACTGGAGACGCCATCTCAGGACTCGATGCCCGTGGTCGGATGACTTCTTCCAAACGAATCAGCGTCTTCAGATCTTGCATCTCCTCGGGACTGTGCGCGTTGCGGCCTCCTTGACGCTGCAGAGCTTGTCCAGCCAGCATGTCGGCACTCGCGTTCCAGTCTCGTCGTACGTGGAAGAGTTCGTGGCGCGGCCATGCCTGGAGTGCGTTTCGCATCTTTCGTCGCAGCAGCTTCAGCCCCGGGGACTTGCAGTCCATCTCGTCCCGCATCTGCCTGATGACCAGGTTGGAGTCTCCGCATACGACGAGTCGGGTGACGTCGTCGAGTTCCTCTAAAAGAGAACATCCGAGCAGCGGCCCGCGGTATTCCGTCTCGTTGACCGTGAGGTCCGTCGCATATCCCGACGCGGAGCGCACGGTCTCCCAGTTCGGCAGCTGCCAAATGACGGCACTGTATGCTCCGCCTTCTCGCTTCGCCTTAGCCGATCCGTCGAAGCTCAAGACGTGCAAGACCTCGTCGCGCTCCACGTCGGGGACTGGAATGACTACAATCCTGGACGCCCGTTTCCGGAGGGCGATCTCTTCTAGCGCCGCGTCGACGAAGGCTCGCGGTGTAATGCTCGCGGCCAGCGCGCCGAGGAGTTCTTCTTCTCCCTTCATGGATCGGCAGATTTCCAGCTTCCACGGCAAGAGGATCGCGGCCCACTGTGACAGCCGCCCCTGTAGTCCTTTGGACCGGAACAACCAGGCGAGCGTCGTGTGACGTGTCAAGACGCGGACCGGTCTCCCTGCTAGCATCGTGTAGCACTCGTTCAAGACGCGCAACAGGGCCACGATCTCCGTTTCGACGATCGTCGGCGCGTGCCGGCGCAGCAGAAAGCTGCATAACGCGCGGTGGTCGGTTCATGGGCATGCGCTTGTGCGACTCGAAACTGCTGTCGGAGTCCACGCTCGATTGGTATCGAGGCGGAGTCGAGGGCGTGGTCGTTGAAGTCCGGGCTGGGCCCGCCGAGGGACTCGGCGCGTCTTGGCCCGTCGCGGAACTCGCCGCGCCTTGTTTAACGGATCTGGCGAGAATCGTCAAGGGCTCCTGCACGACGCTAATCGCGCGCAGCCAAGACTTGAGGTCCCAATCGCACAGCCTCTCCATCTCGAAAGCTCCCAACACGAACCCAGAGTCACGCAGCATCTGGAAGAGAGTCGGCGCGGCGTGGGCGACGCTGGTGAGGCTATCGAAGTCCGGCGCCACGAAGGGGCCTGTGAAGTTGCTCATTAACATGGGCTTGAGGAAGACCAAGATTGGATCTTGCTCTAACAAACGGAAGAGCTCCGTGCGCGCCACGACGTACCGTACCTCCTCGACGGTATACTGACGTCCCGTGTCCTTGCCTTGCGGCTTGGACAGCGACTCCTCCGCCGAGTCCGGCGCACGCAACTTTTTCTTCTTCCTCTTGGGCGACTTGCGCTTCGTGGCTGCCTTGGCGGCGGGTTGTTGTTGGTCGTCAGCCTTTGCAGGCTTCCGACCGGTAGGACCGCGACTCGTGTCGCGGCCCTTCGCGGCTCCCTCGTCGGGAGCCACATCGGGAACGGCAAACTGTTCTTCGTAGCCCTCCTGGTCGTCGCTGGCCCCGTGGCCTGTCGTGACGGTTCCCTCAGAGCTCCACGACGCGACAAGTCTCTCACTGTGCTCTCGTGTGGTCGGCGACCTTCCAGCCGACTGCTCACCTGCCTCCGATGCCTCTTGGATCGTTGGCCCGTCATTCGAAGTAGTACTCCCGGGTCGCGGCACCATTGTGGAGTAGCGGCCTCACAGAAATCGCGGAGTTCGTCCTCGCACAAACCCGACGCGTCCAATCTGCGGTCGCGACGGGCAATTTCCCGGATCTTGAGTAGCGTATCTTCGGATATAGAGCCCAAGTCTTCGCAAGCTTCAGAGTTGGCGGGTTGAGTGGACGCTTGTTCCTTGTCTTAGGGCGTCGGTTGTTCCTTGGGCGTGCGGACTTATCGGGCCGGCGTTTCCTGGGGCTTGTTGCGTGGCGTTATCGGGCCGACGCGGAGTCTTGTGCACAGCGGTTATCAGGCCGTGCGGTTCTTCGTCTAGGCTGCGCCTTATCGAGCGCCTCCTAACCGGTATACGTTTTACGTGCCTTCGTTCCCAGCACGGGGTTTGAGGGGGGTGAGTGCCCGAGCCAGCGAGCGACGGGGGGCCGCGTGTTCCTTGCGGCTCGGCTTGCCGACGCTTGGTGGTTTTTAAGAATCTGGCGATCTTCCGGAGGGGAGGGGTCTGAGTGGTTCAGAGAAATTTCGGGACTGAGTCCTTACCCTATCCTATGTCCTTGCTACTGGCTATTCTGTACTACTGCTTGCTAAGCCTACCGCTCTGTACCTATCCTTACTTCTGTCGTGCTTGCACTACCGTCCTTCAACCTGATTTGCGTAGCATAATCAAGACTTGGGCTTGACGGAGTTTCTCGGCGGGATTTCCTCGACGGTATTTCCTCGACAGGGTTTAGGGTCCACGGGGTTCGCATAGCCGGGCGTGCGAACCGGCTCGTCGAATCAGTCAGGATCCGCCTGATTCCGCAGCTGGTCTACGTGTCACACGGTCCATCACCCCGTCAACCTCCCTGGCGATCTTGACGCGTCGTATTCCGTCCGCCTCGTCGGCTGCCATCACTCTCGGTCACTCGTTCCCTGGCGCGCGACATCTCGTGGGGCGCTATTCCACAGTCGCCCCTTTCGCGGGCGTCCTGACCAACGCCGCGCCGATCCACCGGGAACACCAGCACCATCTCTCTCATCGACACTCTTGACTTGTACACCACGCCCTCGCATCCGGGCGGGCTCTCCGTCGTCGTTGCGAGTCAGCACCAGCACTTGCCCTCGATCGTGCCCCTCTCGTTGATCGCACCGAGCCGTTTGCGCTCATAACCTGTAGGAAGTACTTGAAGCATGCATGTACGACCTCTCTATTGAACGCGTGCCAGACGCGTTTCGGCCCCCCGCCGGGGGCCTCGTCAGTGGCTTTACCAATCGAGAAGTGAGCTCTCTCTCTCTACGTGCCCTCCTGGGCGGTCGCCCCTACGAAGCTTCTAGAATCTCCTAAAGATCTCTTGTGGGTACGACTCTAGTGTCGTAACCGTGTACCCCCACCATGGGGTTACACCTACGTGCCTGCAGCACTTCCAACACAACTTCGCACCAACGAGACGGTCGTTGATCGGGACTACAGGACGGCATTCGGTGTAGTCGGGTGTTAAGACTCAGTTTTGATTGGGCGCCCCCTGATTGGCTAGTTTTGTATTCCTATGATTGGCTCTCCCTTAACCAATGGGAGAGCGCCTTAATGCCAGCGGGTACACTTTACCCTCAAGCCTTTACAGAGCCTTTACGGTCTCTCGGGAACCTCATTCTAACACTCCCACTAAGTGTTCACCGCTGGTAGTACGCTTTTCACACCTATTTTATCTCTCAAAAATGTAAATTGTTTAGTAGGAAGGGCCTTAGTCAAAATGTCTGCTGCCATGCTAGCTGTTGGGCAGTACTCAATTATCAGACGGCCTTCGTCTATTAAGTCTCGTGTGAACAATACTTTATCTCAATGTGCTTACTAGCCTTGTGGTTGCCTGGGTTCTTTGTGATACTGATAGCAGACCTGCTATCACACCAGACTTGCACAGGTTTCGCTAGAGGAAACCCCATTTCCGATAGCAAGTGCCACAACCATTCGCTTTCCTTTGCACCTTCGCTCAATGCGATAAGCTCTGCTTCTGCAGTTGATAGGGAAACACATCCTTGCTTACTACTGCACCAAGATATACTGCAGTCAGCCATCTTAATCACATATCCAGTGATTGATTTACGTTCTTTTGATTGACACGCGAAGCTTGCGTCTGTGTACACCTCATACGTTACGTCCTTTGACTTTCCGTCAAGTAATAGACCGTACGTCGACGTCCCTTTCAAGTATTTCAGTATTCTCCTAGCTGCTTCCCAATGGGTTTTATTGTAGCAGGACAAATACTTGTTCAATTCCCTCACTGCATTAGCAATATCTGGTCTAGTACCTCTCACTAGGTATTGCAGCGACCCAACCAAACCTCTGTAATCAAATTTCTGAGCTGCTATCTCATCCGCAGTCATCTTAATTTCAGGTTCTAACTCAAGACCTGTAATCTGAGGTGTCGCTACAGCTGAGCTCTATACTTCTTCAGTAGTTCCAATATATACTGATGTTGAGAGATGGACATTGTCCGTTCTTCTCTGTTTCTGCGGACTTCCATTTTGAGGATGTAGTGGACATCTCCCAAGTCTTTCATCTTAAATCTCATAGATAGTTCCGCTTTGACTTTATTGATCAGTCGCATACTTTTCGACATGATCGTCAGGTCATCGACATATACCACGATTATGACCCAATCATCTCCCACTTTTTGTACGTAGATGCAAAACTCCTTATTGCAACGTACAAAACCCATTGATGTGAGAAATTTATGCAGCACCTGATACCAAATTCTAGGAGCCTGCTTCAACCCATAGATGCATTTCCGCAGCTCACACACATAGCCCTCCTTCCCTGGTGCATGATAGCCCGGAGGTTGTCTCATATATATGCGCTGTTCTCCATTCATGGTTCCATTCATGAATGCTGTGTGAAGATTTCCTCCTGCGAGAATGTGATGCTAGGTCCCCAAAGATGACCCGGTAGCATCGCAAGCACCTTCCCAATCATCAGCTGACTTGGCAACAAGTGCACACGCAGCGTTTCTTGCCCTTGGCGGTTCAGCCGGTTTCTCATGTTGCGCAACTTCTGAAAGTTCGGCCACGGATTTGAAGTCCTCATTTATGGTTTTCTCAAATTTCATGATCAACTCCACCATGCCCATGTCGTCGCCCTTCCCAAAGTCGACCTCAAGTTGCGCCCAAAACGCCGCAACCGTTTGTGCGGAGAGTGGCGTACTCAGTTGATTCATGTATGTATGAGGCAGGGTCCGGTTGAACATGTCCCTGATGTAGGAATCCACTTCGTCCAGCAGAGCCACCTCATACTCATGCTGATTGCGAGCATCATCCGTAGCATCTGGTCCCGGATCTGCGATATGGGCAGGACGCAGGAGCAAATCCTGGAACCCATGACGGGGCGAAGCCCTTCCGGCTTGAATCTCAGAGACCTTGCGGCTGTTGGTCTTGCTCACGAGATGTGCGACCACGGCGTCTTTACATCGCTGGAAGTCGTTTGGGTTCTCATTGAACTTAAGGCCCGCGAAGGGAACTTGGGTGTCCTTGACCATCTTCGAGCACTCAGTACTTGAAATGTTAATACTCAGTTTTGATTGGTCAAACTTAAGCTTTATTTATCTCTTAATGCCCTCTAATAGACTAGTGCTCAGTCGTTGGCAAAAGGAGAAGTGAGCTCTCTCCGAATGCCGTCAAACATCATCGCACGAGCGGTCGCCAACAGGGCGCCCCCTGATTGGCTAGTTTTGTATTCCTATGATTGGCTCTCCCTTAACCAATGGGAGAGCGCCTTAATGCCAGCGGGTACACTTTACCCTCAAGCCTTTACAGAGCCTTTACGGTCTCTCGGGAACCTCATTCTAACATCGGGGAAGATGCCGATGTCGACAGCAGACAGTTTGCCGAAGTTTGGGTCACCTACTCGCATTGGGAACTTGAAGAGTCGTGTGAGAGAAAGTAGGCTCCAGGGTGTATCGCACCCATCCGTACGGCCAACGGAGAGCTCGAGCTCGCGTACCATCTGCGGCGCGACGCTGAGGTCGAGCGTGCGGATGATTTCCAGTATCTGCTGAGCTGTCCCTGTGGCCACGTTGTGAGTAGCCCCCACTCGTTGGTGACGCTTTGGCAAACGGCCCCATTCGCATCGAGCGGGTCCCCGAGCTCGAGAGCTTCCGGACTCAGAGAGCTGAAGTCGTACAACGATTCATCACGTCCGAGTGCAACGAAGGCGTTGAATATGGGCGAGCTCACGAACGCGCTCCCGTTGAACAACGCGTACTTGAGCACTATAACTTTGCAGAGACCAATACACCCTGAACACCCGCCTGCCATCGTGACGTCTTGTTCCGTGAAGGCGAAGAAGGTGTCCTCAGCCTTGATGAGAACGGAGCCACTGGAAAAATACTTGGTGGTGAGCAGCAGAAGCAGAAGCACAAGGGGGCCAAGGAGGACGCGCCCTGTAACAGCCAGGCATGCCGCGATCACAGACGGTTGAACGAGGTATTTCCAGTCGCGACTCGCCCGGGCGAGCTTCTGGTGGGCGATGTAGTCCGATGCCGAGTGTGGCGCCAAGCCGTTCGCGTCGGCCATCGAGTTGGGAGCGGGCTGGGAGGGCATGAGAACGGCTGAGGGGATATCGAGTGAGAAAGAAAGACAAAGGGACTTCCCACCGTCGCCATCAACGGCCTGTTGTGGGTGGAAAGTAGCTTTTCTTTCTTTGGACTGCAGTGTTGCAGGTAGTTCATCCTGCCACGAAACAAGCAAGACATAAGACGTCATCTGACGCATGTTTTCTGCCATCTATTTCAGAGCTAGCTAAAGGTCTGGAAGGCTCGTCATGCATGACGCGATTCAGTATTTTTTGGGGCCCGAACTTAAATTTCACATTCTTGGCGCATCCACCGGGTAATTAGGTCGGAGCATGAGACAACATGACAGCATAGATTGCCATCGAGATCATTCACTAAAGATGCATAACGACGCAACCAATTAACATTGGTTCGCTACTCCTAATAATTCTCTTGCCTACATAGGTTTCAATGTAACCTTCAACCTCGAAATGGAAGAATTCTCGCCAAGAACTTACAAGCGCCCCCTCGACGATCATCTCTCCGATGTTGTCGGCATGGCTGTCCACGCCGACCAGCTCTCGAATAGCACAGCAGCAGCGATGTCTGGCGTGATTCATTGCAGACCACGAACCTCCTAAAGAAAACCAAGTACAACGGCTATGTTTCTTTCCCAGAAACGAGGAATGAGATTTACCTAGAAGAGGGTGTCAAGCTGGATGGAGAAGGTCGCTTCCAAGCATAAGCCAGCCTTATAGTTAACGCACGGAATAGCCACTCACGCAGAGGTGTCATCTTTGATCAATCAATCGCGCAACCCCATCCATCTACAGATCGGCATTTTTAAAAACTGTCAGACCATTATTGTTTTTGCAGGCTCTATTAATTGGTCATCCTCATTGAAGCGCTCGAGGAAGCTGCGGCTCCTCTATTGGCTATGTCTGCAGTGATGGTGAGCAGGCTGGCGCAGCGGTTCAACGAGAAGCGTGTGGAGGCGGACGCTAGGATGGAGCGGATGGCAGGCCTTCCGATAATAATACTGCAATAGTAGTAGCACCATGGTAAGAAATAAACTATTATGACTGACAACGGCAACAGTAAAGTAAATTATTGGAGTGGAAAGTATTGTATTGATCATTACCTTCATCACTATCGAGTGACTTACTGTCCGTTCACCACCTTGGTGACGGTACCCGCATTCCAGAAGCGCCGATTAAGCTTCAAGAACAGCACCGTTTCAAAGTGCACCGGCAGCATACCCTGTCGGTGGTTCGACAGCGTGTGCTTCGCGGCACTGAACAAACGTTCGACAGCGTTAGAAGTTGGAGGGATGTGGCGTACCCCTCCAAACTTCTTCTGCGCCGTGCGCTGCTTCTTCCTCGCCGACAGGACCTGGTCCGCGAAGCCTTGGGGGCGCCCGCCGGGGCTGGGAGTTGCGGCAGCGGCGGCGACGGCCTCGAACGGACTCAGCATGAGCTGCTGGCCCTCCGTCAGCTCCTCGGTCTTGTCCGCCAGCGCAAGCACGCACGCCGCTTCGAAGTCTGGGTCCTTCACGATGGCAGCATCGGCTGCAAGGTACTTGTCGACGACGGGATGCTTCTCGACGAGCGCATCAAAGATGTCGCGCACGTCGAGAAGCGTGATGTTGACCTCCTGCAGCTTCATCGTCGCGCTCTGAAAATCACGGAGCTGGTCGCGCAGGGCACTCTTGGCGGCGAGTCGGCATCAACGACACGATGTCGTCGTCGTCCGTGTCCAGCGCGTCGCGCAGGTCAAAGTAGCGCTCGAGCATCTTGAACGTGGAGCCCCTTCGAGTGGCCTGGCGAAGTAAGGGGCGCAAATTGGTCTTTTGCCTGAGAAAAAAAGAGCAAAAGAGCAAAAAAGCAAAAAGTACAAATTACCGCAGTCGATTCGCCTTGTTCAGTCCTCGCAGCTTTCGCATGAGTTGCTGCATTTGCTCCAGCAGTGGCTCTAGTCGGAGAGGTACACGTTGACCGCTAAATTCAGCCGATGGCTGGCGCAACCGATGAACGGCACCTGAAGCAAACCAGCCAACCTCGTGTTGACAGAGCAATTGTCAGCCACGAGGTAGATGATGCTGGAAATGTCCCGCTTGAAAAACGGTAGAATACCGGTCAGGAAAGCGCCGTAGCTCTCAGCCGTCTGGTCCTCAACACCGTCATCCGCGATTGGAGCCAATGCCAGGAGAACCTTCTCAGAGCGCTGGTCATGCTCGAAAACCGCAAAAACGGCGACGTAATGCTCCGAGTGGAAACTCCACCCGTCAAGTATGATACCGAATTTGAGAGGGATGAACGCACTGATGCCAATCTCGACCTCCTTGGTCACCAAGACCGCGTACTTCAACAGCGTCTCGGTGCAAATCCGCTTCATCGTCGTGTACTTGTCCACAGTCGGGTGTTCGCAGAACGAAAAAGGGAGGTTGCGCTCAGTGACAAAGTCCAGCCAGCAGTAGGCGGTCTGGCTCTTCTGGTCTATAAAAACGACCATCGTCCCCGAGTTGAACCCGCTGTTCGCCAGCGTGGTCACGTAGTCGGGGTGCTGCTTCAGCACGTGGCTAAAGAGGTTCGAGTAGCCCGTCTTGACGTCTTGTTTGTGCACTGTGCCAAACTGGCAGCGAAAGTGCTCAGTGGGCTCATCTTGCTCGTCGAGCAGCGGGGTGAAGAAGTAGGTGCAGACTTGCTTGGTCGTGAAGGATGTTTGCGAACGCATGATAAATTCAGAAATGGTAGATAAGGTGCTGGTAGTACGCTAGAGTGAATGAGATGAGCAGCTCTCTTGAAGGCATGCTATGTGGCGTAATTACGAGCTATCTGGTGGCTGTCGTGAAGAGTACAGCAAAACGCTTTTTTTACAGTGTCGTAAAAAAGTGTTTTTCGTAAAAAAAAGCAATAGGGGCAATTACCTGTAAAAATACTTTATTGACCAAGAAATGTTTTTTACAAAAAATAAGCTATTTACTTCGAAATATTGTATTGGATCTGCAATACAATGACTATTTCGGAAGGCCTGGCGGATGGAGCAGCGGCTCAACGAGGAGCGTGCGCGGGGTGACAAGATGGAGCTGAAGCACGAGGAACAACACTCGCAGATGAAAACGATGAAGCAGGAGCCAGCTGAGCTACGTGAGCAGAACAGGAGCCAGAACAAGTACATCCGCCACTTGATGGGTGCCTACTGGCAATCAGCTTTCGAAGCACCGGGTGCTGGAGGCCGCACTCACGCAGGTATTCAAGCGTATCGAAGACTACAAAAGCTACAGTGTGGCCCAGATCATCAAATACATCGAGGAGGACGCGTGGGGTGAGTTTGATGAAACCGATAAGTGGATTGTGAGCGCGTACGCCGACGTCTCTGGCGAGATCCACCACGATCCAGACTGGTTCGAGGCTCTGCAAGTCTACCAGATCGGCGGGGACCCCGACTATCGGACGGTGTTTTCTCGCCTGTACCACCGCCATCCTACCCCGGAAGAGCTGCGCAGTGTGGAACTAAGTCTTCCCGAGTAAGTTCTCCCTCAAAGCGTCGGACGCACAGGAGTAAAGAGTTCAGAAGTATGAGATCGTCGTTGCGTATGAGTATGAGATCGTCGTAGGCAATAACATGACGTATCCGTTGATCGATCCTTCAAATGTTGTTTGCCTTCATTGCACAATACTGCATAGTACGTTCGTTAACTAGCATTTGTAAGTTCCTCGAGCTAAATCGTCCCTTATGCGCCAGGCCTTCCGAAATAGTCATTGTATTGCAGATCCAATACAATATTTCGAAGTAAATAACTTATTTTTTGTAAAAAACATTTCTTGGTCAATAAAGTATTTTTACAGGTAATTGCCCCTATTGCTTTTTTTTTACGAAAAACACTTTTTTACGACACTGTAAAAAAAGCGTTTTGCTGTACTCTTCACGACAGCCACCAGATAGCTCGTAATTACGCCACATAGCATGCCTTCAAGAGAGCTGCTCATCTCATTCACTCTAGCGTACTACCAGCACCTTATCTACCATTTCTGAATTCATCATGCGTTCGCAAACATCCTTCACGACCAAGCAAGTCTGCACCTACTTCTTCACCCCGCTGCTCGACGAGCAAGATGAGCCCACTGAGCACTTTCGCTGCCAGTTTGGCACAGTGCACAAACAAGACGTCAAGACGGGCTACTCGAACCTCTTTAGCCACGTGCTGAAGCAGCACCCCGACTACGTGACCACGCTGGCGAACAGCGGGTTCAACTCGGGGACGATGGTCGTTTTTATAGACCAGAAGAGCCAGACCGCCTACTGCTGGCTGGACTTTGTCACTGAGCGCAACCTCCCTTTTTCGTTCTGCGAACACCCGACTGTGGACAAGTACACGACGATGAAGCGGATTTGCACCGAGACGCTGTTGAAGTACGCGGTCTTGGTGACCAAGGAGGTCGAGATTGGCATCAGTGCGTTCATCCCTCTCAAATTCGGTATCATACTTGACGGGTGGAGTTTC